GTGGCTGCATACTTATCAGCAAACGGTAGAATGACCAAGCGTCATGAGAGGTATGCAATGTAAATATTTTGTTGTGCTTTATACTGTTTTGCGATTACCAGTTGTGTTACAGTGCTCAGTCCTTCAGTGCCGCGGTATAGCTTCGTCGCACAGTAGCTTTGCGTAGCATTTGATGTGGTGCATTGCACATGTGTGTTCGTGTACGGACACCAGCATGTCCGTGATCTCGATATCTCATTGTCGCAGGAGAAGGGATGTGGCGTATTGTAATGTGTAGTGTCCTGAGACGTGCTGTCATCTAACGGCAGAAAAGCGAACTCGTGGTTGATGGCAAGTGAGGGCGCGGCAGCCAGACGGTTGTAGAGTTAGACACCCGAGCTAGGGTTGGTCAGTACTGTATATCTGACTATCTGACATTACTGAATACATATCATCGTCTTACGTTATCTGATATCTTAAGAACGTTACACAAAACAGCACCGCAGAGAAGCGATTGACCATTAAATCCGGATTTCTTTTGGGACCGTGTATATCACACCACGGTGAGATTTACACAATACCGGCCATTTGTGTAAATCACACCCACCCCGGTGTGATATACACAAAATCTACTACGTAGTGTAAATCACACCCGGGTGAGGAATACACAGAGAGGGCAGCTGTGTGTATATCTCACCACGATGTGACGTCATAGCAACGCTGAACGTCCATTGGTCAGAGCAGTGACTCTGCTCGCCCATTGGTCAGATCAGACTAAGCACTACGAATATTCCGGCGGGATTCCGGGCGTCCTCTCTCTCGAAATCACCTGACCGCCTGGCCTAGTGGTGAAGGTGCTTGCACCATGTTACGAATGTTGCGGGTTCGAGTCCCGTCGGTGCGGGCGCTTTTTCCCGCATTTTCGCTTTTCCTTGGTAGCGGTGGGTTCGCTGCCGACCGACAAGTTTAAAAGCACCAATACAATATGGAAAGCGACGTCTGAATGCTCGTGGCGAAGCGGTGCAGTGCCGAAGGCAATGCCTTAGGAGAGATTACAGGCAATGGTAAGTCAAATATTTTTAGGTTAAGTGGTTGTGTATCTGGCTTCAGGCCGAAGGCCTGAAGCCTGATGCACAACCACTTAACCTAAAAATATTTGACTTACCATTGCTTGCAATCTCTTCATGCGAGTACCTTCTTCCTCATCCACGGGTAGGCAAAAATCAGTAGGTCAGGTTAGGTTAGGTTAGGTTAGGTTAGGTTAGGTTAGGTTAGGTTAGGTTAGGTTAGGTTAGGTTAGGTTAGGTCAGGTCAGGTCAGGTCAGGTCAGGTCTAAGGTTTGGTTAAGTGTCTTGTTACCGTGCCTATTGTGTAAATCTCACCCAGGTGCTGCGTGGTTTGACACCCAGGTGTGATTTACCCACTACCGAGCACACAGTGTATATCACACCCTGGTGAGATTTACACATTGGCTAGGCCTACTGTGTAAATCACACCCAGGTGCTGCGTGGTTTGACACCCAGGTGTGATTTACACACTAGGAGCACATTGTGTGTATCACACCACGGTGTGATTTACGCATTTGCCGGGCCTACTGTGTAAATCACACCCAGCTGCTGCGTGGTCTGACACCCGGGTGTGATTTACACACTAGGAGCACATTGTGTATATCACACCCCGGTGTGATTTACGCATTGCCGGCCCACTGTGTAAATCACACTCCGCGTGGTGTGATATACACAGGAGTAGTGTATTGTGTAAATCACACCCGGGTGAGGTTTACACTACAGTGCGATGCATTATGTAAATCTCACCGTGGTGTGATATACACGCGTCCATTTCTTTTTGTCGATCGGATCCCGATCGACCCGTATACAATTCAGTTCAACTCGGGATTTTTTTAAAATCCGTATTTGTTTTAGAACGCTTATCATTACTTATCGTACCGACCGAATACGTTAAGTTAGAGGCAGTCATGACATTTACTACGCTCATTATTTCGCCGTTAAGATTGTGCAAGCCATATAACTTTTTATTTCGCTCAGTGCTTGAAATCGTGAAAAAAAAACTCGAAAAGAAAAACAAGCTACATATTTAATCTACTTCAGAGCTTCGCCCTTTGTTAATTGATACCTATCTACATTGAATGCACCGAACCCGCACCTCTGGTGCCTTGCCCCACCCGATTGATCCACTTATATGAAAGGGCACTGGTGACAGAAACAAAATTAGCACTGCCCTGTGCAAGACAAAGACGTATTGACCCAGTCATCATTAGGGCCCGATGTTGACGTCTACATAGATCACTGACCCACGTAGAGCGCTATCAGAATTGGGCCAGCAGTGTGATACACGATATGCGGTGTACTTTACCGAATTATGCATCGACCTAGCATTCGATACGAATCTTATGACGATGTATCCTGGGAGTGGGACTAAGTAAGTAGCATACCTTCGAATACATAATTACGATACAATGGTCAAAACAGCCGAGACGTCGCACGGTAATGCACTAGCCCTGTTTTGGTGCACTGGGGTTGGTGGCGTTGTATTTGTCGGCCAGGTACTGGCCAGCGTTGACCGGTTGGTACGTCTGGCTGTCGTCGGGCGGCGCCACGGTCACCTCGTCGTCCGGGTGGCTGAAGAACACCACGGAGAGGCGGCGGCAGCGGCGCGCGCGCTCCTCCGGCGGCACCAGCACCCGGTGTTTGGTGGCCACCACCTCTCCGCCGGTCCAGATCTCCATCAGGTCGCCGACATTGAGCAGCACGGCGCCGGGCACGGGCGGCGCCGGCACCCAGCGGCCAGCGCGGCTCAGCACCTCCAGGCCGCCGCACTGGTCCTGTAGTAGCAGCGTGACGCTGCCCCAGTCCGAGTGGGTGGCGCAGCGCACGGCGCCGACCGGCACCGCCCCCGGCACCGGAGGGTAGTGCACGGCGCGCAGCGTGGACCCGTTGGCAGCCCCCAGCTGTCGCCGGTGGGCAGTACTGAACAGACCCGGCCGGCTCAGAGCCACCTCCAGCGCACCCAGCACGCGCAGACTGAGTGCAGACAGCGCTGGCATCAGCGCGCTGACGTCAGCGCCGAACTGCGGCGCGTCGGCGGTCGGCAAGCCGCCGTCCGGCGTCCTCATGTCCCAGGACTCCTTGAGCTCGTGGACGGCGCCGTCAGCGGTCTCGGAACGCGACAGATCCTCCTCGGCGGGCGGCATGTAGCCGTTAGCGCCGGCCCGCACGAACCGGTGGTACTTGAGCTTGGTCTCCAGCGGCAGGTCGAAGAACCGCAGGCCGGTCTGGAACACGGAGCTGCGCAGCGACTCTGGCAGGTCGTGGTTCAGCAGGTACACGAACCCGATGCCGCGCAGGGCCGCCAGAATCCGCTCACCCAGCGCCAGACGACGGGCGTCGTCACTCAGCTCCCGCAGGTCTGCGAGATGAGACAAGTGTGACATAGAAGTTAGAACAAACGTAACACTAGAAAGGCACGCCTGAAAAATGACATAGCTAGATTCAATCCCTTTAAGGAGTTACGTTCGTCCCCGCGCTAGTACCGTGGACACTGAGATGAACGTGTTTTCAGTAATTTTGTGGGTACATTAGATGGCCGATACCATCGATAATATGAATTCACTTTATCTATACCGATGCCTATTACATAATCATTTGCACAGTTGACAATAATGCGAAACAGTTGGATGTTGGACAGTTGAAAATATTACAAATTATGCCGTCATCTGTCACTCACCTTCTGATTCCATGTCCAGAGTGGGGATCGACTCCATGATTTCCGAGATTGCGATTATCAGAAGCCCCTGATGAGATCTCCAGCCACTCCCGCCAGCTAGCACTCAGCACTGATGGTGCTGCGGATCTCACACACCCCTAGCAGATGACACGGACAATAGTTCACTCCGGGAGCCTTCTCCAGCCACAGACTCCGGGCAGTCCTCCGTCCCGTCACTCAGCGGATCGGGCGGACCCTGAACCGTCCGTGGGCCCTACCACAACAGACTGGACTGGCGACTGGGGTGAGCCGCGCACATCCGCAGGGTACGCGGGTGTTTACGGAATAAAGACGTATGTCAGACTCAGAGCAGCGCAGAGGGGTCTGGCCGGGCGAACTGGAGAACAGTTTGTAGTTAGATAAGAGCATACGAGTGCGCAGTGTGGACGACCCCGCGTATCCATGCGTGTACATGTGTGTTTGGGCTTGTTTATAAGAGCACCATATGGTTGTTTACTGTTTATGCATTCAAAAGGGCGAACTTGAGTGTCAGGCTGAACAAAGAGCATGCAAAGGAATGCGCAAAACGTATTTATGGTAATCTCTGACCGGTTCAAGAGCACACTGCGGCTTGCCGCTGCCTTCCCCCGACAATGCTCCTCACTTCCCTGCCACACGAGCGCAGATTCGAGCGCAATTTCCGCACCAATCCGACGTTCGCCGTCCCGTGGGGGCGACAAGTCCGACGCGCGACGAGCTTGTCCCCAGCATGTCGCTTTTTATGCCGACATTTATGCCGGCTCTATAACGCCGCATTATATAGAAACAATACGCTCATTGATCTGTGCCATCCCCGGGGAAGGGCATTGTTTCGCAGTGGGCGGTCCTGTGGTGTCCCGGGGAGGGGAAGACTCATGGCGCGACCGTCGCCGGCCGGCCTCGGCCTGGGTACGGGGAGTCACAGACTACGGACGACCAATACGGATAATGGCAGCGGCCGGCGACCCAGGCCGGTATTTGGCGACACACCTTCCCGGAATGCGACATGACAGGCCGCCCGCGGAGGTATACGAGCCGCACAAACTCGGCTGGGGCTCCCTCTTAAATTCAGCGTGACCAACGACTTCCTCGTTTCGCAATACATGATTGAAGACTCGTGCTTGCAGATGGTGATGAACATTGCACCAGACATTGCCAAGCTCGCATTGCAAAGTCACGAAAGTTGTTTGTTTGTAAGAACGGGTAAAGAACGGGAAAGGTGTTATCGCCCGGTAGACTGCCATCCAACGAAACGAGTCTGTTCTTCAAAAATATGTTTAATGGAAACCCACAAAACATCACAGCATTGTGCACCACAACACACCCGTGCCCGATCCCGTGTAAGCGTTAGGCCTTCGCCGTTGTCCTATTCCCAAACAATGTCAGTAATTGTACTGCACCACGTTAAACTATAGTCACGGAGAGGGATTTCCTAGTAGAAACCGGTACAGAAAAAAATCACTCAGACGTTGGTTCGTGTTCTGAGCAGTCAAGACACGAGTTTATCACCAGCTCAGCTCAGTCATCGTAAGGCACAATATGAAGTGACTGCCACTCGAACGTGATGTTATGACTTGTGTCCACTGTCCACCTCAACCACCTCGGTGGTTAGTTTAACGGTTCGGTGGGGTGTCACCTTATGACTTGCGCTGTCACTGGCCAACCCTGTCCGTTACGGCGTAACCCCTTAGCCACATCGATGCCAAAAAAATGTCTCGTGGCAAAACCAGTGTCAAGCCGAGGTCCCAAGTGCGAGCAACCCTTACAGTACCCCGGTCTTTTCCCTGATCATTAACAAACCCACAACCCCACTGCATTAGAAAATGATCATGTAACAAACACAGCCCCCATGCATTAGCAAACTTTAAACTTCTCATCGAAAAACTGGAACTGAATGAGATGATAGTACAGGAAAAACCCGGCAAAGTGTGCAAATGAGTAGAGTGAGACGAGCACCGGCCAGAGATCGGGGTAGCGCTCCGGCGGACTAACCGTCACAGAGGTCAGCGCCAGCACCGCGTACCCGGTCAGCGAGAGGTAGAGCGCCGGCACGGCCCAGCGCGAGCACGGGTCCGCCGGCGGGCCGCCGCTGGTCGTCGTCAGCCGCGAGCGCTGCTTGGGCGCCGCCGCGCGCCGGCCGGCGTCCAGCACCCCCGTGGCCATGTTGACGGCCACCGTGAAGAAGACGGTGGTGGCGACGGTGGCCAGCAGGAGGTCGTCCTTCAGCAGCAGCGGCAGCATGCTGAGTGTGGAGGCCAGTAGGAACCAGAGCGACGAGAGCGGATAGTCGGGGAACAGCATGGCGGCCGGCAGCGCCGCCAGCAGGATGCTCTTCTCGTGCACTTGGAACGAGAACAGGAAAAAGGTGAGCGCCGAGTTGAGCAGCGAGAGCAGCAGGTTGTGCGGCGTCGGGTCTGCCAGAAGCAGCAGGTTGGTCGGCAGCAGGAACAGCGCCGTCGTCGACAGGCACATGCTGGCGATAGCGGCCACGCTGTGCAGCTGCTTCACCTTGTACACCACCGACAGGCTGCACCAGAAGTTGGCCACCTTGTCCTCAAAGAGGCCCCGGTTGAAGGGGAACAGGCGCGCGCCCACCTCCACAGCCCGCTGCGCGTCCACCAGGAACGGCAGCCACACCAGTCCGAACGTCAGCACCGTGGCCGCGCCGATCTTGGCCAGCTTCCCGACCGAGGCGGCCCAGGTCCGCTGGCGCAGGCACGTGCCCAGCAGGTAGCAGAAGAACGGCAGCGCGTGGTACAGCTCCATCTGCTTGTAGTTAAGCGCCAGCGAGAAGAGCGCCGCGCCGGTGGCGTCTCGGCGGCCGAGCAGCGCGGCGGCGGCGGCCACCATCAGGCCCAGCGAGACGCCGTTGTACTGGAAGTGGCCGTGGTCGATGAGCAGCAGGCCCGGGTACAGCACCAGCACGGCCAGTACGGTGAGCGTGACGGCGCGGCTGCGGCGCAGCGCCACCGCGAACCACAGCGCCGCCGGCAGAAACACCAGCAGGTCGGCCACCAGCACCGTGGCGCGCATGAACAGCCGGTGCTCGGGCGTCTCCAGCCCGCGCGACGCATGCAGCGCCACAAAGCTGGGGTCGACCCTGGCCGCCACGGCGCCGCACAGGTAGCTGTGGTAGGCCGTCAGTGGCGGGTAGTCGAGGCCCCAGTAGAGCAGGTCGTTGTCGGTGGTGTTGCGGTACCAGTCAGCCAGCGGCAGGTTGTGGGTCACCTCCATCCAGTGCCGCTGCGCCTCGTAGTCGCCAAACATGGGAGGCTTCCGCTGACCAGAGTGGGGGTGAAGGGACACCGCCCACCGCAGCAGCAGGCCCAGGCCCAGCACGAGCAGGTACCGGCTGTCCATTTTCAATGCTCTTTGAACCTGAAAAAAGAGAGCAGCCTGGTTTCTAATTTGGTCATTCAATAGCAGAATTATAGATAGATAAAAACTCCTAGAACAAATATGTCCTTCCTTTTAGTTGTTGTTTCATTTCTTCTCGTTATTTCTCATTTATTATATCTTTTAACACACTGAACATTTTTCAGCAAATTATTTCGTGTGAGCTATATTGAGATTCCCTTTGCGATAACTCAAGGCATTATTCTGCAATCCTGTCACTTTTCCAAGTTCATCACATAAAAGGTGAAAAGCTACGGAGCTCTAAACGTGAACGACACACCAGCACCCGCAACCGCCATCAAACCCACAGCAATTATCACCATAAGGCCAAGGTATATAAAAACACTGCATATAAACAACAAAAAGCAAAGTGCGTCATATTCGTAAGACCGGTAGGAATTGTCTTATTTTACAGCATTGCGGAAAATAGCTGCGCGAGACTAGCGGTTGTTCGGTTCCTAATACAAAAGAAAATTGTTATTTTTCAAAACTGTTTTTATGCAAAAAAAGTGTTTATTTTTTTAAATTTTTGAAAAATAAAAAGATATAATTTACTTAATTTCGCAATGTATTTTTATTGCAAAATATCAAGAAAGATCATAACAAAAAATATAGCCACTAGAGGCAGCACCACCGCTTACCACCAGTTGGAAAAGTTGTTTAATTCTCACGCACGCCTGCGTTGTCCGTTCTATTGTGAATTCTTTTATATTTATGAGCTCTTTCCTTGAGCAGTTATAAGCATTTTGCAAAATGAGCAATAAAGACTTTTATCTCCGGTATTACGTTGGCCATAAAGGAAAATTTGGACATGAATTTCTGGAGTTCGAATTTCGCCCTGACGGTAATTATTCCCATTTTTAATGTCTGGTTCATCGTGTTTTCCTATGAGTCTGCAACCTCAACCTGGTTTTATTTTATGATGTACCTTTTCCTATTTCAACCTTAAGCCTGGTAACAGTTTCTGATTACCCCAGAGACAAAAGCTGTTTATACCATATCAGGTTATTTCGTACTTTCACTGAGTGAGGTGTGATCATGATGATGTAACCGATACCCTTGCAGTACACATCTTCATCTGGCTTTTAAATTAAATATGAACATTTACCCATGTTCAGTTCACATGCATGGAGTTTAATCCCTATCATGATAGGAATGCAAGAACTAAATTGAAATGTTTCTGAGTCATAAGTTTGTTTTTTAACTACCTGTAATCTGAGTTTAATGCTGCATCTTGCTCTCAGGTAAGCTGCGCTATGCAAACAACTCAAACTACAAGAATGACACCATGATTCGAAAGGAGGCATATGTTCACAAATGTGTCATGGAAGAGCTGAAGAGGATCATTGCTGATTCAGAAATCATGCAGGTGTGTATTGTTCATTTCTCATGAACACATTAGTTATTTCTTATCGCTTTTATGTTCTATTGAATATTTAAGTAAGTAGATACTTACTGATACTACTGATACTACTTTCAGTTGCTCAAAATTATTTCTGCACCATCATGGTTGAATTTATCTTAGATAAAGGACTAGGTTTCCAACTTGTAAACCTTTGAGTGAGTACCTAGGTTTGTGTTTTGTAAGTTTAAAAGCATTGGGAGACATGCCTGGTTCATTTTGTATGTGAGCTTAGAGCTGTGTCATTTCAGTAAACCTTTGTACTTCACACACTATTTACCAAGTTTGGCAATGCATAAGACCTATGTTGTTGTTGTTGTTTATTGGAGCTTTAGGGCACCCCGACTGCTGGGGTCATTTTGCGCCCATTCATAAGACCTATGATCTGTAACTTCAACCTATGATCCTATGATCTGTAACCTATGATCTGTAACTATGATCTATAGTTATATATCTATAGTAACTATAATAGTTATAGTAACTATCTATAGTTATAGATCTATATAGTTCGTTTTTCTTAAGTTTGCCCCTCACTGTAAACGTCTTTGTGAACATTGCACGAGAATTGCTAGCTGAATTACTGAGAAAACTGGTTGGCGCACACTGATTTGACAAGATTTCACCGACGATCAATTTCATCAAATTTATTTACTATTTCACAGACTCGTAAATCGTATTTGCCAATACCTACAGCCCCACAGGGATAGACGACTTCTCAGGAATTATGTGTGAACTAATAAATAAATTGCACGGCGCTTAACATAACGTTAAATCGTCTGTGTTCAAAACTTATTTTTGAAAATATTATTCATATCTACAATACAATGTGCGCTAACCAGTTTTCTCAGTAATTCAGCTAGCAATTCTCGTGCTGTGTTCAAATAGACGTTTACAGTGAGGGGCAAACTTAAGAAAAACGAACTATAGTAACTATGATACATATCATAGATAACTATGATATGTATCCTATGATCTGTAACCTAACCTATGATCTGTAACCTGCCTGTCTGGCTGAAACACCCCCAGGTGATTTTGTGAGATTATGTCCCATGATTTTAACCTATTGTTACTGGCCGACGTCCCCGACTGTATTTGACGACGTCCCCGTATATTCATCAGGAGGACGACGCGCTGTGGCCGCAGCCTGACAGGGTGGGACGCCAGGAGCTGGAGATCGTCATCGGTGACGAACACATCTCCTTCACCACCTCCAAAATCGGCTCACTGGTCGATGTCAATAACTCAAAGTGAGTCATGGGTGTGTTACAGTCTGTTACAGTATCATGTTGCGCGTGTGAATTGTTTCATCGGTCAGCTGTTTTGGCAATCGTTCCTCGATGTTATAAACGCGAAACTGATGCACAAGCAAAAATATTTTCGTGTGTATTGGCATAATTGATGACTAAAGAGACAGTATGTGGCCATTCTGCCAAAGTGTGATTTTTCGAATCATGGGGCGATACAGCCGTGTCGTGCCGTAGCCGCCGCTCCGAGCCGTGACACCCGGCCGTGTTCCAGGGACACGGACGGGCTCCGGTGCTTCTACTACCTGGTCCAGGATCTCAAGTGTCTGGTCTTCTCGCTCATCGGCCTCCACTTCAAGATCAAGCCCATATAGGCGTCCGGCAGCGACGGCTCAGTGGAGCATCGCGCCCCACTCACGTGTCAAAGCTGCCTGGTGTCCTCCGTTTCGCGTCTCGCATAACCAGCCGGCAAGTCCGATCATTTCACCAATATAATACACAGTGTGTTTAATGCGGACGTCTGTGAGAATGAATTAGCGCGGAGGTGAGAACATAACCGTTTCTAGCGCTGCGGCAGTCCAAGGAATTTCGGAGATGGACACGGCGTTCTCTCTCCAGGCCTGAACCATATGCAAGTCGCGACTGAACAGTTGCCTCGCCAGTTTCGATTAGCCTAGTATCTAATCGTTACTTCTGTTCGGACCTTAGACCTAGACTTCTTTGCCCATCGACTTTCTTCTGTAGGTCTGCTCGGCTGCCCATGTGTTTACCACACTCCAGCGAGAGACCTAAGTTACAAATGTGCGTATTTATTTCATCACGAGTGACGCACCGACTCACGTGCCAGTGATATTCACTGCTGTCCAAAGGCAGGCTACAATTTCGGGTGCTGAAAAACACGCATTGCAGCAGGGCAAAGCCGCCCAAATTACAGTCGTTCAAAAATAATTATTAGTAAATATATACAAATAAATCAACAATTCAACCAACAATTGATATATGCAATAAGCAGATTCCCAAAAGGGGCATTCTAAAGTCGGGCAAAGGCCGCATTCTGCCAGTTTACAAAGCAAGGTCAGGAAGAAAATCGGCAACAGTAAAGTAAAAGCCGAAAATATCGAGGCGGTAGGATCCGTGGCGGAAGGATTAGGTGGCAATAACGCGCGTGCCTCGTTGATTGGCACCAGGGGCTGGTTATCGGTAACTGGCGGGGTTGGGTAGTCGGGGGCGGCGGAGCAGACGGGCACATCATCATCTACGCCCTTTCGCAGAGACGGTAACGCCACCTGCACGGCCCGCGAGCAGTCCGAACTAGCCTGTCGAGAACCGGCGTCACCGTCCAGTTATCGGCAGACTATCGGCGCCGGGCACAGACGCGCCCCGAACACACACACTAGCAGGCACGTCTCTCACAGTCGGAGCACCGGTCTCAGCACGCGCTGGGAGCCACACTCCCCACCTTACCGCTATCACTGTCTCCGGGCGGCGCGCGGTGGCCGGCGCCGCGGGGACTCTCCGGCACTCTCCACATCTCGGTATCGCGGCGCGGCGGGCAACGCCGCTCACAGAAAACCGGCCGGCAGTCGGCTACATGAGCACCAATGGCACGTGGCGGCAGCGGCTGGGCTCCGGAGAGCCGGACACAGTCGGCCGCTCAATTACTGTCCGCCGCCGAACGGCGCGCAGCGTGACGGCAGTCGGTGAGCTGACAGTCCCCTCACGGCAGCCGGCGGGCTGGCGGCCCTCCCCTGGCGGCAGCGGCCTCCTCAGACGCCATCAGCCGGCCCGGCCGCGGCTCACTTGGCCGCCTGTTGCTTCTTCCCCCAGTCCTCAATCTCATCATACACCAGTTCTTCAAAGACGACGGGGGAGGAGTACGACAGTCAGTCAGAGACAAAAGGACATGTAAAATAGCCGCGGCACAGAGCATGTGTAACGATCAATGTTTCTGAGCAGCTTTTGCCGTGGCATTTGAAATCCTTTGACGCACAGACACAATATGGTGTATCAACAAGCGGCCTGTCTTTTGCGGTACCATTGAGGCCGAATGACCGCACATCAGCAAAAATCAACACAGTATAGAGACCAGATGAGCATATCTCACACAAAAAGTATAAAAAATATAAAACACCAAAACTGGCTCCCCAACCAGAAACTGCCTGTGGCCCTAACATTTGCAGACTCTGCCCCTGCCTGCTTGTTCTACTCACGGCGCCAGTGCTCGGTGGGCAGCTGCACCATCTCGAAGCCCTCATCGAAGAGCGGCGACGTGGGCTCGTCGGTGGGGTCCGAGTACTGAGACAGGTACGGGTGTGCCAGCGCCTCCTCGGCCGTCGGCCGCAGGTCGGCGTCCAGCTGCAGCATCTTCTCCAACAGGTCGATCGCTGAGGGCAGGAGGCGACGGTGGTCACAATCAGGGGCGTAGGCAGGGGGGGGCCACTGGGCCATGGCCCCCCCCCCCCCCCTTGGGCGCCGAAGGCGCCCTTTGCGATTGGAGGGCGCCGAAGGCGCCCTCCAATCGCAAATGCAATTGTGATATAATCGAATCGAAAAACAATCGCGACTGGAGGGCGCCCTCCAATCGCGAATGTGTTTACAGGGAAAATACGGATGGAGGGCGCCCTCGGAGGACGCCCATTCCAAATACGCCCTCCAAATACGGTTGGAGGGCTCCCTCGGGCGCCCTCCAACCACATTTGTAGGCTGTAGCTCTCTAAGCGTAACGGTGGTCGCCTATGTAAGCCGCTGTCCTGTAAATAAGCGCCCTCTCACCCGAAGGCGCCCTCCTGTAGGTCGCCACCCTGCTACACATTGCCGCCCTTCTGCTGATCGGTGTCCTCATAATTATTGGCGCTCTCCTACCTATTGAGCCCTCATGTGAAATTTTGAAGGCCGCCTTTCTCCCTTTTGGCACCCTCTTGTTCAGTGCCGCCCTCCTACCTATTGGTTCCCTAGTCCTTCCTGTTGAATGTTAATCGGGGCCCTTCTCCTATTGGCGCCCTCGTGTAGATCGCCGCCCTCCTAACCACTGGCACCCTCCTGTTGATCACCGCCCTCCTATCCACTGGCACCTTCCTGTTGACCAGCGCCCTCCGCACAGACGCCCTCCTGTTCGTGTCATCCTCTTGAGCAAAGGCGCCCTCCTCACCATTGCCACCCCCATTTTAATCGTCACCCTTCCGCTCATTGGCGACTTCCAGTTGATGACCGCCCTCCCACCTATTGGCGACCTCTTGTTGATCGCCACCCTCCTATTGGTGCTCTCCTGTTCCTCGCCACCCTCTTACCTGGTGGCGCCCTCCTGTTGATTGTTGATCGGCGCCCTCCTGCCTATTGGTGCCCTCCTGTTGATCGCTGCCCTTCTATCCATTGGCGCCCTCCTGCTGCTCGCCAACTTCCTACCTATCGGTGCCCTACTGTCGAAACTCGGGATGTTGATCGGGGCTCTTCTACCTATTAGTGCCCTCCTGTGGATCGCAGCCCTTCTACCTATTGGCAACATCCGTTGATCGCTGCCCTCCTATCATTTATTTACTCCTTTGGCATGTTTTTCAACTTAGTCGTTCTATTGCACATAGTTGATGTCTTGCCTGTGAAAACTGCCACAAATGAACGTGCATTCAGCACAATGAATGAAGTATCTATACCTACCAAAACTATCTACGCTCTACGATGCATAAAACACGTCTTTGGTCTTAACGGATTGATCCTACTTTACGTGCATCATGGCATCTATATGGATTACGATTAAGTATTGTCAACAGGTTCGGGCGCAACAGCAGGCATCTGAAGTTTCGGTGATTGAAACTGGTTATGTGGGTACACTGTATGCATCTGTGAGAAGGCTATGAAGGCTGGTCTGAGGTAATTTGGATGATGTTTACGCATCTCGCGCTCCGGTATCAATCCGATACGGTGATCTGGTGCGTAGATATGCCACCGCCAATAAACTTTTATACATCGACACCCATGAGCCAAGCTTTCTGTACAGTTTGTGTGGCAGCGGCCCGACCAAACCTTAGGTATTTTTTACACCTTCAAATTTGGTAAAAGAGCGAGAGGAGCTTTGAACAGTGATCGTATAAAAGGCGTGCCTAAAAAGCGGAGGAAAAGGTTGTTTTCAAAAATTTCGCGCGCCTTCGGCGCAGCATTTCAAGAACACTTGACCTTTTGTGACCTGGAGTATAAGGAATACACACGATGCAAAATCAATGCAGCACGACCTATACGAGGTTACGCAAAAAAAAAACTGGTGGCATGGTAAAAAACGCCTCCCAACCCCCCAACCCCCACTGAGCGATTTTTTATCTCGCGACCGTATGGCGCCCTCCTTGGGTGAGGTGGCGCCCTCCAAACCCTTGGCCCCCCCCCTTCGCGATTTTCTAAATACGCTGCTGGTCACAATGGGGGGTTAGCACCGAGTTCTCGGTCGCACTACAAAGGAGGTCGTGCTGGCGGATTACTGCTAGCGGCGGAGCAGAGGAATGAGCCAGAGGAGCGCAAAGCTACAACAGACGGAGCGGAATGCGCCAACGGAAAAAAAAAACGGAGTACAGCTGAGTAAAGACTGAGTGAAGGCAGCCTTGGTGAGCATTGTGACTAAAAATACCATATAATTAATGATTCCGCAAGACGTAAAAGACCAAAGACCGCATGCTACCGGGACATGGGAAAAGGACGTTCGCAGCACGATTATTCACAGAAAGAAGACCGACAAACCAACGAGCGATCACCGTATGAACTGAATCATGCAAGCGACAGTGCAACTCACCCAGGGGGTTCGCCCCACGGAAGAACTGCTTGAAGTCCTTTGCCTTCATCGGCGGCAGGGAGCGGATGTAGGCGCGAGCCTGGGAGCGAGGCGTGCGGTCAGATCAGGAGGAACGGCTCGATACACTCGGCGCTCTGAGGCACGTGGGCACGGAAACTCAGACAACGAACACATTCGACTGAAGGGCACAGGTACAGCGCTGGCGAAATCAAAAGGATAGAGAAGTCACATCAAGGAAAAAAATCGCACACGAAGTCGTGACAAACATTCATCGTGACTTGAGTACAATTGAGGCAAACAAAAACTTTCAGACGGGTTCAGTGAGGCACATAACCTTGTTCAATATTGTTTGCGACAATATATACCATTGGTGGGTTGAAAGGTGACAATTAAAATCATTTGGAGTTTTTCTGATCTCCGAAGTCTTAATTTTCAACACATCAATAAGGTGCACGCTGCACACTAAGAAATGGAAAACTTTGTCGACGTTCCTCTATCAAAACTACAGCTTGGGTTCGATTGGTCTAACACAACGCCAATAAGGTCAGTTATTTGTCTGTCTACTGTTTGTTTCGGGCAGTGTAACTATGGCGGTTAGTGGTTATTTTGCGTCTATACAGCCCACCTATACGTTGCAGACAGTAGACACAGCCGCAAACTCAGCCCACTGAAGCAGTTATCCCACTTCTCCCAGCCAATAGTGATGCGTATGCGTGAAAGGGAACTGGACAACAAACATTCGCATGAAATGTATAAATTAGTTTTTATCCTTCAAACTGAGTACACAACAGACAAGTAACCCTGTGACGTGCAGAATCAATTGTCCACAACATATTGATAACGTTGAGTCGGAGCCATGTTTCAGCCGATTTACATGTGGCATGAACGCAACTTTGAATAAAAAATGGCCATAACTAAATCGTGCTCAAGCGGTCAAATGTAAGGCACAACAGCATTTTGGGATAGTAAAAGTTGCAAATGACCAACCACCCCGAGTGAAGCACACATTGCATGTTCACATCACGAGTTCACCTCAGCCATTGCCAATTCATGCAATGCAACCAAGGCGACCAGGCTCGAAAAGTTAGCAGCTCGGCAACTATTCACAGGCGGCTGCTGTTGGGCGGCGGCTGGCGGGCGTCCTGGGGCCGCTTGCTACATAAACGGGAGGACATTTGCTACACAAACCGGGGGGAATGCTACATCAGCCCGACAGCTGCGCACTGTGCATAGCACGGTTAGTCCTACCTCGTCACTGGTAATCTTTTCCAGCGTAGACTCTTCCGGAGTTCCGCAAAAGAAAAGGATTCTGGTGAGCTGATCGATATCTGTTGGACGGCGTTAAGGTCGCTAGTATTAATTAGCAGCTGCGTGGTTAGTCATGTGCCACTCGGCTGTGACTGGTAGTCCCCCACTGCCCCGGTATTAGGGTTAGTCATGTACGAGCGGCTCGGACCGCCCCCGCGGCCCCACCGACACACTCAGTGGGACGGCGTCGTGCTCCACGGTCACACTCCACTGACGAGAGGGGAGGCTCGCGCGTCAGGCACTACCGGTGCACACACTACTTACTACCACTACACATACTAGCAGCACTACCGCCAGCACACGGCCGGTATACCACCGGGACAGACCCCAGCAGCTTCAGACCACACAGCACACACAGCATACGAAAACCACCCGTGTCCTCACATCTAACAGTCTCCCCCCCCCCCCCACACACACACACATACACATGGTAACAGGCTGCACACCATTCCCCACACTGCCCGGCGTCGTGTAGTCACACAGTACACACCAAACCACACCATTCCGTGCCTCTCTGCCCGTGCTCGTGCGGTGCTCCGTGCCCCACTAGCGTGCGCCGCGCTACTTACAGACTCGCTGGAGATTTTCTTCAGGAAATCGTCGCTAGGTGAGCCCTGGAGCTCGATGATTATGTTTAGTTGGTGGATATCTGTGCTCAATTAAGGATATTCACGAGTGGCATTGTTAGCGGTGCCATAAAACCACCAGAATGGAAAATGCTTTACAAATACAAAGAAGTGGTCCCGGAGAAACGGTGACTTATTTATCCACATTACGAGATGATTTGGCCCAACCGTCCAAAAGCAGTTTCTTTGTCGACTTATGTCCGAAAATCAGCTTTCTGTTAGGATGCTGTCCGTCATGAAACAAACAAAATGAATATGTACGTAAATGGAATTTGCCATACGTGTTTACTAAAAATTATTGGCTGCCACACAAAGAAGCTGGTTTACGAATATTATACCATTTGTCTAATGATTTGTCTTACTTCAAGAATCATCTGCAACCATGGCGAAACTCAAATTTGTCCTCTCTTGCCCATCCGCCGATCAATTTTCATACTAATTCCAATTTAATGCCTTCTTATGTTGCTAATACTTTACCGTAAACCTTAAATATTTATAGTATCAAACAATTTATCACCAATTCTACATCAAATATTCAAGGCAGCCATATTCAAGTGCAACTCAATGTACAGTGTACAGGTACCGGAGACACGCTCTCCACCCGTGCTCTCCTAAGTGAGCCATGTACCATGCCAGCTAACAGAGGCCATGCATGACGGGGAGCACCGGTCCGACTCGGGGGGGGGGGGGGGGGGAGGGCGTATCCACTAGACTACCCGTGCCGGAGGAGGGGGGGGGGGGAGGTCCGACACAGAGGAGCGCCAGAGGAGCGTCCAACACCGCCCACCGGATCACGACATGCCGGGACAGCCGACAGCGCCACCTGCCGGGTCACACTGGCACACCCCGTCACACGGACACACACACCAGCCCTGACCCTCCGCCCTGCCCCTGACCCGCCTGCCGGCCAACCGGCAGCGCGCGCTCAAAGGATACGGTCCGTGCCCGGGAACAGGGTCTTCCTGGTGAGCAGCTCGGCCATGATACAGCCCACCGACCAGATGTCCACTGAAAACACAGAGCACGGCCACACACGGTGAGGGCTCCCCGTGAGGCAGAGTTCGGCGGTTGGTGACCATAAACCATAGATGTTACGTAATGGTGAAACAATGCACTACAAGCAACACGAGAACTAGCATATGATAAAACAGGCCTGACAGAACCATTCTAAAATCTTTTTCATGCGACTTGACGTAAGCCGCATAACGATAGGTAATACCTACGCGAATGACATGGACTGCAGCAATCCGCAAACCACCAAATAATTCTTAGTTCTCTAAATGCAATAAAATAAAACAAGACACAAACACATGGTGTATACGCGGAAGTTGAATTGTGGACAGACTAGTAAAGCGCGCTTTACTGCGCTCAGCCAGTCCCCCTCCCCAGTACGCCCCCGCCCAGGCTCCTGCCGTCTACCCGCTGACGGCGGCCTGACTGACCGGTCTGGTTGTAGTGCATCCAGTTGAGCATAATCTCGGGCGCGCGGTACCAGCGCGTCGCCACGTAGCCGGTCATCTCGTGCTCGGTGGGCCGCGCCAGGCCAAAGTCCAGGATCTTGAGCTCGCAGTCCTCGTTTACTGCCAGGTTACTCGGTTTCAGGTCCTGAACACACGCGGTGGGGAGGATGTTAATGATGTGAGGCCCCAGTTAACAGCGGCATGCCGGCGGTATCGGATGGTCAGAGTGAATATAAAGTTCCCGCTCAGAGTACGGTCCGGCCCCAGGCCAAAGTTTACATATCCCGCAGAGCAGGTATGCCCTGCTCTAAATGTATTTGATCCCCCTGTTCACGTATACCCTGTTCTATGTTGCGGTCAGTAAATGCGGGATTAGGTGCCTATCCGCCGGAGTTTCCCACGCGACCGCTGATTATGCGAGGAATCCGGTACGCCGTGGCTCCATAAACGGGTCCTAGATCTTAGATAAGAGTGGCCAGGCAGCGTTTAACCGTGTCTGTGACCGTGCAACACCTTATCGCTCAAACGCCGTATCTCCTCACCATAACCGAATGGCTGAGCACGTAGAATCTGTATAAAGAGATTGTACGTGTTACCATATCTGCGTCACTATTTCAGTTATCTCGTAACATCTATACGGGAACTTCTCAGAACGATGTGTGACGCACTGGATTCCCAAATCCATAGAATGCTAGATTTCCTAAGCCAATGTGTTAGTGTATCACTGAAGTAAATTGAGCATTCATAAATGTAATGCGTTATTTACTAGTTACACGACATCTAAGAACGTGAAAAAATGTTCATTTTTATGTAAGCACAAGCCTTAGTTAACCCGCGCCCTGCTGGGAGGGGGTATTTTTTGCCCCCCTCCAGACTTTTCGATATATCTCCAGAACCGCTGCGCCGATCGTCACCAAACTTTCAGTATCCCTCCCGGGCATCAATTGTACACATTGTGACAATTTTTTCCAAATGACGTCAGAGTGACGTCGTGTTCTGCCGTTTTCGACAAAAAAAAGGTTTCGCGGGATGAGCTGTCAGGCCTAAAGCTTTGAAGATACATAAAAATATCTAAGAGATAAAAGGTGTAGAATTACTAGGGCTACAAAACTGCTATCTCGGAATTTTAATTTTTTGAATTTTAACCCAAAAAAATCTGCCTAAAAATCCAAAAATCGATTTTCGAAAAAAAAACGGAATATATGTGATAGCCCTTACCGACTTCTATTCACATACCAAATTTCGGATAGATACCTCTTTTTTTGGCCGAGTTATAGCGAAAAAAAAAACTGTTCTGTTGAAACTGTTGAAAAATTGACATAAAAATGCATCACACAGCCCTAGTAAAATTGGGTTCATGTGCTGACCCTTGGTGACCTGACCTGTGACCTGACCTGGTACTATTAGTGACCTCTTATAGCAAAATATGTACTAGGCAACTGACGCCCTATCGCTGATTTTCGATAAAATGCGTTTTACTCGATATTATAGCGCATTCCCTAGAAGACCCGTGAACGGCAAAACATTTTATCTTTGACCTGACCTGTGACGTCATCGGTGACCCCGAGGTCAATGCAAATGGATTCCCCTCAACAAATTTAACAGGGCTTTCGAACGCCGTTTGAATTTTGCGGATCCGCCCAGTATTTTCGGAGATACGGGGGGGGGGGCAAAAATAACCCCCCCCCCCCACACACACCAGGTCGCGTTATAAACAGATCCCACCAGGGCACGGGTTAAAACCGTAACTTCCAATTGTACGCCCCTGTTTATCATCCATGTGATAACCGTTCAGCCGTTTTCAAACACCTATGTAAGAACTAAGAAGGACGTGTCTCTCGGCCGACACCTGCCGAAAATACCCAGTGAATGATATCGCCACAGTCTGACTGAACAACATCGTAACAGTGTAGTCACACCGTTACGGTGCTATCACCTGAATCCAAAGATTCAACAATATCATATTAGTGTCTTCATATGGTAAAAGTGGTATCGCCACCTACCGACAAAACAATTCAGAAATTGTCTCTAATGTGTAGTGTACAAAGTCTGATATCTGACCCGAACTATACCGGATGCAGGGCCGGCAGTCAGCCAATTCCGGACTGACACCTACGTCCCACATACATAACTATCTCGGACTGACACCTATCCTATATCGGACTGACAGCTATCCTGTCCTCGACCGGCACCTGTCCTATCCCGGACCGGCACATACCATATCCCGAACTAATACCTATCCCAACCACCCCAGTGCCAGACTGGATAGCTGCCAGCACTGCCAGCTATCCTATCGGTGGCGGACACCTACCCGGTGGATGATCCCCGCCGAGTGGATGTACTTGAGCCCGCGCAGGATCTGGTACACCAGGAACTGCACGTGCTCGTCGGTGAGCGACTGCGTCTTGAGGATGTTGTTCAGGTCGGCGCCCATCAGGTCGGTGACAAAGTACCTGCCGCAGAAGACGGTCACATGGTACAAAATTCGGCGCGTGAGGTCACAAAATGAACTGAGTGCTGGCGGGAGCGAAATCCACGCGAGGCACAACTTCTACGAACAAGCACGCATGTTCCAAAATCATAGCTAGAAAATCAGCTGAAAATGGAAATAAGGCGCGGTTTTGTAATCGTTCTCGGACAGAATTGTTGACTTACACGTCCTTGAATGTCTCGTATGATGTGTTTGGATGGAAGCAGTCGAGCAGACCGATGACCTGGAAACAAGTAAAATGCGAAACGTAAATTTCAAGTTTCCAGTCATGAGAAAAATCAGTCTGCATGATAAAGACAGAGTTAACTTCTTTTCGATTAGTCCCGATCATTGTCGCTTCTGAATTCGGACCTCGGTTCAAACATATCGAGACATTGGTAAGGAGGTGGTTCATATTCTATAAAGCAGCTCCATAAATAATACTAGACGTGCATGACTGATTGATACATGGCAGCAATTACAGGACACCATGAGCCATTCGACGGGATGTGAAGCAGACAGCAACTACGTCGCGCAAGATGACGGCGGAGTCGACAGACCACACACTCTGTCTGTACCAGCTGCCCAAATCCCCCATACAATATCGGGTCTCAGACCCTCTACTCCACACCAACTCGACCCCACGACCCTCCCTCGGCGTCCCTCTTATCCCTGGCGCTGTGCCAGACGTACATTGTCGTGTTTCATGTGTCGCAGCAGCCGCAGCTCACGGTACGTCCGCTTGCCGTGCACCACCGTGTCGAACGGACGCGCCAGCTTCTTGATGGCCACCTTGGTGTTGGTGAGGGTGTCCAGCGCACCGCTGCGGCACAGAGGTCACGGACGGGTCACTGAGGGGTCACAGGTCACGGTCGGCCGGGTCACTGAGGGGTCACAGAGGTCAGACACATGCAGGAGGGGTTACAGCCAGGTCAGGGGTAGCAGGTGGACAGCTGGTAAGTGGGGGACAGATCATATTTGGTCAAGTTAGGTCAGGGACAAACTAAGGTGATCAGAGCTGAGGGAGCCAAAATGGATACTGATGCCTATGAGTTGATTGGTATCATGTCCACTGCTGATATTAGACAGCACCACACAACTCATAGATGAGTACTAAATGAATGTCATCCACAAAGCAGCAGCCATGTTCCAGCTCATCAACATGTTTAAAGATGCAATTAACACAGCATCCCAAACTTTGTTGATTTAGGTGGGAAACCACATCCAAATGAAAACAATTTGGATACTGTTTATTGTTTCACTTTTTTGTATTGTGATGAATGATCAATTATGTGTAATTTATGTGTGCTGCTTGTGTATTATATGTACCAACTTCAGTACCTATGCAATAAGCATTATCATTATTATTATTATTGTCCTTAAAAACCGACAGATTAGGTATCCATACTCCACAACATGGCAACAGAGTCAGCCAGACACACAAGCTGCTCAGGCAATAAATCAACACCAGCATGCACAAACCAGACTGAAAAACCATTACAGCCACAGCCTGCACCAAACAATGCCTATAACTTTTGCTACAAAATGCATAAATACACACTTGTGATAACACAAAACTGAAACTGCAATGAATTCACGGTATTAGTTTATATTAGGTCCGAGTGGACAATTGTGACGCTGTTGATACAAATATGTAACAGCAAAAAATTTAGGGTTTAGGTTAGGTTAGGTTGTAGGTTTGTAGGTTTTAGGTTTAAGGTTGGTAGGTTTGTACTTTGTAGGTTAGGTTAGGTTAGGTTGTAGGTTTGTCTAAATTCACATGTCTTGGGGCCACTTCTTGGCCATTTCACTGACGAACCCCATTCAGATCCTATTTCCTATTGATTATTTTTTAACTGCTGCACCAGCACAACCATCCAGCATGGTACCAATGAGGGCCCAAACCATTCCTTGCAAATCATGCACCACACTTAAGTAAATCCGCAGAGCAGAGCACAAAGCAGAATGGGATTATGCCAGTGCCGTGACCTCTTCAAAATTGTCATGCTTCAGTTTTGCATTAGGCAGACTGAGACATCACTAATTAAGACAATATTGAAGAAGAAGGAACTTACCATACTTGTCCATAGGCACCCGTTCCAACTGGGGTGAGTTCCTTGTATCGTAAGGGAATTTCCCATCTAGTTTTATTCAACTCAACAGAATAAAATCCTGGTTTCATTTTTAGAAGTAAAAATTGAAATGAGTAAACAAAACACAAGGCACTGGAATCTAAAGATAAGGTCCTCTTTTCTTCAGAAATGGTTATGACCTTAATAATGTGAAATGAAATAAATAATATCCGAAAAATGCTCGCAAGGCAGACAACCAAAACGCCCACCCATCGTCCGCCGAACAAAACCGTAATGTTGAGAAGCAAGAAAAGTTTTACTCTACAATTGTATAAACACTCAAATGTATTTTCATGACGTCATTCAGATACACCCAATGAAGAGGCGTTAAGATGACGTATCCCTTTTCTCAGCTTCAATGGAACTTTTGGTCTGATGACGTCATTTTATTTCTATATTGTCAAAAAAGCAAACACTATAGGATGAAAGCTACATATGTCTCTTATGCGCAGGGAATGCCCGAAAATTATCTGGTCAGCTGATTATTGTTTATTATGCAATTTGATGACATCAAAGTTGAGCGTACTGAAACTTATTTGTTTATTTAGCTGAAGATTATAAGTAACTCGGTTATGTTGTTAAAACAAATATCTTTCCTTCACTTTTGATTGAATAATATTTTTTGTTCCCCCCTATATTTCAAACCGGCAGTGCAAAAGTACAGCTCCAGGGCGAGGCCAGCTGACACTTTTTTACATATTCTACCATTAGCATGCAGGACATCGATGGGGATCGTTGGTAGGCAAATTTGTCGATTTGTTTTGTGATTTTCTGTGTGATTACGTGAGAGGGTTAATTTCAGGGGTGTTACTTCAGGTGCGCTGACTTCAACTCCTTAATAGAAGTTTTTATTACAACATCTTACTCAGGTAATGATAATTAGTTAGTTTGTTAGTTAGTTTTCTAGTGGTAAGACCTGTCTGAAAAAGCTAAAAGGCTCAGGGAAGCTTCAATTATGAACTAAAAGCTAGTGAAAGGAAGAGCCAGTGTAGCCGCCCAGTGGACACTCCTCTACCTCTACAATGACCTATGCAACCAAGTGGTCAGCGTAGAGGGAGCCGGTGGGGCGCTGTGACCGCCGCGCCAGGCTCTGAGCGGCACCGGTGGTGGACTGACCCCGACCGCCCCCTTTTGTATGAGTGTATGTGCGTCCATGTGTGCGTGCGCGTGCGCGAGTAGGTGATCGTGAATGTTGATAAAACGTGACTGACTGATTCTTGCCAGTAATTATCTTGTTGTGTGTGACAAATATAAATTCTCATTAAGCAACAAAGACCCAAAAAAAATAATTGCATGTTGGACGCAAGAGCCAAGCTCTGCTGCTACGCGCCCTAAACCAAAACAAAAACAACATCATTTTACATTTTGTATGTTCCCTCATGCTCAGCAAGCATATTCTCAGCCGCTAGCATGTTTTGTGCACTGACTGTGTTGTCATCCATCTGCTAGTGCTACTGATGCTAATATTATATTAAGCTGGCTATTTAGGTACATAATTTAAGAAACTATGTGCATGCTTGTGTGGATCATTAAGGGCTTTGATTAACATATCAGTTTGATTTGTTTCAGTTGATCTCCAATTTTGACCAAGGTGAACATGGTATGGAAACTGATCCTCTGAAGACAGACACCATGTCATATGACTCTCTGGGGTCATCTCAGGTATGTGCTGAGTGCTGACACCAGCATAGCAATAGTCAAAGATTTAGTGCTATAGGTAACTGATCAGTAATTTGAACAATACTTATTTTGTGTAGGTAATGTTTTCATTTATTTATTTCCTTATTTATTATTTTTAGAGACCCAACCTTTCTCAAGAACTAGGTCATGTGCTTATGATGGCCCAATATGGTTACAGGCACCTATGAGCTTTATGTGCAAAAGATACCTAATGAGTGTTTGCAAATTTGATTGCCTAAACATTGTGTTCCTTTGCCTCTATGTATGCAAAGTGATGTGGTGGGAACTGGGAAGTCCGGTGGTGCTAATCTGTTACATGTGAAAGTCCTTTCCAGTACCCAATTCAGAAATTCATTCTAGTTTGCTATTAGTTTATGTTACACTTTGTTCTCCACTGTCATCACAGCCTTGATGCTATGTTTTTGCATCACTTCTTCCTGTGCAATATTTGTCTCGACTTGGACTGCGTGGCGATTAACACAGCTATCCTCCCTAGAGTCTGTAGGCCGCCCGGGTTCGCAGCGCGGACGGCGTGCTCGCGCGGATGGAGGGCCAGGTAACGTGGTGGCTGGAGGCCGTCCCTTCTCTGCCTGACGGGGTGCGGGCACACACACACCGGCCGCTGGCTGTACATAGGGCGAGCGGGGCCCGCGGACCGGGCCTCACCGGCGCCGGCAGCGCGACCACGTGTCGAGGAGGCCGTCTGCATGTGTGGTGTGGGGCTCATTTAGGCCGAGAGCACAAGGATTAAACATTTAAATCATGGAATGTCACCGCTTCTTGGCGAATTGCGTTGAGTGATAAACACTACTAAATCGTGTTTACTAATCGATAAAGCTTATTGAGTGAAATTCGTCTGACCTGACGAAGACCATTACTTACCTAACAGCTTACGAGTTCAAGTAAATGTATTTTAATTAAAATGTTAATACAGGGGGCGAAAATTGAAGAATCTACATTTTCATTCAATGACGATCAAGGCGATGAAATCGAGGCTTTCAGCCCTGATTTTCGTTCCAATATGCTGCAGTCATGATTGTTAAGGATTGATTGTGGTTGGTACTTGATACCTATAACGCCACTGCATTCAAACCCTTTTTTCTCGCACATTTTTACATTTTGTTTCAAGCCTTGTTTGTTTTTGGTGTGTATTTTCCATTGATCGCTGTGTGCTGGTTCTATGGACGCTGATTTAGTAGCTGCCTCGGGCCGGGTCGGTCAGGCTGTGTTGGGCAGCACGGCCGCCGCCTCTCCCCGCTCCACTGCTGCTGTGGGCCCCCACCGGCACCGTTCGCCTCTTAGTCAGAGTCGGCAGCGCGGTGCGAATAGAGCCGACTGATATCAGCCTATCGGGTCAGACCGCCGCGCTGCCCAGTTTATCAGGCGCTAACCGAACGGCGGCGACCAGGCTCGTCCTGTAAGCCTTTACAGCGGGGGCAGACGTAATATGTATAGTCCACAGCAGAAGTAATGTGGGGTTTCAGTCATGGGTATGTTCTGCTTCTGAAGCTTAGGAACGATTAGCCAGACTACAATGAAACTTTGAATGTAGCTTATATGTATCGTCACCCTTGCAGCTGCAACTTAAGCTATTCACATCTTCTTTTCGAGCACTCCGCATTAAACAATCGCCAGTCAAAGCCAACCGTTGAGATTGGTAAAACCCTACATTACTTTAGCGGTGGGCTGTACTATGTAGATACCGGGGAGGTGAGATGGTTCCTAATCGTGAGGCGAAGCTGCACCTTTGGTGTAACGAATTCAGGTCCTGTAGGCTACCTAGTTACGCTTCATCGACGAAACAGAAATAGGATACAGTGCAGTTAGGTTTGGTGAAAAGAATAATCACAGTTTTGATGGTTAAAAAATCAAGCCTGCACCTGTCTTTACCTGTGCTTAAAAAATGGCGGTAAGAGCATCAAATACTTATCAGGCCAGCTGAAATATGCTGAGCCACGCGTCTGGTGACGCCGCCAGCTGTGCCGGGTGTTGCAGCTGCACTCCCCGACCCGTGCTCTTCTGCCGGCGCACCAGTGGTGGCGGTGGTGCTGGTGACGCCGATGGTGATGGTGGTGGTGGTGGTGGTCCCCGTGCGTCCCCATTTGGTGGAGGTTGGCTGTGCAGGGATGGGTTTCAGGCCGCTGGCACACGGCGCCCCTACTCTGCACGGCTTGAAGCCCTTAGATCGGCGGCCAGTGGTGTCACTTGAACACCTGCTCCTAGACTACTGTTCAGCTCTGTGTTCAGATAGTTTTTCCTGAGCTTTGCTACGGTTTGGCTTCTGCTATATCTATCTAGGAAGGATTGTGGTCAACCTATCACGACTTGTTTTGTTTTATTTTAGTGGTGTGTTTAGCATGTCATTTTTCCAAACGTTTGATGTTATTTTTTGGCAGCATTGTTGCTTCTATGATATTCCTTTTCTTTACTTATGTGTTTCCGTTCGCTGTGTATCTCTGTATTCTCTATTATTCTTCTGCCCTCGGTTTTGTATTCCATTTTTCTGTGGTACCTATACATTCTATTGTCTCCCCGTTTAGACAAGTGGATGTGTAGGGAATACTGTCCGGTAACAGTGGAGCCTCTGCCAACGCAGCTGGCAGACTATATCGACCGTGTGTTTGTGTATGTATGTATGTATGTATGTATGTATGTATGTATGTTTGTGTATGAGTGTATGTCTGTATGCGCGTTTGATCGTCACTACCGTACCAGGTTAACACCTGTCTGGCAGTCTTGCGGTCTGTCTGTGTGTCTGTCTGTCTGTCGGTATGAATGTCTCTATCTATCTGTCTGTCGCGTGTGATCGTTGTTGCGCTCAGCTGTGTGTGAGTTGGGACTGTGAGTTGGGACTGTGAGAGGATCAGCGCGTCACCGCTCATCCCGAGCCGGAAACGGTCCTGCGGCCTGGCGCTCACCTGCCAACGGCGTGTCTGCCGCCGCTGTCGTTACGTCTGTCGTCACTGCCGTCACGTCTGTCGTCACTGCCGTCACGTCTGTCGTCACTGTCGACATGTCTGTCAAGTGTCGTTATGTCGAGATGTATGTCGTCTGACGTCACCGTCGACACATCTATCGTCACTGTCGACATGTCTATCGTCACTGTCGACATGTCTGACGTCACTGTCCACCTGTCTGCTGTCGCTCAGTCGCCGAGTTTTCCCCGCTCACATATCGTTTTCCCTGTCGTCCTCGGTCCGCTCAATGAAAATTCCCTGTCACGGAACGGACACCAACCGCGGATCACACTCGAACATTGTTTTCCGCGCGGTAAAGTGAGTGTTTTCCGGGCTGTTTTTGGACTAGAGTCCACTCCAAACGGTCGTTTTCGATTCTGAAGAGCCGTTCGCGGGACGATACTGACTAGGCCGGCGCTGGTAAAGCTGTTGGAATGGTCGTGGTGGTCGGGGGAAACGACGGCTCGTGGTCTGTGATTTATCTGGAACTGCGCCGGAAAAGACGTTCGGCTGACCAGTGACCATTCACAAGTTGATAAGCAAGCAATGGGTTGTGGCCGGTGCTGCATCCGAGTGATTGGTGATTATGAGCTGAAGATTGGCTTGCGACGTCTCGTCGGTCGTCATGAAATTGACCCGAATCATTGTCGTATGTTGTCGAGTGTCCGCTTTCATGTTTGTACTGTGGTTAGAGTTTCTCCGGATCCACGGGCAGCGTCCATCTCAGCCGACTGTGCGACACTCCGACGGTGCTGTCTCGCCCCCCCCCCCCCCCTCCTCGCCCTGTCACGTGGCTCTCCAGACATCCGTCCTGCGACCGACTGCCCACGCGGCGGGCCGGGCCGCGCGCTCACACAACACACAGACACACAGACTATCATTGACCTCTGAGTGTTCCCCGGCTGACGGCCTCGGTTTACAGAGGACGTGGGTGACACAGGACCCGACACGGCACGTGTCGGGAGGGAGCCGACACGGACGATGTAACAGGGGAGAGGAGGGGGATCTGGCCGAGAATTCCTTTAGTCACGTGAGCTGGTATCGTTCGAAAGGGTGGCTCGATATGGCTTAGGTATTGAGAATGTATTGACGTCCCCGGGCTATGCTGGGTTAGCCACGCCCTTCTATTCTCTTGCAGTCTCCGCAAAAGGGCATATCAGTGGTACAATCTCAGTTCTTAGTTGTTACCCGCTTTACCTAGTTTTCATTTTCAACTTGTCTTCTCGATTTTCTAACCTGGCCCCCTTATCCAACGCGGCGCGTCGGACCCCGGCCCGCCATGCCGATAACATGGTCAGCGGACGTCTCCACCGGAGCAGGAGGGCTGGAGTGTGTCGGTCGCCGGGGTGGGGGGGGGGGGCGGATGTCGTGTGTGTCATGTACCCGTGCGACGGAATCAGGTCACCATCCGACCACCGGCCGCCGACAGCCGTCCGGTACGGGGTTCAGATCACGTCCGCTGAGTCTGATCACTTTAATTTGACGGGCTTCTCCATAGCTTTGATGGTAATGGAATGGTTTGATCTGTTTAAAGGGACTATCCCACCTTCTAAAATGTTGTTAAAACCAGTTAAATTGTGCCCGACTTTATAGATTGGATGACCAGGAACACGGTTCTGGCATTTATTTTTCATTAAACATCTTAGGCTTCCCATATTCCAAACACAAACTTTCAACTATGTGACGTCACAGCCCAAAATTACCTCCTTCCCCAGGCCACATTACTGTCATAAAGCTGATTCTTTTTACTCTGTAGGCACTACAACAAAGTTCAGACCAAGTTTTAAGCGATTTTTCAACGAACACATCCATTTAAATCAGAATGACTAAACGAGGTGACGTCACACTAACGGTCGCTCCATGTTGAAGATAGGGCCTTGCACAAGGCCCATTTTCAAATGAAGGGAACGAATTTCTTCAACACCAAGAGGCCGGGGGGGTTGCAACCTAGATAGATAGTGGTTTCTGAACCTCGCCGCAAACTTGGCTATCTCAACTCAAACCCCATGTTAAAGGTGGGATAGTCCCTTTAATTTGAGTTGTAGAATGCTGATTGACCTAAATTGCTTTAGATTATTCCGTGTACTCAACCTGAAAGTTAAATCGCACCATACGTTAACATCTGACATCTGGCTTGTCCGTGGCTAAATGACATGAGTAGGCGTATGATCCCTTCTCCGCCCGTTTCGCGAACATCTGCGTCGGTTTCGGGCGATCTTCTCGGCCCTGTCAGCGTGGCCAGTGTTTACTTCACAGTGTAACGGAATACGGGGACTGTGGGGCTGCTGACGGGTCCAGCGCCCTCGTCAGTGACACTGCATGGAAGGGAGGGGACTGGGGGCACAGACAGCCAGTCGGCGACAGACCATGATCCACGGACATCCTCTGACTCGTGGAGATGAATAATATCCTACCTCCCTCAGAGTGCGGCTGAATTAAGCTGTTACTGACGGGCACATGACGTGACCACGAATTGGATGACATGGCTATTGAAGCTGAGTCGTGGAAGCTATAAGGATGTCCTTCGATCAGAAGGCACTGAAAACTGAAGAAATATTTGTTAAACAGCCTTCTAAGACGGACATGGATTAGCTGGATACGTCGCCTGGCGTAGCGGAGTGTTTCATAATGGATGGAATATGGGTTTGGACATTTTAGATGGCTCAGATTGCAGTTATTTTCTTCGTCGTGGAAAGCGAATTCCTACGCCAGGGATGGTCAGCCGCCCGGCTTTTTTCATTCGTGTGGCGGACTGCATGCCATCACACAAAGAGGCACACAAAAGTGTCTGACGTTTGGGGCCCACTTAGGCCGCCGCTGCGGCTGACTCTCACAGAGACTGCCGGTTTTCAGTACGTCACCACCGTACTTTAACCAGTATCGTTCGCCGCTCCAGTTTCTTGTTTTGCTTTACTTTCGTTCTCTCTTGGTAAATATACCCTGGCGTCATTCTCCCACGCTGCAATATGGGATATTCAATCCTCCCCCCGTGGGTGAGCAAGCCGGATGTCAGCGGTTCACCGCCGGAGCGGTGTCCATGTCGGACCGTCCACTATCCTCACAGGAACGTCTCACAGTTCAGAATTCGATGGTTTGGCTCTCCTGTGGTCATCGTCTGATTCCATCTCCACTCTTCAGTCGCCGACGTTTGACACAGGCCGTCTGCTCGCTCTTCTCTCGTCGATGGTCACCTCAGCTCTCTACACCTCCCTACACGTCCCTCACGTCTTCCCCACGTTACCCCGTCCTACCCCTCCCGGACGCGGGTCCGGCCGGCTCCCGGGGTGGTCGGCGGACGACTGAGCCCCCGTCGAGTGCCGCCCACCTGTACCACACCGGGCGGGCCGGCACCGCACCTGGGCGGGCAGCTGACCGCGCGCGGCGCTGTCGGTCGGCCACCGCGGCCAGCGGCTGTCAGCGCGCCATTCGGCCAGCGGCGGTGTGCCCCTCCGTGCTGCAGCGGCGGTGTGCCCCCTCCGTGCAACACGCGGAGCCATGTACGGCTCACACGTGCACTGGGCGGCCGCCCGCGCTCGTCGCTTCTACGGACAAATCACCGAGGAGGGAGACGGCGAGGACTCGGAGACGGAGGACTGGCGGCTCGGGGACAAGGTGCGACTCGGCCGGTGCTGAATCTGCTGCTGGCGAGGCTGCTGCTAGCTGTGGGCGACTTCTCACGGCCGAGCTGTCCCACATCCTGCTGCGGGCACCGGTGGCCTCCTTTGTGGTTGTTTCGCCTGTGGTGAATTCGTCGGTGGTCGGAGAAACTCCGAGACAATAGTCTTCCTGTGGTTCCCCCGTGGTTCGCCTGCAGTGGTTTGGTAGTGGTGACGGTCGGAGGTTCTCTAAGACAGTGATCTCCTTTCGATGGTGATTGTGGCCTCCAGGTGCCGTAATTGGTGTCTTCCGTGATCTATGTTGTGTTTGTTTGAGAAAGACGTGTTTTCGGTCGGTGTTTTCTGCCGTGACCCACGTGTGTCTTAGGAGTACAACGTGCTTTCTGTCGGTGCTGCCGTGTGCTGTGACTCATAATGTGTCCAAGAAGCAATGTGGCCCAGGGCTTGATGACTCGGCTTCTCTGCCTTCCTCTGATCGGATCCGCTTCAGTTCTCGGTGTAACGCGGTGGAATGGGTCTCCGGTGGCTGCCCCGGTGTTGGTTACTATCGGTGAAGCGTGCGCCGATCTGGTGCCGGGTCAGTGCGCGGATCTGGTGCCGGGTCAGTGCGCGGATGGCGGTCGGCCGGAGAGCTGTGGAGTGGTTCGAACACCGTGTAGGTCCCGTGTGTGAGAGGTGTGGTGGTGGACGTGACTGCTGGTTACCTGTGACTAACGAGTGACCTGTGACTGCTCGATCCACGGTGACCTGTGACCTGTGGTGACCTGTGGTGATCTGACCTAGTCCCAGTTATCGTGTGTAATGTGTGATGTTTTGTTGTAACCTGTGACAAATCTCCGGTAGCTGTTCGAATAGCGATGCTCTTTGTGACATGAAGTGACCCCCGGTGACCTGTGCTGACCTGTGCTGGCCTGTGACCGGCAGCAGTCGCCGGAGCGGGGCGCCAGTCGCCGCCGCTCGGAAGATGGCCTGGCTGGGATCTCCACCGATGGCACGGTGCTGGAGCACGCGCTGCCAGAGAGTGACCGGGGCCTGGCACAGCACCACGGTCAGTTCTAGGTCTTAGCTCTGTATGGGATGGAGAGGGTCGGGCCCCGGAGATGAGTGGTGGAGCAGGTACGGGCCATGAGGAGGGTTGTTAATGAGATAGGCCACTGTATCTGAACAGTGTTTGGGAATGAGGCATTGAATTGCAATTATGGCACCATGACTAGTGACTTTTGATACATAAGATGCGTAAATTATCGTGCTGTGGATTGGTTGGCAGATATCCCCATCGCCGTCACCATCGCCGTCCATTTCCGGACTCCCTGTCAGCACAAGCCCACGATGCGCCCCTTTACGTCACCTACTCGAAAATTCCATCACCCGCACAAGAACAGGCTGACAACGTGTGCACCACTGTACCTCCTATGTCACTGATTGTCCTCTGCACCACCTGTATGTATGTACACACAGCCCCTCCCGGGACGATCCGACGAGGGCTGTGGGTGATAATTGCCCGCGGTTGGGCCAGGACCACCTGTGGGTCGCACCCGTTCACGGTACCACGCGCCCGGCCGCCCACTCACCGCACTGGGACCGCAGCGCGACGCACCACCTACGGATCAAGTGCGACGCATCACCCACTACACTAGGATCAACGGCGCTCCCGGTCACCCACCCACCACACGGAGGCCGCAGCGTGACACTCAGCACACGCACACCGCACTGGACTGGAGGGGAGGGAGGATGAATGGTGCACGCGCATGCCATGCACTTTCTAATTAACCGTGTGTATTATGCTCATCTACGCATGAAAACCTTGCTCTTGCACCATCACGTTTTCGCTTACTTTCACTCAATTGGTTCTTTTTCGTTATGGGGTGGTAATATTGCATCTTTTTTAGTATGATACTTTTGTATGTGCAAAAGGATATGTTTCCTTGTTGCTATAAAAGGTATAGTGCACTGATGTACTACACCTCTTATCGCGATCTATGCATTTTGACCTTTGCACGCAAACTGTCTATCATTCCATGCTAATTGCACCCCACGCGCACCTTTTCTTTAGTTTACCGGTAATATGGTCTTCTAGCGCCTCATTACTGTGCACCTCGGACTGTTTCCCACCGGTTTACCGGTCAGTGTCGGTGCCGTGTTTCCTGGGCGGTGGATCCTGCCGGCCCGGCCCGGTCCCGTTCGGTGGTACTCCCTGGAACTGTATGTGTGACGGCGGCGCTGCACGTTTTCCGCCGGCTGACCGGTCGGCCGGTCCCCGCATGCGTCTGTGCTGGAGCGTGTGTTGACCGTCTTCTTTCCCTCTCTCTTTTTCACGGCCAGGTCATCATGTGTTGTTCGCCGGATTCCCAGGTGAGGACCGGGTGGTTGGGGAGTGAGGACAGGGGCTGGTCGTCAGGGGACCGCCAGCCGAGGTCGAGGAGAGCCTGGGCCGCGGCACGGCACCTGCACATGGTGGATGGAACTCGAGTCTAGCACAGTCCCGCCCGGCATACCCGCTAAATCGCTTTGCCCACGATATTATTAGGCTTCACAATAACATTATGTCAACATTCGCTTATTGCCCACCTATTTAGCTTTTGCTGGACATTGTGTGGGCTTGGTCAATCGTTGCACTGCGCCTCCGCCCCAGAATATCATCGTCATTAACACGCTTACACTGCTTTTGCACACACGAAACGCGCATACGCTTTATCCACCTAGAGCTCCGCACGTTGGCGCTGACAAAGACACACGCACACGTTACTCCCCGGTTGACCAGGCGGTTTGGTGTCAGTTTGGAGTGTCACCGACACTGCACCGCTGTCACGGTAGGGGCAGCGGTGTCACTCGCAGCTGTCAGGTGTCGTGACTGTCACCGGTCAGGGGCGTCGTCTGTCAGCTGACATGTCAGTCTGTCACCTTCTGTCAGACTGTCGTCCACCCCCGCTGCTGGGACACGGGGACGGAAGGGATAGAGTTCAGGGTGTCATAGACTTATACAGTGTCCATCAATCTCGTGAGAAACTCCCCTAAAGCGTCGTGGTATCCTTATGGTCTTCGTCCGTATTATAGTCCTATTGTAGTGAGAATATCCGTACGATCTTGGTCACAATAGCGGGGATGAATACTGAATAGCACCCACGCTCGGTTCAGGTGAAAAGAACGGACAGATATCTCCTGTGAACTTCAGCTAACGCGGGATATGGCTCTGAAGAGTGCTAGGTAACGTCCGGCCTACACAAAGGGTAACCGTTCACCCCTCGCGATACTTGATCGTACTGCCTTCACTGCGTCCCGTCTTTAGATCGTAAAGTAGCACGGGGACTCTCCATTACTCCCAGTACTATGTCGAGCTCACACTCTCAGAGTTCCACGGGCCCCTCTGTAGCGTGTGGGGCGCCCCTTAGGTGTGACAGGGTCAGTGGGGGATGGGGGGGGGGGTCAGAGACCATCGATCGGTGCCTCGGACGGTGGGGAGGGGGAGGGGGACCTCGTGGGTCTGACGGACAGACTCGCCTCCCCCTCACCTGGGTGTGGTCTCCTCTGTGGGGAGGAGATGGGTCACTAGTGCTCAGTGATTCCGACCGTCTCGCTACCCGGGCTACGGGGAGGTCAGTCGTCCAGCCAGATTCAGCTTTCCAAGTGCGATTTAAATATTGGGTGAGTTGGTAACCTGTCCTGTTCTGCACTGATGAACAAGAACAGCGCTACATAACTCGTGACCAATTAGACCGCTTGACAACATTTTGTCGTCTCACGGTGCGTGTAAGACTGCAGCAATTAAAGATTTGGCTCAGAAAGTAAAACCCTTTGGGACGAAAGCGTCTGCTGCCTCGGCGCCATCCCTGCCCTGGCGCTTGACGTCCCGCAGTGTGTTGGCGGCCGGCTAACTGGTAACCCGAGCTACCCGACCTCCCTGTACGCCTCCCAGTCTACCCGGGACCCGAGCGACTCCGCTCCTGTGGATATAGTGATTCCATGCATCCCTGAGCTCCTTGTGCATCTCCCACTCTACCCGAGCGAGTCCACTCTTGTAGATGTAGATGTAGATGTCCACTCCTGTATCCCTGTGCACCCTAACTCCCCCTCTATCTCCCGTCTGAGTGTTCTGTACGTCTGTGTCCGTCAGGTGTGCCTGGCAATGCCAGCGTGGAGATGGAGCCGGAGGGGGAGCCGTTCGGCCAGTACGACGACTTCCATACCATCGACTGGCAACGCGATCTCGCCAGGGATCGAATGCGCCATAGGTGAGATGTCCCTCCCCCGTCTTATTACCACACTGGCAACGCGATCTCGCCAGGGACCGCATGCGCCATAGGTGAGACGGGCTCCTCTCGTCTGCCGCCTGGTGAGGGGTACGGGACATCCATAACCGTATCTATGAACGGGTGGAATATTGCTTTATCTTAAACATGGTTCGCCTCAGCAGGTTTTGGGCCCAATAGTTTCGTCATTGCCGGCTTTGTTTGTGAGCCGGTGACTATGGCTGGTGGAGCGTACATATTTGATTTTGCCTAGCGGGCAGACTTTACCCAAACATAAGGCGCGATTGACGACGTATGTCTTATATAACGCTCATATTTACCACTTTGACGTGAATAGCTTACCCCATCCCGTGTCTGCCACTTTGACATTTTTGCATATTGACTGCGCTGCTAAATACCAGCAGATATCCGTAAGTCGCACGATTCGGGTACCTAAAAGGAAAGGGATGTCCATTTTGGCACATCAAAGCTGCACACCGTCTCTTATGGCGCCCGAGCTGAAGTACCCTGGCCGCTGGAACCTGTGCCGCCATCCTCAGTGTCTCTAATAACTTTCTTCTTCTTTCTCCAGGTACATAGTGAAGAAGCGTCAGACGGGCTTTTTCGACCTGGTGCGCCAGTTTCACGACGCGTGGAGCGGCTGGCTGTGCGTGCTCCTGGTGGGCATCGTGGCCGGCGGAGTGGCCGGAGTGATCGACATAGGGGCCAGGTAACCGAGACGGAGACGTAGCCCGCAATACATAGCTGCGTCCTCTGAGCGGTGTTGAGGGACGGAAGGTATGGGGTTGGCATTATACTACTGTAATGTCGCATCATGCTGGGCTGGTTTTGTATTTCACCAGAATGCTTTGGCGGGTTTAACCTGACAAGTACTTCTCTCGGACTCATCTTCGCTGAATTTTATTATTATTTAACTTGGTATATTGTTGCAGATTGAACAATATTAACCCTTTGCAAGTGAATCTATTGTTTTATGTTGCCCTTGGCTCTCAACTCTCGAGTGCCCTTAGACTGGCTGTGAGTGCCGTCTAGCGAGCTGGCGACCAAGTCAAGCTACCTCCCGTCATATAATAACGATGCGCCAGTGTGCCTGAGCCAAGGCATTTTAGTTGCCGCCCGATGACGTGTTCCTACCATCTCCCCCAGATGGATGGAGGACATGCGTTTCGGCATCTGTCCAGAGGCGTTCTGGCTCAACAAGGACCAGTGCTGCTGGTCGTCCAACGAGACCTTCTTCGAGGGCGATAACTGTTCTCAGGTACCGCCCTGCTCTGCTACACTGCCTGTGTGCTCTCGGATCCGAGGCCGGCGGCTAGCAAGTAATTTTGGCATTAAAATCATCAGAATCATGATCGAGGTTTTATTTTGTTTTCCACATGGGGATTTAATTTGACTGGTTTGCATAAGTCTTTTTCTTGTCCCGATGTTTATTCAATTTGCAGATTAAGGTCACTGTCATTCAGCAGTAATCCAAACTTATTCCTTTCCTGTCGCCGTCCCTGCGCTGACCTGGGGCCCTCTACTAACCCCTCCGCCCCCCCCCCCTCTCCCCAGTGGTACTCGTGGCCGGAGGTGCTGGGCGCCCAGCACGACAGCGCCGGCGGCTACGTGCTGGCCTACCTCTGTTACGTGGTCTGGGCGCTACTGCTCGGCCTACTGGCCGTCCGACTGGTGCGGACATTCGCGCCGTACGCCTGTGGCTCCGGTATTCCCGAGGTGAGACGGATAGGCCGGGGGCGATGGTAACTGTAGGGTACAGGACTACAGGTTTTGGTCTTAGGAAAGGATAGACACTAGACAAGGATGGTTTGTGAAAAGTGGATTGTACGGAAAGCCGAGGATGGGACTGCTGGACTGAGTTAGGGCACTGAGAGGAGAGGGCTGGCGATGCACTGGAGATAAGAGGGACGGGGATGATGAGATACGGATACGGGATGAGAGGGATGAGATAGTAAGAGATGAAAGAAGGTTGAAGTGGTATGAGAGAGGACAGGGCACAATACAACTGAGGGCTAGGAGAACATGTAATGGTGTCATGACAGGGAGAGGGTTGGGGTAGGAGGAAGGGGATGGTGCGCCCCGCGCCCCGCGCCATGCGGTGCTCCGGTGGACACCTGTGCCACCACTCGGGCCCGAGTGTGTCCGAGTGTGTGTGGCGCCGCGTCTGGTTTATGGTACCGGCGGTCGGTGAGATTGATTACACCCCGTTAGTGTCAAGGCCGACGGAATGCCAGGTGGTTTATTCGGCAGCTGTGGGGACCGCTCGGACCGATAATGGGTGTCGGCAAAACAGTACAAGGGACTAGAGTGACGGAATTTAGTGGAATGTAATGCTTATGCTCGTTAATCGATGCACTTGCCCGGACGGTAGGAAGTCCTATGCGGTTGTTTTAATATGCACTCATGAATTACTGTGAACGTTATTTGTCACCTCTGACGTCCTCTTTCCTTCCCTCCACGAACAGATAAAGACGATTCTGAGCGGTTTCATCATCCGTGGCTACCTGGGCAAGTGGACGCTACTCATCAAGTCGGTGTGTATGATGCTGGCTGTGTCGGCCGGCCTCAGTCTCGGCAAGGAGGGCCCGCTGGTCCACGTCGCCTGCTGTATCGGCAACATCATCGCCTACATGTTCCCGAAGTATGGCCGCAACGAGGCCAAGAAAAGGGAGATCCTGTCGGCGTCGGCGGCGGCGGGCGTCTCAGTGGCGTTCGGCGCGCCCATCGGAGGCGTGCTCTTCAGTCTGGAGGAGGTGAGGGGCGGGGAGAGGGACTGGCGTAGTGCTGGTCTGTGATGTCGCTTCGTGTATGCGAGGAGAGAGATCAATGGCCTTTGCAATTGTCCGGTGTAAGGAGTGGGGCGGGGAGGCCGGGTGAGTGATGACCTGTGATGTGAATTTCTGTGTGGGATGGGGTGGAAAGAGGAGGGGTCGATGGTATGATGTCACATTGTGCGGGGAGAGCGTCGGCTGAACAGCTGACACGATATTCATTAGTTGAACCAATAGTCAGTTATCAGCGTGGGATTTAGAACGATTGTGCAGCGAATACACATGATGATGACTGACTACGTTAAAGGTAGTGTGCCACCTTTGAAAGATTTCCCATTTTATTTTTCCTAGGATAAGAAGCTTCTGTTTTTACCTAATATCGCAAAAAAAATCAAAAATGGGCCTGGAATAGTGCCTTTTTCGCCTAAAAGTTTTTCGGTTTTTAGATATGTATAACAACTGTAGTGGGCTCACCTGCAAACAGGCGTCGGGCAACAATCGCGAATGCGGCGCACTTGTGACAATAAGCAAAGGTCATTATAGTGTTACGACCATACGACGTACGGGAATGAGTTATCAGCTGTCTAATCGTAGACAACACAATGTCGAGCCTTAAACTGTAAGCCCGTATTGGTATTGTTTCTTTTATTTGGCTGTCGAACATTATTTATGGTTTGAAATATGATTTTATGTAAAATAATTGATATGAAAAAGCCGTCTTATAAGTTATGACCCCATTTCACCACACGCAAGTGGCAGAAATGACAATGATCAGCTGACGCATTTTTCTTGGCCGAAGTCAGAGCGCGCGGCCCGACGCACCACGCGTATTTGGAAATTCCGACCTCGACGAGCATCAGAAGCCACCTAACAGGCGTGTTCGAAACCGCAGGAGATGATGATGAACGGGTTTATCGAAACTTGATTGGATGAGCATATCGGTAATAGCGATTTCAGTGTGTGCATTTATTGTTCATAGTGGTGTGAAATGTGGTTGGGGTACGACCGACAACCCGTCGGGGCGAATTTCGCACTGGGGTACTCAAAATTTGAAGAATTTAAGTTGTTTCCATGAGTTTTGAAGGTATGGATGAGTTCTAAAAATCCGATTCTCCTTATCTGGGCCATTAACTCCATACGGTCCAAGAAAGCTGGCACACTACCTTTAACAAAGCGCAATACTTTGCCGCCGCCGTCCGTCTTTGTCATTGGGGTTTATTACTACAGCGTGTTCGATTACCACCTTGCCCGCCCCTTTGTTTGTGTTTTCAGGCCAGTTACTATTTTCCACTGAAGACCCTGTGGCGCTCGTTCTTCTGCGCTCTGATCTCTGCGTTCATCCTGAACTCGATCAACCCGTTCGGGAACGAGCACTCGGTGTTGTTCTACGTGCACCACGAGCGGCCCTGGATCTTCTTCGAGCTGCTGCCGTTCATCTTCCTCGGCGTGCTGGGCGTGAGTGATACGGTGTACAAAGGGGAGGGGGAGAGAGGACTGAAACGTTGCGTGAACGATGCAGCGGGTCACGGGGAAAGGGCATGGGACGGTCCCATGGGAAGCCGTTAGTTGGGCAGAGGGGCCGGTGACGTCGTGTCTTCCGGGGGGGGGCGGGCTCGCTTCGGCTATAATGAGCTCGATGGCACTCACCCTTTTACAGGTTGTCTCATGATGATCTTAGTGCGTCTGAACTGGAATGACTGGTTTCTGTTCATTCGTCTTACTCTGTGTTATGAGATCACCTTATTTTACCCAAATTGTACCCTTAGTTTACCAGCAGACAGCCGAAGAGGATGCATTTTTACTTTTTAGGCATCTGACGGACTGGCCCCGTTCCCCCTGTGTTCCCCGCAGGGTGTGATTGGCGCCGCCTTCATCCGCTCCAATATCTTCTGGTGCCGGTTCAGGAAGACCTCCCGGCTGGGCCAGTACCCGACCACCGAGGTGGTGGCCGTCACTCTGGCCACCGCGCTCCTGGCCTTCCCCAACCCCTACAGCAGGATGCCCTCCTCCGAGCTCATCAACGTGCTCTTCAACGACTGCGGGCCCTCGGAGGGCATCGACCTCTGGTGAGTCCCGGTCTACACTGCAGCTTTGTCAGATTTCAGATGCATAAGAAAACAAAGCTTAACGATCAGCCCGAGCGAATCAGCCACCAAGCCGTTCACTGCATGGCTGAGATTTAAGAATCAAAGAAGGGTCGGATCTTCTCGGTTAGTGTTGTTATTATTATGGTTATCGCTTTTTATCGCGACATGAGACTCTTTCCTGTGACCTGTGGTATATTCTGGTATAACTGATGAACCATTTCAACTGGTCTGTTACCTGCAGTACCCATGTCCCCCAATCCTTACTGACGCCCCCTTCCCCTCCCCTATCCAGCGACTACAAGCGCAACTTCAGCAGCATGAGTCAGGCTATCGAGACCTCGGAGGCGGGCCCGGGCGTGTACACGGCCCTCTGGCAACTGGCCATCGTGTTCGTCTTCAAGTTCCTCGTCACCATCTTCACGTTCGGCATGAAGATCCCGGCGGGTCTGTTCATCCCCAGCATGGTGCTCGGAGCCACCATGGGCAGAATCGTGGGTGTCGGCATGGAACAGCTGGCCATCAACTACCCCAACTGGTGAGATAATCTAGTAATAATGAGTGTATAACTACTCCATGGAGCAGCTGGCCATCAACTACCCCAACTGGTGAGTTAACAGGGAGATAATTCAGGATATAATTACTCCATGGAACAGCTGGCCATCAACTACCCCAACTGGTGATATTCCTGCTGGTGGGGCCAGAGGTGGTGGGGTGGATGGGTGGACCAGCGCTTAGTAGTGTGGCTGATGGGTAGAGTCCTTGTGAGAGCCATCAAAGGTGAGCGACATGGATGGTTAACAGGGTTGTGCTCGACTCAAAAAAATTTGCCGACTCGACTCATCATTCAACTTCAGAAAGCCCTGACTCAACTCTGACTCAAACAAGGAGCTGATTTTTTCCCTTGACTCGACTCATGACTCAAACGGCTCAATGAAAATATGAGTCGACTCAAACTTGACTCAAATTTTTTGTTGAGTCAAGTGAGTTGACTCAAAATTGACTCAGATAAAAAAGTTGTTGAGCGGGGGCGGGGGTGAGAAAAAAAAATTCCGGCAGCAGGGCCAGGGCGAAGTTGTTAAGCGGGGGGGGATGAAAAACTTGTTTCTAGAAAATTGAGTCAGCTGACTCATGTTCCTAAATGTTTGACTCAACTCAATGTCAAAAGTTCTTTTACTGACTCAACTCTGACTCAACTCAACGCCTTAATATTTTTGTCCGACTCAGCTCTGACTCAATTCAACAGCTCAACATTTTATCCGACTCGACTCAAATCTGACTCATTTGAGTCAGAGTTGAGTCAAATGTCTGACTCGACTCATGAGTCAAGCACAACCCTGATGGTTAACTTGAAGGCGTTATGCGATAAAGTAGTTAACTTAGTTGAAGTGAACCTTAGGTAAAGTGAGTGAACATTTTATTAAAGTCAATCAGTTTTTCGCTTTTTATTTCATCATCAGCTACGAATATGGTCTAGGCATTCTATTATTTTGAAGCCGTGCCGAGAACCTTAGCAATATATTCCTATATGCAAATGGAAAACACCCAAGTAACTTTTCACTTGTCATTCGGGTTCCAAAAGACCCAGCTGTGGACGCTTCGTATACAAATGTGCCATTTGAGCCTCATTCCTTTGTCGACCGCTAACGAGGCACAGGTGTTGCGTTATGTAGTGGTACCCCCCTTCTGTCAGTGTTGGACTGTTGGCATGTGTTAAAGACTGTGGACCTATGCCAACGAGCTGAGCGGGTCGTCTGTATGCACCGAATGTGCCTGTGCCAGTGTTCAGTGTGTGTCTGTGTGTACAGCTGTGCCGTCCACGAGGTCGGTAGTCTACACTGGCGGGTGTCTGTCTGTGTTACTGGGAACCGGCGCTCTCATTGTCTGGTGTATTTGAATCCACCCCGTGACATTTAGCGTGACTTTGACTTCAGCCGGTGTGGCTTTGGGCTTAAGTATAACTCACTTGCTCAGTTTGTATGTTACTTAAAGCTAGTGTGCATATGGTTTGTTTACGTTTTATTGTCCACGGCGGCAGTAGGTCCTATTTTCGGGATGATGAGTGCCGAGATATGAACATGTCTGCGCCGTCCACACGGTTTCCGATTATATACCTATCTAACATGTATCTGCTAGCGATTGCACCGGGAGGGAGAACTGTGTTATCTGATATGTGTCCGTGTCTCTAGGTGGGTGTTTAGGACTGAGTATACCGCAGAGGAGAACTGTGTCTGATGACTGAGTGTTATGTACCGTGTCCTCTCAGGTGGGTGTTTAGCAGCGAGTGTACCGCCGGCGAGAACTATATGTGATATGTGTCTGTTCTGTATCTCTAGGTGGGTGTTCAGCAGCGAGTGTACGGCCGGCGAGAACTGCATCACCTCCGGCCTGTACGCCACCGTCGGCGCCGCCGCGGTGCTCGGTGGGGTCACCAGGATGACCGTCTCACTGGTGGTTATCATGGTGAGTACAACTTGGTACCTACCTACCCCTCACACCACACCCTAGTACACTGTGCCTGGTGGAGTCACCAGGATGACCGTCTCACTGGTGGTTATCATGGTGAGTACAACTCCGTACGCTCACTCCAACACACTGATGTACCAGAGTAGAGTCACCAGAATGACTGTATCACTGGTGGTCATTATGGTGAGTACAACTCCTTACCCTTACTCCACTCCAACACATGACTGTGTTGTGTCAGTGCTGAGTCACCACACCAGGATGACCGTCTCACTGGTGGTTATTATGGTGAGTACAATCGCGCTGGCCCGTGTACTGAAACTTATGGCTGGCCCTGTCTTAACGTTTTTTAGTTCCACCAAGGACACGGTATAAAGACAGTCATTGTATTCATAGCAAGTAGGTACAACCTCTATTGGTCTTTTTATCATCAGTTGTGACTACATCAACTGTTACCGATCCCCACCTCTCTCCGATGTTGGTCGACTCGACCTCTCCCTTGCGCCCCCGTAACCTGACCTGTCAGGTGGAACTGACGGGCTGTCAGTTACATCGTGCCGGTTACTGCCGCCCTGGCCTTGACCTGGCCTTGACCTGACCTGACCTGACCTGACCTGACCTGCCTGCCCCCCCCCCCCTCTGTCAGGTGGAGCTCACCGGCTCTGTCAGCTACATCGTTCCCGTCATGGCTGCCGTCATGGCCGCCAAGTGGGTGGGAGACGCGCTGGGCCGCGAGGGCATCTACGACGCGCACATCTACCTGAACGGCTATCCGTTCCTGGACAGCAAGGAGGAGTTTGACCACACCTCGCTGGCGGCCGATGTAATGGAGCCCAGGAACAACGTGCCCTTCAGCGTCATAACGCAGGTTAGATGGGTGGGAGGGAGGGGTGGGGGTGGAGGTTGGTCGCTCCGGTGCGGATTATTGGTTGGTCCTGACGCTCCCAAAGCCGACAGTTGTATGTTAGATAATCGTGGTCAGTGTTTGGCGCATTCGGTGGCCCACATTTCAAGCCGCCCACTTTTTCTCTTTCGATCATGGGGTAGTTAACTGGAGCTATATCCCTCGGCATCCCGTTTCCGCATTGGCGCAAAGGGGCCATTAAATATTCAACATCCCCTGCCAGGGATCTTTTTTTCTAAATTTCTCGCCTCCCGGTTCGATTCCAGAGCTCGATGACTGTCTCCGAGATGGACTTTATGACTGTGATTGGGGGTGTTATTTAGTTGAGTGTATTTGTTCCACGGTGGTGTATAGCTCATCATTATCTTCTGGTTCCGTTTTCAGAACTCGATGACGGTCTCTGAGGTGGAGCATATCACTTAATGGAGCTGAGTGTGTACTGTGTAGTTTACTATGTCCCTGGCCTCTGGTTCCGTTTTCAGAACTCGATTGCGGTGTCGGAGGTGGAGTCTGTTTCTGTTACTGAAGCTGAATGTGTAGCTCACTGTGTCTCCGTTCTTTATTTTCAGAACTCGATGACGGTCTCGGAGGTGGAGTCTATGCTCAAGGAGACGGAGCACAACGGCTTCCCGGTGGTGGTCTCCAAGGAGTCCCAGTACCTGGTCGGCTTCGTGCTGCGGCGTGACCTCAACCTGGCGCTCGGTGAGACGCGGCGGGGCTGCTGACTGACTAGGTGGAGTGTCGTGAACACTGTCTGTTTGGTGACAGGGCAGGCTGCAGAGAAGTTTTTTGGATAGGTAACAGTTTTTGCTCAGTCTTTCTTTCTGAAAAGTGCACATCATGGAGATAATTGTCAGAATTTCCCTTTCCCCTTTATTGCGAGCGCTAATTCTCTAGCTCTCTGCCTCCCTCCTAAACTCCTTGTCTCTTTTCTTCCGTCAGCGGGAGCTCGGCGGGACGGCGTTCCCGGCCAGTCGCTGTGTCTGTTCCCCTCTGACCGGCCTCTCTCCCTCCTTTATCAGCGGGCGCTCGGCGGGACGGCGTGCCGGGCCAGTCGCTGTGTCTGTTCCCCCTCTGACCATCCCCTCTCCCTTCGTCAGCGGGAGCTCGGCGGGACGGCGTGCCGGGCCAGTCGTTGTGCCTGTGACCCCACTGACCAGGACCACCCTATCTCTCTCGTTCCGTCAGCCGGCGCTCGGCGGGACGGCGTGCCCGGCCAGTCGCTGTGTCTCTGACCTCTCTGACATATTTGTCTCCCCTTCCATCAGCCGGCGCTCGGCGGGACGGCGTGCCGGGCCAGTCGCTGTGCCTGTTCACGGCCGTGCCGACCGGCCAGTGGTCGGGCCCGCCGCCTCTGCAGCTGCGGCGCATCCTAGACCTGGCGCCCATCACCATCACCGACCAGACACCGCTCGAGACCGTCATCGACATGTTCCGCAAGCTCGGACTGCGACAGACACTCGTCACGCACAACGGGTGAGCCGTGCCGTCCTACGAGGGGGCGGGAGTAGCCACGCCCTGTGACCGGACAGGCGATGGATGAATGTTGACGATTCCGACGACCTCAACGGCGGATGTCGTACATAAATCAGAACTGGTAGCGTTGGTGGCATTTGGATGGGTCTCATTGGGTACTGTTACTATACATCTTTTCTAGGCGCTCACGTATTGCCTTGATTCGTGTTTCGTGCTGTGTAGAGTTGAACTGCTCATCATTAGCGCGTCATATTGCTTTGTGCCCCATGCCGTTCCTCCACTCCTTAGTCTATATTCAGTACACTGAATTCTGAAAACGTGTACCGTGTCTGACCCCCGCTCCCTCCCTGCAGCCGCCTGCTGGGCATCATCACCAAGAAGGACGTTCTGCGGCACCTGAAGCACCTCGAGGTGGAGGACCTGGAGCAGGTGCCGTTCCACTAGCGACCCTCATTCGGCTGGGGATCCGGAGCCGCTGCTGCTCCACTAGCGTCACTCCTTCGGCCGGTGGTAGAGGTCCCTCCCGCCGCGAAGGTACGGCTGCGCTTCTGAGAGTGAGCTGCCCGGTCTGTGACTGACCCTGGGTGGGCCAGGGGTGGTCTACTTACGCCGGGTCCGCCAAAGCCGGGTCTGCTGGGCAGCCGGCCAGTGTTGGCTGGTCTGCGGTCGATAGGCGTGCGTGGATCATCGTTAGCCTCATTTGTCGGGGACCGGTGATCGCAGAGGCCTGTACTCGCACCCCGTCGGCAGAGGTCGCTGCTGGGAGCCGCCGGTAGCTTTCCGGTCGCTCAGTGCTCGCTGGTCGTATGGTGAGCGGCCACCCTGTGCTCGCTGGCTGTATGTTGAGACGGTCGGAAGGGAGGGCGGTATATCGGCGAGGTCTGGTCCGCCCCGGCTGGTCTGTCAGTGGCGCGGTCTGGGAGTGTGTCCCGGTTGCCTAGATAGGCCGGTGTGTAACAACCGCGGCTCGATGCCCGGCCGATTCAGAGTTTAGATCCGTTGCATGGGTCTGCTTCACCTCAGCTCAGTTGGTAGGTGGCTGGTGGGGCCGTGATCTAACTACCCCTGCCGGGAACGAGTAGAGACAGCCACCGCCCCTGACGGCTACAATTCACACAAACCCTCAAACACAGCGCATACAGGCAGACACCTCGTAGCCACCTAGCTTTGTTTTATTGTTTTAGGTGCGGGCTAACCTCCGCTGTCAGCGCGGCTGGTGTTGGCGCCGCGGTCGGCCGACCGTTCTCGATGGTTATACGGTTTACCATGTGTTCAGTGGCCGGCTGCGCGTTGCAGCCGCTACCCCTCGCTGAAGTGGTTAGACACTGGTAGTCATTTGGCTGCTGCCCGACGGCAGATTAGTGAAACATCTGAGGGTGGCCCCTCACTACAGATCGTCACCAGCTGCAGCTAGTGTTTTCGGGTTCTGCGACACCTGAGCGAATGTCATTTCAGCGAACGACATTTGAGCGAAACATTTTCAGCGATTATCAATTTAAGCGATTGGCTTTTTCAGCGATTGTCAAGTCGGCGAATTCAATCACAGCGATTATCAACTTAAGCGAGGACCAGAATCAGCGAAACCAGATTGAGCGAATATATGGTGGTCAGTGGGAGACCAATTGAGCGATGCAGTTACAGCGAATGACCGAACGCGACGAAAGTCAATCATTTGCTACTTTTCGGAAATTATTGCACCTCTTTACGCATCATTTGCATTTTGAAGACACATATGTACATCGGGCGACCAACAAGGGGTGCATGGGAGGGAAAGGAGGCGGGCAAAATTTGATTTGAAAATGCGGAACGAGATAGGGTGACGGAAGGAATGCCAAGGACCAATAATAAACTAGAGAGATGGCACAGGGGAATCCAGTCTATGTTTCAGGGACCTCACCCAAATATCTGGACATTCGTACGGTGCTTGGGGCAAGAACAAATTTTACAACATGGGGAACTGATCCAAATTCAAGCGGGGCAATTTCGCGAAAAAAGCAAAAGCAATATTGATCTCTGAACAAACGTTTGGTCACCATTATTGACAAAGAGCAGGGTGAGGTAGGGGGGGGGGGGTGAAATTGAACCGTTGGAATTTTTGACAAATGTAGCATTAAATTTGGAGCTCAATGTCTGACCTTTGAACGCGCGACATCCGCTATCCAGTTCCGGATAACCATGAGAAATTCCGGAAACATTCGTACGGATACGCTCGTAAAAGAAAAAAATCCACCGTTACAGGACGATGAAATGTTTCGCTGAACTAACAGTCGCTCAAATTGTAGTCGACGAAATAGATGTCGCTGAAACATAGCTTTCGCTAAAATTGATAATCGCTATATTTGATGATCGATGAACTTGATAATCGCTGAATTGCCATTCGCTGAAAATGGTTCGCTCAAATGACGTTCGCTCAAATGACACTCGCTAAAGTCGCTCGCACCGGTGTTTTCGATATCAGGTTAATCCGTTCTCGCTGTTGCAATGTGTTTGACCGTTGCTCCATTGGTTTACTTTATATTATTATTTACGCATATGTGAATAGTATAATGTTATCGATCTGAAGCACTAGTGATCAAAATAGGTCGACGAATACCAATTGATAGTTGTTTGTCAGTCAATTGAAGCGAGGTTTTGATGAAGGTACAGTTTGTGCGGTGTAGTTATAATATGGACAAATATTGTGTCGAGAGTTCATGAACCTCCACGAATCAAACTATGAAAACATTTACATTAAAGGCGTACCGGCTTCGTCTATTGACTTCTTCAGCGCCGTTGTATCGAAACAAGGAACCCAAGGAACAAGAAAACGAGCACAATATCAATCGTTTGAAACGTTTAGAAATAATAGCACGTATTTCTGAGAACAAGGTCTGAGTAGTGGAGTATCTCCTAAATAAAACGAATTCATGCATATTTTCCAGAACATGTTTGCGAATAGATTGTTACACAAAACATGTTCACGAAAATATGTATGAATTTGTTTTATTTAGGAGGTACCCCATTACTCAGACCTTGTTCTCAGAAATACGTGCTATTATTTTCAAACGTTTCAAACGACTGATGTTGTGCTCGTTTTCTTGTTCCTTGCAAGGCCAGTTCCTTGTTTCGATACAACGGCGCTGAAGAAGTCAATAGACGAAACCGGTACGTCTTTAATGTAAATGTTTTCATAGTTTGATTCGTGGAGGTTCATGAACTCTCGACACTTGTGCGGTGTACTTTGCATGTAACGCTAAATGAACGCAGCTCATATTCATGGCCAGCGATATTTGCATAATGCGCATGCCATAATTGATCGGCTGATCTGTGCATCGATTTCAATCAAAGGTGCAACGAAAACACTTATCCATAAGATATCACCTCATTTGCTGGCATTTGTTTATTTATGCGTCTCGCTATCACTGGGTTTGGTAGGTTTAGGGTTCTCCACAAACTTAGCCTCGCCTGTGCGCGCTCCTATCCGTCAGGTGTTCTCTCTTGCTACGTATCTGTCTCTGTTGGGTCCTCGTCTCTCATTTCGCGGCGTCTCATGTATTTGGAGCGGTCTGAAAGGCTGGCCGATGTAGCGTGCTGTACCGTCTCATCCACCGCTCTGCCGAACAAGTCAGCCGTTCGGTCCTCAATGTCTACTGTACCTTCTATTAATTTATCGTGGAGCATATACGCATGTTATATCGGGATATATGTATGTGCGTTTGCGTCTGTACGCCTGTGCGTCTGTAGTGCGTGCGGCGGCGCCGGGCGGGGCTCCTCCGCGAGGCAGTTCCGGCCGGCTGGTCCGCCGCTCCTCAGTCGAATACACGTTCAGTGTCCGCTGCCGGCGTGTGTGGAGTGATTGCTTATATAGGGAGACCCGGCGATGGGCCGCCGGCTGACCGTGCCCTTGTAGTAACCTCGGCTCATGGAGCCGCGTCGCCGACCGCCTTCGACCGACGGCCCGGGAAATCCACAGTCTCTGGGTCACCGACCATGGCCAGCACAGACTGAACAGCCAAACAGCGCTCCATTAGCGATGCAGCGGAAGATGGACGTGATCTCCGTGCTGACGCCGCTGGCACCGTCCCACGTAGCGCCTCCCAGTGTAACTGCCATGAGCAGTCACGATCCCTGGCTGCTCCGAGCGGCCCGGGTCCGATGACCTGCCGGCGGCGCTCTCTCCCTCCCCTCCTCTCTCCACCTGACCGTGCGGCCGGGTCATCGGCCAGTCCCGTGGATGGGCCGAGGAGTGCCGCCTCTAACCGGCCCGGACCGGCCGGCCAGTCACGGGGCGAGATTTATAACGCCGTCAGAGGTGACCGGTGGGCCCGGGCCGGCCGCTCGTGGGTCACGCTCGGCAGTCGACTATCACGGCCCGAATACGGAGTGTCTTGTAGTCGGGGTCGGAGGGTCGACGGCGGGCTACTGCCGGGTGACGATGGAATCCGGTAACGCTGCTTTTGCCGGATCACGAATTTCCGAAATGCATTATAATGCATTTCGACAATTCATAATTATGAATTGTCACTGGATTTCACTAAGTTTGGATGTTGACGACAAAGTTCTTTTGAGAGTGTGTTTAAAGTAATTTTTGTATTGCTTAGGTTGCTTAGCACCCATAGAGCGTTTAATTTTGCAATTGGCCCTCCCCGTATCGTGTCAACAGCAAACTGTTAGCGTGCTCTCCGTCTTTTTACATTGAACAGAGACACATATTAATTGTCGCAAATCAGATATATTTATGAAATACATCAGTACAATATCGGATACACCTAAGCATAGATAACATGAATTTATGTTATCTATGACCTAAGTAATAAAATCTCTGCAACCAGAGATCACCGCGCTATTTCAGTTACAAAGTTGAACACACTGCTCAATGCCCGCCTGCGTCCATCGACACTCCAACAACCAGCGATAGGTGGAGGAGGGCACCTACGGCACAGGGTCCGCCCGCGCCCGCGCATCCCGCTCCGTCCCTTCGCAGGCACAGAGACCTCGGGCACGCGTGACGGGCTTTCCTCGGCACGGTGGACAGCGCGGAGGCAGGATGCTGTAGATGCTGTCGATGGTTTCCCCATTGGAGACGCTGCCACTGTATTCGCCGTCAGTACCACTGCCGCTTAGGCTGCCCTCCGTGCCGCGCTTGTTATCACTGGTGACGCCTCCTCCAGTGAAACTGTCACCTCCGCTGTGTCCTCCGTGTGTACCGCCGCCGGTACAAAATCCTCCAGCGCTGCTCCCACCGGAGCTGCCTCCTCCAGCGTCGCCTCTGCTGGGGTCGCCACCTCCTGTATTGCCTCCAACACCGGTGCCACTAGAACTGCCTCCTCCAGAGCCGCCTCCAGAGCCGCCTCCAGAGCTGCTACCTCCTCCAGTGCCTCCAGTACCGGTCCCACTGGAACTGCCGCCTCCAGAGCCGCCTCCAGAGGTGCCTTCAGAGTTGCTCCCACTGGAGCTACCTCCTCCAGAGCCGCCTCCACTGGAGTTACCTCCTCCAGAGGCTCCAGTACTGGTCCCAGTGGAGCTACCTCCCCCAGAGCCGCCTCCAGAGCCGCCTCCGCCGGAGCTGCCTCCTCCAGAGCCTCCAGTACGGTTTCCGCTGGAGCTGCCTCCTCCAGTGCCTCCAGAGCCGCCTCCGCCGGAGTTACCTCCTCCAGAGCCGCCTCCAAAGCCGCCTCCGCCGGAGCTGCCTCCTCCACTGGAGCTACCTCCTCCATTACTGGTCCCACTTGAGCTGCTACCTCCCCCAGTACCTCCTGTACTGGAGCTGCCACCTCCTCCACCACCTCCACTGGAGCTGCTGCCTCCAGTACCTCCAGTACCGCTACCACTGGAGCTACCTCCTCCAGAGCTGCTACCTCCTCCTATACTGCCTCCGCTGGAGCTGCCACCTCTGCTGATACCACTACCACTGTCTCCGATCTTGCCACTGTCACTGTATCCGCTGTCTCTAGAATCACCGGCGTTGCTGGTAGCTTCACCAGCCCCGGCCTTCGAGAGAACTTCTTCAATGGCTTCCGTTTTCTCCCTAGGTTGTCTGTTTTCCACCTCCATGGGGCTGGGCCATCCCCTGACCAGCGTCACCGCCAGCAGTAGACACAGCAGCCGACACGACCTCATGGCGGCGACCGTCTCGGACGACTGACGCCGGCTGCACATTATACATTACCCCCCCCCCCTCTCCCCGCCCCGGTCACGTTTGACCTTCACATCGGACGCTGACCGTCTGCCGTTGACCTCAGCACAGGCAGACCGATCGTCCGAACGGCAATGAGATTTATTCATGAAGTGCCGGTATGCTTGGATGCACTTGTATGAGATAACAAAAGAGCCTTACTTTTAAAATGGCCTGGTCGTCTCCAACTGGTGTTTCGACCGTATGGATGCATGAAGCGTTTAAAGCTTAGCCTTATAAATCCGCTGCATGTTTGTTGAAAGGACAGATTTTCTCAGAGAGCAGTGTGACATTTTCCTCAGTCAAGTGATGAAGTAGCATATTGCCGTGAACGGATTGACTTGTGGTAGCATTATATGTATTGTATAATATAGCAAAAATGTGCAATTCATTATATAAATGTTTGTTTTGTGGAGCTAACTCATTGAAACAAACTACGTCAACGATTAATTGTGTGAATGACATTGCTCAGGTTTATCCCAGCTCAGAGCTTTTATTTTTATTTGCATGCTCCATCACATATCACACTTTACACCAGTTTATTTCAGGCTGGAACATCATTAACACAATCACGCACAGGTGTGATCAAATAAATAAACTACATGTAAAACCACAACGCCGTAACAGCCAACCGCAACAAAAACAGAGTCCTATACAGTTAACAACCAGAGATCTTGTTCAAGTCTCCCAAACTTGACAAAATGCCGCTGCCTGCCGACCGGACGGCCTATGGCACTTCCCGTCTGGCCTCAGCCCCATAGGTCGACGGCTCATCGGCGGCCTCCTGTGGGAGCCCGTACGGTGCCGCCTCGCCCTGCCCCAGCGGAGACTCCGACTCTGGCTGGGGGTCTAACCCCTCTCCCGCACTGGGGTCGGCCCCGTCCGCCTCCGGCTGGGGGTCTAACTCCTCCCCCGCGCTGGGGCCGGCCCCGTCCGCCTGCGGCCTCAGCTTGGGGAACTTTCTGCAGCAGACGCCGACCAGGTTCCCGCCGAGCTGGCAGTGCACCATGGCCACGGTGGGCGTCTCAGCCGTGATCGGGTAGCCCAGCTGGTAGTTGTCGGTCACCAGGTAGCCCGAGTAGGGGTCACACGCGCTGCGCGGCACGCACGGCAGCGCGGAGGCCGGGCCCGGACAGCGCAGCACCACGTGCTCGCTGACGGCGCCGGCCGAACCTTCGCCGCCCCCAGTGCTGCCGCCAACTAAGCTGCCGCCTCCACTACCTGTGCTCCCGCCGAAATTGCTGCCTCCACCTCCACTTCCTCCTCCGAAGCTGCTACCTCCGCCACCAGTTCCTCCTCCGAAGTTGCTGCTTCCACCCCCAGTTCCTCCACCAAAGCTGCTGCCTCCGCTGCCACTTCCTCCACCGAAGCTGCTGCCACTTCCTCCACCTCCGCTGCTACTTCCTCCTCCGAAGCTGCTGCCTCCGCTGCCAGTGCCTCCACCGAAGTTGCTGCCTCCACTGCCACTTCCTCCCCCGAAGCTGCTGCCCCCACCGCCACTTTCACCTCCAAAGTTGCTGCCTCCGCTGCCACTCCCTCCACCGAAGTTGCTACCTCCGCTGCCACTCCCTCCACCGAAGTTGCTGCCTCCGTTGCCACTTCCCCCTCCGAAGTTGCTGCCTCCACCGCCACTTCCTCCACCGCTACTGCCTCCTCCAAAGTTGTTGCTCGCACCGCTACTGCCTCCTCCGAAGCTGCTGCTTCCACCCTCACTTCCTCCACCGAAGCCGCTACCTCCGCCGCCAGTTCCTCCTCCAAAGTTGCTGCTTCCGCTGCCACTTCCTCCACCTCCGCTGCCACTTCCTCCCCCGAAGCTGCTGCCTCCGCTGCCACTTCCTCCTCCGAAGTTGCTTCCTCCACCGCCACTTCCTCCTCCGAAGTTGCTGCCTCCACCCCCAGTTCCTCCACCAAAGCTGCTACCTCCACCGCCAGTTCCTCCGAAACTGCTGCCACTTCCTCCACCTCCGCTGCTACTTCCTCCACCGAAGTTGCTGCCTCCGCTGCCAGTGCCTCCACCAAAGCTGCTACCTCCACCGCCACTTCCTCCGAAGCTGCTGCCCCCACCGCCACTTGCCCCTCCGAAGTTGCTGCCTCCGCCGCCACTTCCCCCTCCGGAGTTGCTGCCTCCGCCGACACTTCCCCCTCCGAAGTTGCTGCCTCCACCACCAATTCCTCCTCCGAAGTTGCTGCCTCCGCTGCTACTTCCTCCTCCGAAGCTGCTGCCCCCACCGCCACTTCCCCCTCCGAAGTTGCTGCCTCCGCTGCCACTTCCTCCACCGAAGTTGCTGCCTCCGCTGCCACTTCCTCCTCCGAAGCTGCTGCCCCCACCGCCACTTCCCCCTCCGAAGTTGCTGCCTCCACCGCTACTGCTTCCGCCAAAGCTGCCGGTTCCTCCACCGCTGGTTTGTGTTCCGACGGGTCTCGAAACGACGGGACGGTTGATGAAACTTCCCCCTCCGCCGGAGGACTGGCTCAGAAATGGATTGTTGCCAAAGTTGGGGCCGGTCTGCGGTACCTGCTGTTGCTGCTGCTGCTGCTGCTGCTGCTGCTGCTGCTGCTGGACAGGTCGCTGAGGGTTCTGGAAGCCAGAAGAAGGCGGTAAATTGATTGTACCTTCTAAGAACGGATTGGAAGGACGCTGTGCCGGCCGCTGGGTGATAGGCTTTGGGTTAAATGGCGTTTGAGGAAATGGCTTGTTGGCAGGTACCTGAGCGAACGGCTTGTTGACGGGCTTCTGGGAAAACGGCCTGTTGGCAGGGACCTGAGCAAACGGCTTATTTACAGGTTTCTGGGCGAACGGCTTGTTGGCAGGTTTCTGAGAAAACGGCCTGTTGATGTTGGTCGGTTTCTGGGCTGGCGGTCTGTTGGGCGGTACCTGAGTGAAGGGTCTGTTGGGAGGCCTCTGGGTGTCCGTCGGTGCCGGTGCCGGCGGACGGCCACCGGTCAGCTCCCACGCCTGGCTGAGCTCCGGCGGCGGCTTGTAGTCGGGCGCGAACGGGTTGTGGTGGCCCGACTGACCGGGACGCAGCGGCGTCACCTCGATACCGGCGCCGAAGTCGATGCCGGTCTGGCCCAGACTGCCGCTCTTCTGTGGCGACGCGCCTTCGGTGATGCTGTCCGGAAGGCCGGCGTAGTCAGAGGCCGGCATCGCGCTGCTCGGGGTGTCGGCGTAGTCAGAGGCCGAATCCGAGGCCGGGATCACGCTGTCCGGGATGCCGGCGTAGCTGAGGGCCACGGAAACGGTACTCTCTTGAGTCTCCTCTCCAATATTGTCATGGGCAAGCTCCTCATCGCCGCTGCCTTCTTCATAAGTGTCTTCATCGCCGCTGCTTTCTTGGTCCGTTTCGTCATCTGGAGCAGCGTCTAGCACTTCTTGGAACAACGCCTCAGTCTCTTCGCTCACTTCGTCACCTTCAGAAGTTTCTTCGTCTGTGTTCTCTTCAGTTTTCCCATCCGTACTATTTTCCTTGTAAGTTGCTACGCTCTTGACTTCTTCCTCAACTATTGCATCTACATCACTATCTTCTTGAGTAATTGGCACGTTGTATTCGTTAGCACTTTCCTCGACTTCTTCATTGTGTTCTTCAACATCAGCTTGTTCTGCTAGGTCTTCAACAACTTCTTGACCTGAGTTGTATCCTTTAACATGCTGCTTGCCTACCCCATCTTCACTGACTTCTTGGTGACTTTCGTCGTACGTGACGGCTTTCTTCTCAGCTTCTCCAGTCTCTCTGGACATGGGGCTTGGCCATCCTCTGACCAGTGTCACTGCCAGCAGCAGACACAGCAGCCGACACGACCTCATGGCGGCGACCGTCTCGGACGACTGAGGGCGGGCGGCCGGTTATCACAGGCTGCCTCCACCTCCGCGCCTCTGCTCCCCAGCCCACCCAACCCGCCGGTCTCCCGACCGGGCCGCCGACCGCGCCGACCGCTCCGCCCCAGTCCGGTCTAAAAGTCTGGGTCAACCCGGCTGCCGTCCCAGCGGCAGTGCGATTTGACCTGACCCTACGGCCTACAGGTGTGCATTTCTAGAATATGAGGTCAAACTCGCCTCGGATAGGGGAACAACACATGTCGGTTGTTTTGCTTTACCGCCGGAATTATCCAGATGTAGGTTGTACTGATGTGTAAAAGTGGACTAACACTTGGTCGTTTTTAATTGGTTGGATGCCGTTCGGATTCATGCTATTAATTATGTAAAAATCTAAGCCTTGATTAAAGTTATGCGAGCGAACGCGAAGTGCCAAGTCAGTTCTTTCCTTTTCATTATATTGCAAAATCTTATCATGAAGGGCAGGTTCTTTTAACCCGCGCCCCACTGGGGTCTGCGTATAACACGCCCTACTGGGGGGGGGGGGGCTATTCATAGCCCCTCCTAACTCCGAAACTACTGGGCCGATTGTCAAAATTCAAACGGCGTCTGATAGCCCCGGAAAAACTGTCGAGCGAAACCTAATTTCATTGACCTCGAGGTCACCGATGACGTCACAGGTCAGGTCAACTAGTCTGTGGGGAAATATGCAAACTGTTATTCTTGCGTCGAAAATGATCAAGAACTATCTCAAGCACATGGAATCACGATTTCATGCACTACTTCAAGGTCCGATGTTTAACTTTGGCATCGTTGTTCTTACGTGACGCCATTCAGACGTCATTAAGTTTATAGACGTAGGTCCCGATCAAATTGGGCTAGTGAGTCGGGTAAGCCACCAATGAACTCGGAAAGATCTGCTAACTCGAATGATATGTGGTATGAGTTATGACCTCCTTCGACCAGTTTCATGACCTGAGTGACTCTGACCTGACCTTGACCAGGAGGTTAATACCCTAAATTGACCTTCCCAAACAAAAAGTTTGACCCGGTGGCTACTGGCTGAGCATGACAAACGAGATTAGGTCAAAATCGCAGCTCTGTGATAATTTTCGGCCAAGCTATTTGCCAAAAAACGGACCCCCTACCATAAGGTCTCTGATCTGAGCCCGAAGATCACCAGCTGAACTGATCCAGGCACTACGTAGTGACTGTGCCTTATGCCAGTGCACATGCTCTCTTTTTGCCCTAAACCTTAGCTCAGTTAGGGTAAAACAGCGATTGGGCTGTACCCACCCCGCCCTTTTTATTTCTGCCAAAAACACTTATTTTTGTCGCTACTTTATTTAGGAGCCAAATCAGAGGGGAGGTAAATTCATTCCTGTTTTGTCGCATTACGATTAAACGCCATACAGCCATCGCCCATGAGCATATGAAGTATGATTATTTTTTCCCCATGGCCATTACCAGTTATCTGTGCAGGCAAGACACAAAACATTTCACATAGTTATTTAACCCTCGCCGGCCGAGGGGGGGCGGGTGCCGCCCCCCCCCCATAGGGTTTTTTCGCGATAGCTCCGAACACGCTGGCGATAGAGAGCTGAAACTTGGCATACCTGACCTTTGATCCAAGCCGGATCTTTTGACATCAACCGCATTTTTGGGTCAGGTCAGGTCACTGACCTATGACGTCATAAGTGAACCTCTGCACGGTCTTCAGATGTCGCAACTTCGCAACGCCCTCACTGCCAGAGGAGATGTCACAGGGAAATGAAACTTGCAGGATCTAGTATCCATTATGAGTCCCACAACTTGTATATCTCGGATTTTTCCTAAAGGTCATATGAGGTCAGGTCATTTTCGTGACCTCACCATTATAAGTCAATGGGGAAAAATTCAAACTGCTATTCTGGCGCCGGGAACGATCTCCAACTATCTCAAGCACACGGAATCGTGATTTGATGCACTCCTTGCAAGGTTAGATGCGTCACTTTTGCAATGTTGACCTTGCGTGACGTCATTTATGACGTCATCAAGGTCAAATTAGTTTTTCGTCAATAACTCTTGATCAAATTGAGCTAGCGAGTCGGGAAAGGCACCAATGGACTCAGGAAGGCCTGCCGAATCGAATGATATGCGACATGACCTCTTTCGACCAACTTCGTGACCTGGGGGTGCTGACCTGACCTTGACCTGAGGTCAACACCCCAAGTTGACCTGACCCGGACAAAAAGTATATCATTCGACGCGCCTGAGTGAGGCGAACACGATGCTGCCAAAATCGGCGCTCTGCGGCCGTTTTTTGCGAAGTTATTCACCAAAAACTGAACCGTACCCTGGGGCACTTGACCTGACCTCAGAGGTCACCGGTTGACCTAGGACCTTAAAATCGGGTACCAATCTCTGCGTCTCGTAACGGCGCACACGCTCGTTTTTTCCGCGACGCGCTAGCTCCACCAGGGGCGAAACGGCGAGGGGGGGTCTTACCCGCCCCCCCCCCCCTCGGCCGGCGCGTATGTAGAAAACCAATAGGTCCGGCGAGGGTTAAGTTTTGTTTCATCTACCACGATTATCTCAATAAAACCACGCATATCTAAATGTTCACATTTTCGTGCCCTTTTAACACAATTAACCACAAAATCATAGGCGGCGGAACGGGGGGAGGGGCACCGTGCCTCCCCCTTGATTTTGCCATTTTAACATTAGCCCTATGGGCGTTGCATGGAAAGATGGGACCAAAAGTCGGCGGTGCTCCCCCCCCCCCTTCATTGCAGGTGTTCCGCCGCTACTGCACAAAATAACTATTGCATGGACCGACGTAGTTCGGTCCATGCAATAGTTCTGGCGTCGTTCTTCTGGCGTCGACGTTCTGGCGATGTAGTAAGGATGGTTCACTAAGGGTGAATCCTTTTCTCTGAACACGATCTTATTTCGTCAGCTTTTATGCATGCTGATAATTTTCCAAAATACGATGCTTTTACATAGGTGTGTTTTTCAGTGATTGATAGAGACTTGGCTGACGGGGAGAGTCAAGGTGCTCGTGAAATATTTATCATAAACAACAAGCTGGCGTAACAAGCTCGTTTTCATATAAAACATCAAACAAGTCCCAGCTATAACAACAACAACAACATTTACCCATTTATACATACGTAAAACTTTTTCCTTCATAGATAATCTGATCACGATGGCACATCATAGAACACGCCTATCAAAGCTACTTTTGTTTTTTTTTCTGGCCTTGGTTAACGTTTCCTTCTCTGGGTTTCTTTTTTGTCTTCCTTTTAACCGCTTCCACTTGTCTGGTCTTGGGTAGCAGGCCTGCCGGTTGTGCTTGGTCTTGTGTGGTAAGGCAGGAACAGCTTGGCTGTGATTGGTCCCGAGTTGTTCCGAGTAAGCGGGGAGAGACCTCAGCTTGGCCTAGTTGGTTGGTCTTCGAGTAGAAACCACAGGTCTTCTGGTTATAGCTGGTCTCCGAGTAGTTTACCTAATCTTGCGAATGAAGCGGCGCTTTGAGGGTCACTGTGCAGTGGCAGAACGTTTCGGCTTTTGTGTGGCAGGCCTACTAGCTGGTCTTCGAGTGGCAGGTTTTTTAGCTGGTCGCTTGGTGGTTGCTGGTCTCTGAGCGGCAGGCCTCTTAGCTGGTCTCTGAGCGGCAGGTTTCTTTGCTGGTCGCTGGGTGGTTGGTCTGTTGCCCACTCGTGTGGCCACCATCTTATTGGGCGGCTTCTGAGCGGCCGGTCTCTTAGGTCTCTGAGCGGCCGGTCTCTTAGGTCTCTGAGCGGCCGGTCTCTTAGGTCTTTGAGCGGCCGGTCTCTTTGGTCTCTGAGTGGCGTGGTTCTTTGGCTTCTGGGTAGCTCGACGTTTCGGCTTTTGCGTACCTGGTCGTTTTGGTCTCTGGGTGGTTGGTCGTTTTGGCCTCTGGGTGGCTGTGTTTTTCTGTTTTTGAGTGCCTGGCCTCTTCGGTCTTTGGTTGGTGGCTGTGTTCTTCGGTCTCTGAGTAGCCCGGTTTTTCGGTCTCTGAGTAGCCTGGTTTTTCGGTCTCTGAGTAGCCCGGTTTTTCGGTTTTTGGGTGGCCGGGCTCTTTGCTGGTTTCTCGTTGGTGGCTGTCTGTGCGGGCTCCGTTTCGACCTCTGACTGAGTGCCGGACGGCTCCGATGGGGCCTCTGCTGACGGTTCGGGAGCCACTTCCTGCGGCGTGGACTGCGGGCTGTGGCTGTCGCTGTTGGTCGGCGCCTCACTGACAGCTTCCGCTTCTATCATCTCGGCTTGCAGGGCCACCTGATGTCCGGCATCATCACTGCTGACTGCTGCTTCTCCGGGGACTTGGCCGGGCCAGCCCCCGACCAGTGTCACCGCCAGCAGCAGACACAGCAGCCGACACAACCTCATGGCGGCGACCGTCTCGGACGACTGGCGCCCGCAGCTTATCACGCGCTGTCTACACCCGCCTCTCCGGCGCACGTGACCTGCTAACTACTGCCCTGGGGCGCCGTGGACACCTGACCGATGTCGGACCACTCAGCCGTTCGAATACAAAAGTAGCCGGACCGCGGCCTCAATCAAGGCAGAGCGGAGCCGACAGTCACTGCCGACACTGTAAGCCGCGCCTCGCTCTTCCCTCTCCCTTCTCCCTCCCCGGCCTTCTCCCTCTCCTCTGCCGGGTCGTGATCGCTCTCTGCCTTTCTGTGCCACGATCGTGATATGCCTCACTTTATCTGTCCCACATCCGGGTGCACGACAGGTCAGTGGCCCAGACAGGTGACCCAGGGCGACGGCCGGCAGAGGACGCAGCTACTCTTGTTTATCCTCTCTCCCCTCTGTTTATCTCTGCCGAACCGCGTAGTCGATCGGTTTTGCATTACCAGTTCAGGTGATCTCTCTTACTTATCGTATACTGGCTTTGGGTATCTGTCTAACCCATTATACCAAGTTAAGTTATGCGTACTGCGTGATTAAGGCTGCGGCATTTGTGTTGTGCGCGCTATGTATGATGTGATGACGCCACTGTTTTTCGCTGTTACCGATCCTTTTGGAACTGTAATAGCCCCAAGTCGATTGGGGAAAGTTCCGAAACAATGTGAATACAATGTGAATAGTATGTTGTACATTTTACACGTTCCGCTAGCTTCTGTTCAAGTCTAACCTAAGTATCGCGCGCTTGGAAAGTGCACTGGGATGGTCCGATCGTAACGCATCAAAGCGCAGAGCGTTTTTACGCCCTCCTCTTGCCTGGCTTTTGGATCACGTAGTGGCACGCGATGAACAGCGTTCGAAAAAAGCGATAAAGTCACGAACGAAGTGCTTCAGTCATCTTTTAGGTCATGTTCAAGGTCATGTCACCAGAGTTCGTCAAAGGTCAACTTTTCCCAATTGTGACATTTCTGGACGAATTGGATCATAGCTTGCGAATCGATAAGAAACATAAAATTGCGTAACAAGGCATTTTATGGCAATGTTTGGAAGTTTTTTGTTTTGCTAGTGTGCTCTCGATTTTACCTACCTACTTAAGGTTAAGCCTCCAGGGATCTGAAAATGGACATTTCGCGCTTTTTTTTGTTGATAGCCTTCACATGTTGCACATCAGTCGATTTGTATGTTAGAGGCTAGAGCTGAGCAGATCCGGAGTGTGTTCATGAGTCAAGCGTTTCCCCATCAAAGGTCGTCAAACTGTTGGTGACCTTTCTATAGGCCTAAGATGACGTCATGCCATAGGCGGCGGAACGGGGAGGGCACCGGGGCACCGTGCCCCCCTTTGATTTTGGCATTTTAACATTAGCCCTATGGGTGTTGCATGGAAAGAATGGGACCAAAAGTCGGCAGTGCCCCCCCCCCCTTAATTGAAGGTGTTCCGCCGCTACTGCATCATGCGTGTATACAGTGGGGTCACGGGTGCAATTTTCGATTCAGTAGCTAATATTCAGCTGTAAAATGATGCTTGGAGTGTTCAGTTTCACGTTTCTCCGGAAAGGCTGCACTTTGCAGTTCAATGTTCTCCCATTGACTCACGGGTACCTACCTAATGCATGGATCGTATAATTGACTTAGGCCACGGAGTTCGATAATCCTAGTTGCAAGTTTTATGCAGCCTGGCTCATTACTCAATTGCTGTAAGATACTAAGCAATCGTTGAGTCGGAGGTGATTGGCGAGTATTTGAATTATTTACTTTTTATCTTGATTAGGCTACTAGTAGACCTGTTGACCTGACGTTACCTGCCTGTTGACGAGACCTTACCTAAATGGCGTGGTGGCAATTTTTGTTTACATTGGTAGCAAACATGCATCATAAAGTATGTCGAAAAGGGCAGTGAACCGTTCTTGAGATTTCTCGAAAAGTTATTTATGATAGGAGGTGCGATGCCCCTTGCGGTGCGGGTTAGTTGACTTTATTTCACCTTGGAGCATATCACAGGATGCAAAGATGAACTGGCGCGTCATCTTTCGGAAGAGGCGTAGCGCCACCTACGTTGTTGGTGTCGGCCTGCTCCGAGCAGGCCCATTATCCTAGTATCCAAGGATATGGCATACCCCCTCCCAGTATTTTAGTGCTGACTTCCAGCATTGCTATTTTTCGTTAAACGATGAATTCCTACCTTTTATTATAATCGACTTTTAGTCATGGAGACTCTGCACAGGGAATAATGTGAATGCCTGTGGAGTTTTATCGCTGTTGCTGAGCCATTAAAGCCGATCGGTAGGCCGGGCCGGCGGCCGACCACACACGGCCAGCACTGTGACTGAGGTGTCTGTGTGACCTGTGACCTGTGACGAGGCTGTCCGACCACTGGCGCTGACGTCAGTGACCATCGGCACCGCCGGAGAGGTGTCAGCCGTCGCGGGCCGCCCGCCCACACCGGCTGGCCGCCCGCCCACACACCCAGCCTCTCCGCCGTCGGCTCCCGCCCCGGGCTGAAGATCTCCCACAGAGAGAACACCTGGGTTACCGGCGCTAATCGGCGAAATGGCCCGTTCTCAGGAGCTCGGCAGCCACTTCTGGGAGGGCGCTGACGTGCGGTGGCTGCTGAAAACCATCCCATGCCTCCGGTCCCAACGCATGACTCACGATTTCTAAAGACGGTGACAAATGCGAGATTCAAGCTATAATCGCAATTGACGGAAATTTATAATTGTACTGATGGTTGAGTTGAGAATCATGCACGTAATCATGGTAAAGGAAATTTATAATTTTTCATAAAATAGTTTTACTCTCTCATAGGTATATACAATCGTATTCCACCAATTCAACTTTCTGGGGCTGATGAAAATCGTCGTATTTATGCTAAAGAAACGTTTCATTCCATGCTGAGTGCTGACGCACACACACTCGCATCCACTATCACACTGAAGTACGATAACATAGGTACATGACACAAACGAAATGAACCGGATACATGCATCTGTATATAGCTAACAAATTGTAAAGTTAATGTAAAGTAAGCATTGACGTGGAATAAATTAGTCTGTTAGCGATTATAAACGTCAAGCAGCGTTGAAAACCTGTAATGTGTATAATAAGTAATTTGCTCTGTAATGTCGCAAATAATAGACGGACGGTGATAATGAGTATGCATAGAAGCGTATAAATAGAAAAACAGCCTACCAACAGTGACTATTATATGGAAGCCCGCCGTTGACAACCTCCCGGAACGTATTTTATAACTCGTTGAGCGTTGGGATGGACTTCGGTATGCAGTATGCACGGTGGAATACGGAGCTTGTTGAGGTGCGTAGATGAAATCGATATCCGATGTTCTGCCAGTATAGCTTATAAAGAGATTTTTAACCCTCGCCTTCCCGGCTTTCCCGACTTTCAGGACACTCTCACTGACCTTCATTATCACATCCTAAACCAGTTCTTATTGGAAAAGTAAGAGTCTCAATCTCCGACACTTCTCACTGATCACGACCTAGTGGTTTTGTATGTACATTGATACCTAAGTTTGTTGGGTTTTCTCGGTTTTTCTCGGTAATGTTAACATGCTGACTGAAGGTTTTCTTCCAGTGCATTTCTATTCCAACAGGATCGTTATCGGAGACTAGAAACTCTCTCTCTCTCTCTCTCTCTCTCTCTCTCTCTCTCTCTCTCTCTCTCTCTCTCTCTCTCTCTCTCTCTCTCTCTCTCTCTCTCTCTCTCTCTCTCTCTCTCTCTCTCTCTCTCTCTCTCTCTCTCTCTCTCTCTCTCTCTCTCTCTCTCTCTCTCTCTCTCTCTCTCTCTCTCTCTCTCTCTCTCTCTCTCTCTCTCTCTCTCTCTCTCTCTCTCTCTCTCTCTCTCTCTCTCTCTCTCTCCTTCTTTACTCTAGCTTTTGACGTGCTGGATTCACGCAGCGCATAATCATTACGTGTACTTATTGTATCCATTGTATCCATATTTGATCGATTACCTATGTTGTGTGTATCGATTGCTGATACGAACGTTACCATATGGTGCATGATAATTAGTGGTGCATAGTGCGATGTGTTCTACCAACATAGTTTTATTTTTAAGCATCGCTTCGTGACTTGTCTGCATGTAACATGGCGGAGTTGGAAATCCCAGCTCTTCCATCAACTTCCGTTCCAGCCGCTAGGTGTCACTAGTAGTGAGCGCCTGAAGGTATGCTGCACCGCATGGCATCCTGTTCCATGCGTCTTCAAAGCAAATTGCATGTTGTGTTGTGTTGGCTGTTCATTATGGATCATGAATGACTTGCTTCATTTTAGAAATAGGTATGTTATCATCGCATTGGGCTATCATTTATCAGTAGGCAATGACTAACGGTGTTCGTTCATGGGCCATAATGCCTATAGTTCGTTATTTAGGTACGCACTACCCAGTGATCACTGCCACATTTTTAACGTTACTCTGCTTTTAGGGATCACCTATCTGAGATAATACGTACATCAATAGCATATAGTGTAATATAATACAAAAATGATTTTTTAGTGCAGAATCAAGTCCTAGTCAATATTTGTAATGGTAATCAGGCATTATCAAAGACTAATATCTGGTCTTCACATTTCTTTCATATCATAAATGGCGAAAGTTCAATATTCGCTGCTCCCCCCCCCAAAAAAAAACAACGCGGTAACTGTCTCAGCACCTCTGTCATTTTTTATTTAACTTCCCTAGTCCAGGGTTAATAAAGAGCAAAGGTAATCTACATGTCACGGCCCCTGCATTGTGGTCCTGTCGACTACTGAGGCTGAAAATATTTTGATTAGCAATCGAAATGCAAGCTGCGTTTGAAAGCATACGTATATCACCTGAACTCTGAATATAAGAATACCTATTGTACCTCGGTTTACACTCGGTAATACGCGAAAGACGTATCTAGTCGAAATACGATTTTACCTAACATGAATTGCGTAATGCTCCGACTTAATCTGTTATGTGATACTTGTCATTCAATAGCCAGCGACGTTTACTACTGATGCAGGTAAAACTGATGCCTTATAGCTTAATGCATGACAAAACCATTACCGGTCTGAAGGTGACAGCACTGCGCGAGTGGCGCTGGATTCACTTAGTCTGTGCGGTGCATGGATGAGCCGCACAGCATTAGCGGCTCTGAGAGAGCAGTCACGGCGACTCTGAGAGGATTTCTTACGGCCGGATGAGCACCGACCCAGTGGCGGCGGGCGAATGGATCACTCCCGCTGAATCTCTGAGCCCTCCAAGGTCCCGCGGTGGCACCCATCGTTGATTGAACCTCTCGCCAGGCCGGCCGTCCGACCGCACGACGACCCTCTGAGTCTCAGTTAGAGGATTCAGGAGCTCAGAGAGGCGAGAAATGACATGTCGGAAGGCTGAGATACATGACAAAACTGGTGCGGCTGTGTAGTGGGCGGCCACCGGTGGCCCATTTTCCGGACTTCCCTCGGCTGCAGTCAAAAGGCCATGAGACGAAAGGGAGAAGGTGAAGAATTCCACTTTTCTAACTGTGCAACTATAAACCAGTATAGCGCCTTTTGGGGCGACTAACGGAGCGAGCGAGAGGGTGAGCCTTGCACGTGCGAAATTTCGAGGGGGTACCTCCAACTGACTTGTGCACGGCACCCTACTAACCGGTCTCTAGCGATGTGCCAAATTTGAGCACAATCGGCCCAGCCGTTCTCGAGATCTGGAAGCGGCACCCTGCACGTGCGCACGTGCAGAATGGGTCCCAACTGACTTGTGCACGGCACCCTACTAACTGGTCCCTAACCGTGTACCAAATTTGAGCGCCATCGGTCCAGCCGTTCTCGAGATCTGGAAACGACCCCTGCACGTGCGCACGTGCAGCAGCACCCCAACTCTGGCACATGGATATGCAGTGCCTAGTGGGTGCCTACCTACATGCCAACTTTCAGCGCAATCGGCCAAGTAGTTACCGAGATATTGCAACAATTACAAAACTGACACCTCTTCGTTTTGCGCGTGGCACGTGCATAGGGTCACCCACATGCATCGGGAATAGTCCAATACTTGGTAGAAGGAATGAAGCTACCCTACAAAAATTACCCCGTGTAAATCGGTCAAGTGGTTGCTGAGATATAAGCCTCGCAAAAGCGTCCGCACGGCCGGCCGGCCGGCCGCTCATACTCAGAAATTTCCGTTAATCTAAGGAAAGACTACGCTCGCTTCGCTCGCTCCGTAACTAACATGACTTATAACAACTACAGTTGTACACATGCATTGATACAGAACACAGAGTCCTGACAACTGAGAAGGAGATATTGCGACTCGTGCATAATCTTGGAAAAAAAAACTTTCTGGATGTCCGATAATGCAGCCCAGCTATTTCAGTGGCGCAAAGTGTATAAACCCAGGATGCCGGTGCATAAACAATAGGTATCTGTCTCCGTATGGCTTATACATTTCCTAAAGTCAAGCCAATCCATGTACTCCTTTCAAAATTATCTTTAAAGCTTTTGGCCTCATTCAGACTGAAGCGTCCCTTGATATCGACTTACCTTCGAAAAGCAACGGAGCCGATTGAATCTTTTAGCACTTTTAAGAACATCTTATCATGTCATGTGTGGGGTCATACGGGTAATACCTAATCATGTATAAGAAATAAATACATCTTTTAGGATTTCAGTAAAAAAAAAAAATGAAGCTGAAACGAAACAATCCGTATTGTTTAATGCGCTGTGTTGGCGGCTGAATGAAGTGCGCCTTATCATCTCATTTCTTTCCAGCCGCGAATATGTATGGTGAGCATATCGATTCCCAGATTTTTAATATAATATGCCGCATTTTTAATGACTTCATGAAGCACTTTGCTATCCTACAATTTGTTGCATCTGTTGCGCAACTCGCAAGCCCTGACTATCTGGCGTCCTTGTGCGCCGGCTTCTGACAGCCTCTCGAGGTCCATCCCCTCGTAAAACGGTATTGATGGTCCGGCAAAGTGTCGAACGCTGTATATGTCTAAATCATTCGGCACGCCACGTCTCTCGTGACAGCCGGCTGATGGCACCCCCTCCGTGTGTGGCCACTTGCCACTGGGGGCCGTATATACGCCTGCCCGGTGTCAATGATGCCCAAGGACAAACGAGCAATGTCGGCCTGGGCTCCACTGGAATGTCGCCTCCAATAAGCTTGTTTGTTCGCTGATTCGCTGGCGGTTTCGTGTAACGACAGCTCTATCAGCTGGCTGTCTTCTCGGGCGTACAATAGGTGGGCATTTGTCCTTCCCCCAAATTGACGTTCCTAAGCCCGGCACGTCGCGTCGGCCGGTGCCAGCCTTGACCGGTCCTCTGCGCAGTATAGTAGTAAACACGGAGCGCAGTTGACATCTCTCTCCATCCGGCTCTACGTCAGGTGGGTCCGCAGTTAGTCGACGGCAGGTGATTGCCTGTCCCCGCAGCGGCTCTCAGAGCCCTCGGTAGCTTCGCCGTAAGCCGGCAGTTCTCCGCTGAAACAGCTGAAGTCACCCCGCTGATTGCTGGGCCCGCGGCGGCGCAGTTCCGCAGGGCCGTCGGGGTCGCCGCCGGTGACACTGATGACGTCATGTCGCGACTGACGTCACTCAGAGGATGACGCTGGGGAGCCGGCGGCCCCAGAGGAGACCAGCTTTAGACTCCAACCGGTCGGACAGGGGGACAGTCAGTCGACGGTAGACGGCGCGGCGGTAAACATGAAGCACTCCACCGGTCTCTTGCTGCTGCTATGCACAGCGGCGCTAGTCAGCAGCCTTCCGACTTCACTCCATGGCGGGGAAGAGGCCCTAGAAAGACACGAGGAGCAACCCGTCCAGCCAACGGGGGAGTATCAGCGTCAACAGCTGTACGATCAGCAGGCCAAGGATCAGGACCGGCTGCTGAATGACAGGCAGCAGCTGATGCATGATCAGGAGGAGCAGACGGAGGACCAGCAGAAGCAGCTGTCCTGGCAGAACCAGCTGACGGAGCAGCAGCAGAAGGACCAGCAGCAGCTGCTGAAGAACCAGCAGCAGTTCTTGAGGGATCAGCAGAGGAACCAGAACGAACAGATCCTGCAGCTGCGCCAGAGACAGGAGGAGAAGGTGCTGCTTGACAAACAGGAGGAGATCTTACGACTTCAGAGCCAGCAGCAGCAGGCGCGAGCCTCCGAGGAACACAACATTCCCAACGCTGATGGGTCCGCAAAGGAGTCCTTAGAGGCCGGCGCCGATGAGCTCGTATCTACTCCCGTTACTTTGATATCTGAATCTGCTGCTCCGGAGCCGGTAGTTGTGGGTACTGTCGAGGAGGAGCCATCTAGCTCCGACCCAAGCTTACCGTCCATAGAGAACCTGCTGATTTACGGGGATAGCGCTGAACAAGCTACTGATGGCGCCGTCCATGACAGTAATGATATCCGCGCTGGCAGCGCATCTGTCAGAAAGATCGTCATTGCCAATGCTCTGAGCGACAGCGGACTGGAGGGACAAACCGCGAAGCTGGCTGGGTCATCCACTGGACTAAAAACGCCAGAGCAAAATGAAGAGGAGAGTTTGACCACAGGTGAAGAGCCGAGAAACCTGGCTGAAGAAGACGCTCCTGGTTCTGAGGCTGAAGCTTCCAGAGATGTGTTACCTCTTGACAACGAAATGGAACTGAATGATGCTATTACTGGGGCAGAAAAGAAAGCTGTACCCGAATTGAAGCAGGAGCAGCCGTTTGTTGAAAATTCGCCGGATACGGCCGAGCCAGAGGCCTCGAGCGTCGAAGATAGTCCAGATCATCCGGTCGATGAAACTGAGATTGACGGGACGAAAATGATGCAGGCTCCGGCTCAGCCTTCTCAGTGGAACCCTGTCCAGTGCGTCTCGGGCTCCGTTTGTTTGAAGAAGACTGATAACTGCGACATGGTCACGAGCCCTTCTGGCGAGGTAAGGATCTAAGAGGGTGTTATGTACCTGAGGTTGAGAGCGAATGAATGGTTTAAAGAGTGATTTAAATAGAGCGGTTCATACTCTTTAAGATAAGTAACAGAAACTCTGGTAAGTGATTTAAATAGCAAGATCGCCTTTCGCCTTGCTGTGAACAATGAACAACCAAAATGATCATTGTTGGTTGCAATCTAAGATTGAGTTTATTAAATTGGGTCATATAAAACGTTTACTTTCTCCACTCTACATCTAACGGTCCTTGGAAACTGGTTTGTTTGAAGGTAATAACGGTTTTATAGAAAATTATGCCTTTTTTTCTCCGGGAACATACAAAAATGATTTTTTTTTATGAGTTTGTAATATGACTTAACAAGTCTTTGAATTAGATCTCGCTCCGGGATTAACGCTTATGGAAAAATAAGCTGGGTATTGGGTAATTTAAGATCCCCAATCATTGACGACAGCGATTCATAAGGATGCATTGCCTCATATTGCAACCCAACGTGAAATTTGATAGCTATTGCACATACCGTTTAAGAAATCTGCCTTCGGAAAGTAGCCCGTTAAAAATATCGCTATATCTTTGTTTGAACTCAATGAACTATTTGGTTTAAACCACTAAGCCACTGAGTGAAATTATCCAAATGGTTTTAGTATTGTGCGTGCGCGCTTATGTAACCCCATAAATGCTTTGTTTTGCAAACCTAATGCACGTACATTGCATACATGCCTAATTCTGCGTTTCCGACGCAACAACCTTGAACAAGTATTTATCGCATGCCGCTGAAATTTAGTCTCCGTTTCCGTCGACGTGATGGTTGGCTCACCCTCGCCTGGCCGCGTGTCTTTATTGCAGAACTGTGTGACGGCCGGGGGTGCTCTCGGAGTGTGCTGTGGCTCTGCCGGCGACCGGTCCGCCTCGGAATCGGCTCAGACCGGGCCACCACAGACACCGGCTGGACAAACTGCCCCCGGTCCCGGATCAGCTGTCAGCTCTGAACCCATCTCTAGTCCTGGATCACCTGATGAGGCTAAACAGACAGACAGCAATGGATCATCTTTCATGTCCGAACCAGCCCCTGCCCCCGAACCGATTCCTAGCCCTGAGCCGACTCCTAGCCCTGCACGGAACCCTAGCCCTGAACCGATTCCCAGCCCTGAGCCAGCCCCTAGCCCAAAACCAACTCCTAGTTCTGAACAGACTCCAAAATCTACACCAACTCCTAAGGCTGAGCAAGTATCTAGTGCCGAGTCGGCTGCCAGGCCTGAACCAGCCCCTGGCCCTGAACCGATTCCCAGTCCTGAACCGACTCCGAGCCTCGAATCAACAGTGGGGTCTCAGCCAAGTCCGTCGAAAGCGTCAATTCAGAAGCTGGATCCGATTCCTCAACCTAAACCAACGGCAACTGGCCTCAAAACGGAAACTTCTACACCAGTAGCGACAACTGTCGAAACTGAGCCAGAAACCATAAAAACTCAACCACCAACTGAAAGTCTTGAACAGAGCCTCCCTAAGCCCAAGCCGTCAACATCCGATTCTAAACCAGCGTCTCCCCGACCCAAACCAATCGTCAAAGTTAAACCTTCCACCGGTCGACCTGGGGAGACGACAACCGGGTCAGAAATCATCAAAACGGCGAACAAATGCCCTGAGGAGCTCGAATGTGTTCAGCGTCAGCTTTGTCATACCAAGAGCCCCGTCAACAGATCGCGGTCTTCTTCTGCCGCAGCCCAGGTAAGAAAACAAGGGGGCGAAGACCAGCTTTGATGCTTAAATGCCATCACATACTCCGCTTAAATAGTGCACACAAGGAGACATTAATAGAAAACAGCCCATATCTGTTCTTAATATTCTCAGCAAAACACCGCCGTAAACAGTCCACGAGTACAAACAAATGCTAGTGCATTTGTTTGTAAATCCGCTGATCGTGGACCGCGGATCATCCGTCTCACTCTCGCGGAGAGTTGCAAGGTACGATGTAGCAGCGCTCTCCGCTTGCTTAGCTTATTGCCCACACCATGGACATCAGACGACTCACCGCCCCTCCCGTTCTATCTCAGAGTGTAAAACTACCGTGCAGTTGTTACTAAATCAGTGTCGGATAGCTTCTCGTTCTTATCGTCACGTTTCTATCCTCTGTTGCAGTCTTGCCTTCTGCAGTCCGGTGCTTCGGGAATCTGCTGCCATGAAAGAAAGGGGACAGAGATTCTTTGCAATTTTAATGAAGAGTGCGTCGAATCACAGTTCTGCGGAGACAACGGCTTCATAATGACTGACGAGGAAATAGAGGCGAGCAATCCCGCCAAGAAGGATCAACTGGGATCATTCAAAACGGTGAGATGTGTGCTTATGTTTGTAGAGCCATGCAATAATTCAAATGAATATAATTGTAATTATATATTTTCGTTGATCCCAGTGACGTCCACTAGCATCTGTGGTTAAAGCTTTTCGAGGTTTACCACGAACAAACCTCTTATCCGTTTGGCGGCGGCCAGCGGGCTATATATCATCTGATGCAGTTCTGACAGCGTCACAGCGTCTGCGGCTCGTCCGTGACGGATTTTACGTTTCTCCCGCGCCCATTTGTGTTCGCCACAGCTGCACTGCCGCTGTTAAACACTCATGGGCTTAGCCGCTCGTATGTACGGTGTACGCCTATCGTGTTCGAGGAGATGGACGGCCTCGTCGCAGTTTATTGCCGAGTGTTCTCGGAAAGGTTCGACGATTCTGCGAAGCTGAAGGCTGTTGCTGCAGTGATGGAACGGCAAGGCCGTTTAGACGTCCCCGTGCTCTCAGAACAGAATTCTGCCGCCACCAGATGTCCTGAGAATAAGAAAAGCTCACTCCCGATTTGTTTGTCCTTATACCTACAATAGTTTTGAGTTCAGCTACCCGGTTACAGTCATTTTTTTACATTTTTCCTGTTCTGCTTTTTTACCCGTATTGGCCTTCGGGAGCTGTTTAAATTTTAAACTAACTATAAGTATACATTCAATACACTTTCTATCCAGCCAATGCATTTTTTATATATAAAATGGTCTTTATTCTTATTTGAATAATTCAGTCATAATTCAACTCTCAACAGACGCTGACCCTTCCATCAACATAACGCTGAAATACTTCCGTGTTCTCCCTAGCCTCCCCGACGCCCTGCGTACCGTATCTAACCTGCACCTGTGCCCCGTATCTGACCTAACCCTCCCCCATGCAGTATTGCCGCGTGCCGTTCGGCGGTCGGGGCGTGTGCTGCCGCCAGCCGGACCCCGAGTGGCCGGCCGATACGCCAGTGCCCCGCTGCGGCCACAGCCACCACATCCGTCTGCCAGGGGATGAGGACAAGCACGCGCGCGAGACGCTGTTCGGTGAGTCCGGGCGATCCCGTTCCGTGACATGGGGCTGGGGTCGTCGTGATGGAAGTGCTTTGGGAAAGAGATGTGAAACTGTCTGTGGTCTGTTAAAAGGTAACGTGACGTTCAGGTCACTTAAGAGTCTTTTACACGGGCTTCGCTTTATTTATTCGGTGTCTTGGACTTACTTGGATTGATGTATGTAAACATTGGATGATAATGGTTGTTGAATTACGTTTCAACGGTTGTCGATGTTTTTGCATGCTATTGCAGGCGAGATTCCGTGGCAGGCGACTATTTTCGAGAAGGGCACGAATCGCTTCATCTGTGGAGGCACCATCGTCAGCGCTAAAAATGTCCTCACCTCCGAGCACTGCACTCAAAAGTAAGGACAAAACATTCTCACTTCCTAGCACTTAACACAAAAGTAAGGACACATCAGTGTTATCTCCGAACATTGCACTCAGAAGTAAGGACAAATATTATTACCTCTGAGCACTGCGCGCAAAAGGACAAAAACACCTGCACCATCAAGCATAAAGCACTGCACTCAAAAGTCAGGACAACAACATTCTAACCTTTGGGCACTGCGCTCAACATTATTACATTTTTAAGTCCTTCCGCTCAGCTTCGAACCTGCTCATAATCACGTTGGTTTATGAATATGAAAATATTTACCACCACTCCACTTCCTCTTTTAAGCTGCATACACTTGGATTTACATTTTTTATTAAATATCAACAGCCACTGACTTATCTGCGTAAATCGTTAACTTCATAATTACGGTTCTTACTACTTTTATCAGAGGTATAATATATTGGATTTTTAATGCAGATGGCGTGATTTCAGAAGCTCAGCTTAGGGGCGCTCAGGGAGCTGCTCAAGCCGACCACGCATACGCAATGCGTAATGCGCATACACAATGCGTATATTTTAATACCTCTACCGTTTTATTAATTCTTACATTTCATGTTCTATTGCCGCCATTTGATCCGCTGACGTCTTTCGGTTGAGAACATATTTTCATAAATAAGCTCTTTTTTGCCAAGCCGGCTCTCCAAGTCACAATAAGATGCCGCCAGCTTCACCGAGCCTGAATGACGTCCGTAGACTGAACAATATGTGCTAATCCGACAGATAATGCTCGTCAGTAAACATTTCGGGCTGCCGACACGGCGCTCGTGTTAGCTGACAAGTTATAAATCAGTCTCCTGAACGGTTTTATAACTCACAGTACCATCTCCAGTCTGAGCATTACGCGGCTATGATTTGAATTTTTACGTAGGTTCGACTGTGCAAAGTACTCAACATGTAAGTACCAAATCGGGCTTTACCCTATAGCATTTAAGCCAGATTTAGCTGTCAAAGAAGCAAAGACGTTACAAAAGTAATGCTTTAAGTTTTGCCCGTGGGAAGAAAAAAAAAGAATTTTGTCAATATCATGGCATGCAGTTTTAAAAGAAGCCCTTCAAACTCCTGACGACAAATCCGCCCTTTTGAGCAGTCAGTTCTATTTTGATCATGCTGCCGGCAGGTACCACAACACGGACATCTACGTTCGGGTGGGCGACTACATCATCCACCAGGAGAGCGAGCCGCTGCCCCACCAGGACCTGGACGTCTACTCCATCAGAACACACCCACGTAAGCAGAACATCCGCCGGCGGCCTTGGCCGAGCCGTGGCGTCGTGCAGTATCACCCCAGCTCCTCAATCAAGGTGTTAATGTCACAAACGGCGGCGTTAACAATGTTTAGAGAGACCGACGTGACAAACGTATTGTCATAGGTAATGAAGCCTTATCTGAGGTGCGTCGTAGACATTTTGGGCTGTTACGTGGCATTGAACGAAGTGTCGGTGGATATCGTTGTATTGTAATACGATAGATCTACTCACTGTATTTATTTCTTGGGTAATTACGGAGCGAGCGAAGCGAGCGGAGTCTTTCCTTAGATTAACGATGTCCGTGAAGTTAGCGTCAGCAACAACAACGAATACAGCGTCGGATTCAGAATCGCTTAAAAAAACTCATATTAGGTCAATTGGGGGACAGGGAGCAAGAATATGACCTTTATTTGGCCCTAGCTCTTACCCCTTACCCCTTAATCGGCCCTTAAAGGAAGGGGCGCGTCAAAAGTGCCTCAAGGGTTCGTCTGATCGCCAAAATAAGGGTCGCAATCGATTCCCCGGGTCAATATCTAGCCGCAGCCTCGGGTTCCAGATGTGTGCAACTTACCCCTTACCCCTTAGGGCCGATTAGGGGTAAGGGGTAAGTTGCACACATCTGGAACCCGAGGCTGCGGCTAGATATTAACCCGAGGAATCGATTGCGACCCTTATTTTGGCGATCAGACGAACCCTTGAGGCACTTTTGACGCGCCCCTTCCTTTAAGGGCCGATTAAGGGGTAAGGGGTAAGTTGCACACATCTGGAACCCGAGGCTGCGGCTAGATATTGACCCGGGGAATCGATTGCGACCCTTATTTTGGCGATCAGACGAACCCTTGAGGCACTTTTGACGCGCCCCTTCCTTTAAGGGCCGATTAAGGGGTAAGGGGTAAGAGCTAGGGTCAAATAAAGGTCATATTCCTGCTCCCCGTCCCCCAATTGACTTAATATGAGTTTTTTAAGCGATTCTGAATCCGACGCTGTATTCGTTGCTGTTGCTGACGCTAACTTCACGGACATAGATTAACGGAAATTTCTGAGTATGAGCGGCCGGCCGGCCGGCCGTGCGGACGCTTTTGCGAGGCTTATATCTCAGCAACCACTTGACCGATTTACATGCGGTAATTTTTGTAGGGTAGCTTCATTCCTTCTACCAAGTATTGGACTATTCCCGATGCATGTGGGTGACCCCTTATGCGCGTGCCACGTGCAAAACGAAGAGGTGTCAGTTTTGGAATTGTTGCAATATCTCGGTAACTACTAGGCCGATTGCGCTGAAAGTTGGCATGTAGGTAGGCACCCACTAGGCAATGCATATCCATGTGCCAGAGTTCGGGTGCTACTGCACGTGCGCACGTGCAGGGGTCGTTTCCAGATCTCGAGAACGGCTGGACCGATTGCGCTCAAATTTGGTACACAGTTAGGGACCGGTTAGTAGGGTGCCGTGCACAAGTCAGTTGGGACCCATTTTGCACGTGCGCACGTGCAGGGTGCCGCTTCCAGATCTCGAGAACGGCTGGGCCGATTGTGCCCAAATTTGGCACATCGCTAGAGACCGGTTAGTAGGGTGCCGTGCACAAGTCAGTTGGAGTTACCCCCTCGCAATTTCGCACGTGCAAGGCCCACCCTCTCGCTCGCTCCGTTAGTCGCCCCAAAAGGCGTTATACTGGTTCTATAACTGTCTCATAAATGAATCATATCAACCAATATTATGCGTAAGGTTGAGCTTATTTTTCGGCAAAGTTTTTCTTAATCAATGCCTACAAATTGACAAGCTCTAATTACATTTAACGCCAAAGGATTAGCGTCAAATCGATTATTTGTACTTTTAGCACAACACCATGACGTTTTTCATCTGTCATTTTCGCAGGTACGGGAGCGCTGTTTAACGACATTGTGGTGATGCGCCTGGTGGGAAGCATCCAGTTTGACGCGCACGTGCAGCCCATCTGTTTGCCGGAGCAGGACCAGCGCTTCGAGGGCGCCCGCTGCATCATCTCTGGCTGGGGCAAACCGGCCTTCGTCGGTGAGTGGTGAACAGCAATTGACCGGGATCGTTACGACTCCCAATGGGATTTCGATTAATGCGACAAGAAAAAGAAACTATATAGACATCTGAAAGCAAAGTACTGTTATGCAACGGTCTCGGCATAAGCATCTCTTGAACCGTCTGCTGACTTTAAGCAGCAAAGATGTCCACAAAATACTTACATGCGCTAAAATGCTTAGCATTAGAAGCTCATGCGTCGATAAGCTGCTGAATTAATCGGTAAAAGCTTCCCTTTGAGTCACAAAAGCTATGATTTTCAAAGATACCATCAAATTAACTGATTATCAAGATAAACAATCAAATAGTTTGATAAACGTGAGACAATCCACCAGCCTTTTAAGCTAACCGGAGTCTTTAAAGCTCGATACTACACCCTTGAACTTTATTTCGAAACAACATGGTTACATAACACATGATTAGGGCTACTGCCGTCACCAACCGCACCTGAGCTCCGGATATCAATCTTGCTCGTCAGGTAACTACTCGGAGCGGATGGAGAGGGTCGAGGTGCCCGTGGTGAACCGGGACGTCTGTGTACAGAACCTGAGAGACACCCACCTGGGACACTTCTTCCGGCTGGACGACAGCATGCTCTGTGCCGGCGGAGAGAAGGATGCTGACGCGTGTAGGGTGAGTGCGGAGGGTAAGGAGCTGGCATCAGAGGAATCAGGAGGGGAGCGAGATGGAATCATTGATAATGTAAGCTGGGAAGAGAGAGTTATGCAGGCGTGATAAAATAAGTAATCCAGAAATGCAGACACCTACTTTAGAGCCAAAATTTGAGGGTGATAAAGGAGAACAAACACCGACAAGAGATAAGACGGGGGGAGAGGGGCGCAGCTGACTCAAAATAAATTTGGGTAGAAAGATGCAGTCACCCTCCGGTTGAGACTATGCAGAGAAGAGGGGTGCTCGCGACCGCTCGGTATGGTATCGCGGACCACTACCGAGCGCCACCTGCCGGTCTGTCCGCTCACCCCTGCCTCGCCGTGTGCCGCACGGCGACGCCTGTGATCGGCCCTCTGGTCTCTCCACTCACCCCTGCCTCTCTACCCCTCAGGGTGACGCCGGCGGCCCGCTGGTCTGTCTACTCACCCCCTACCCCCTGTCTCACAGGGTGACACCGGCAGCTCTCTAGTCTCTCCACTCACCCCTCACCCCTGTCTCCCACAGGTTGACGTCGGTGGTCCTCTGGTCTCTCCACTCACCCCTCACCCCCTCTGTCCTTCAGGGTGACGCCGGCGGCCCGCTGGCCTGCCTGGCTCACCCAGTCCTCTGGCCTGCTGTTTACCCCGCCTGTCTCCCACAGGGTGACGCCGGCGGCCCGCTGGCCTGTCGCTCCGCCGATGGCTCGTACGTGCTGGCCGGAGTGGCCGCCTGGAGCGTCGGCTGCAGCCGCCACGGAGTACCGAGCGTCTACACGGGGGTTAGTCGGACGCTGTCGTTCACATCGCACTACATCACTGGCGCCGAGTACCATCCGTTTTACAGGAGCAACAACGGCGTTACGCAGTACTACTGAGCGGGTGTACTTCAGAGTACCGGAGGATTATCGATCACTCGGTACTACTCTGACCAGCCCAGCATTATGGGCGACAGTTCTGCTCCTGTGCTGTGCTCTGGGGTCTTGCGAATGCTGGACGAAAAGTGTTTGTTGCCAGAAGTGAGTGTCCTTCACTTCATTTCGCTGTCTTTTTTGTGTGATGGCAGCCAGAAAAGTTAAGCAAACTTCGATCATTCCTTTGTTTGACCGTCTGAGCCAGGCTAACAAAATATAATTTTTATTGCTCTTTTTTTTTTGTTGGGTTAGGCCCTTTCGGTCGACAAGACCATTGCAGAGCCGGAAGGATGATAGGAATTAGGGGGAGACATTGGTCTGGGCAGGCACCCTAGTGAGTCACCGGGGCTGAGCCCGTCCAGAGGACAGGCCACCCAGCCCCAAGGCACTCACTGCACCCGGCTACGGGGTGCGCTCCCTCAGGAGCAGCGGTGCCGCTCCAAGGGAGCAGCCCGCATGAGATAAAGTTGCCTGTCCAGCCCGGAGGGGGGTTGCGGTCAATAATAACAATAACAAATAATAACACTTCGCAAATTAACAGGTAAGACAGTTGACAGCATCATTCCACCGCTAGAAACGACTGACGGAAAAGTACTGACAGACGACTACGAAAAGGCGACATTGTTAAACGACTACTTTGCCAGTCAGGCAAAGCTCGACATTCCAAATTCGCACACCGTACCAATGGACAACATAGGACACACGACGATTCCCACCCTCGGTACAATTGAGACAACTGAGAGAGAAGTCCTACGAATCTTAAACTCCCTTGACTCTAATAAATCCACTGGCCCGGACAAAATCCCAGTAAAAATATTAAAATTATGTGCACTCATCATAGCAGGCCCACTTTCGAAATTGTTTAATAAGTCTCTCGCGTCTGGAATTTATCCTTCAACGTTTAAACAGGCCAATGTGAAACCCATATATAAAAATAATGGATCACCATCTGATTATACCTGTTACCGACCCATCAGTCTTTTATCTTCCCTTTCAAAAGTTTTTGAAAAAATTGTCCACAAACGCATTTATGATCATTTAACAGAACACTTATTATTGACTGACAAACAGAGTGGATACCGGAAAAAGCACAGCACGGAACAACAATTACTTTATTTGACCCATAACATGCACAAATCACTCGACTCAGGACATGACTTCACAGTAATTTACCTGGACATATCAAAATATTTTGACAAGATCTGGCACCAAGGACTATTATACAAATGCAAACATGACTTTGGCATAACTGACTCACTGTTAAAATGGTTGACTTCCTACCTCAGTGACAGACGACAACGAGTGCAAATAAACAACACCTTTTCGAACCAACAAATTGTTAACGCTGGCTGTCCTCAAGGCTCTGTACTCGGACCTCTCTTAGCCTTAATGTATCTTAACGGAATTCAACAAAACATCGACAATGAAATTTTACTTTTCGCAGACGACACATCTCTTCACGCATCCCACTCAACGACAGACCTCCACGACGTAGAACTTTCACTTCAACGCGACCTTGACGAAATATATAAATATGGCAGAAAATGGGCAATTACATTCAACACAACAAAGACAGTCCAGCAAACATTTTCACGTAGAAATAATTTCACAGCACCACGTCTCACATTTGGTAGGAATCCCATACCCATTCATGAAAACCATACTCATCTGGGATTAACATTCTCCAATGACCTACATTTTCACCATCACATCAACAAAATTTGTAAAAAGGTCAACCAATCACTAAGCCCACTATATCCAATTGCACAGTACGTACCCAGGCCCATTCTCGACCAAATTTATAAGACGTATATCAGACCACACTTCGACTATTGCGACACAGTATACGACGGACATATCACGACACACGACGCCATGCGACTCGAGAGACTACAAAACAGAGCGGCAAGACTCGTGACAGCAACCTTATTTAGAACACCAACTGACAAGCTTTTACTCGACTTAGGGTGGGATAGACTATCGACGAGAAGACGCATGCATAGAATAACACTTTATCACTCATTCAACAGCCACGAAGAGTACACACCACAATATATTAAAAATACAATGCCTCACACACGCGCTGAAAACACCGGACGAGTCTTAAGGAATGCCAGTACACATACAACGACACCTAGCCGGACCACTTCGTACCATAATTCATTTTTTCCATTAACGGCTAAACACTGGAATGATCTCCCCGAAACCATCCGATCCCTGCCACGAACATCCTTCAAAAAGACCATTTCTGAGCGGCTGGGGGTGACCAAGCCTCCAAAATTTTATGAAACTGGGTCTAAATTGGGAAATATTTTACACACAAGACTAAGAACCGGAATGAGTCACCTGAACTCTCATCTCTTCCAAATTCAAAAAAGTGAAACATCAATGTGTGCTTGTGGCTTTCCAAACGAGAACGTTCGGCATTATATCCTTGACTGTGCACTCTACGAACCACTAAGGCTAGAAATGTTTCAAACTATTTCTTATCAAATAGGTATTGAGCTAAATGAAATTTCTCCTAAGCAAAAACTTGACTTTCTTATTCACGGTGAAACTCTGGACGATGAGAGCGGCTGCGCGGTCGCACATCTCTTTCAAAAATTCATTTTATCATCAAACCGGTTTACAGAACACTAAATTCAACACCAAGATACCACCTTGATCTAGGTTGTCAGGCTGCGGTTGGACGTGGCGCTCCGGGCTGACCGTGCGGTGGCTCGCGCACACTGCTTTACTGCTCGGTGTCTGTCGTGGCGGCGACAGCCAACTCGTATACTTTGAGTTTTGCCTATCAAATGTTTTCTGTATCTTAATTTTAGGATCTCATCTGGTATGTTTTTGTCTGTTTGTTTGTATTTTCTTCTTCCAGAGTGATGCTCAAACTCAAGCGCTTTGTGCTTTTGCATCCCTCTGCTGCATTCTTCCGGAATCTTTCTGTCTTTGATAATAAACATTGTGTGTGTGTGTGTGTGTGTGTGCGGCGTGGAGGAGAAGGATTTCAGTATCCCGAGGATAGAAGCACGGATGGGTATTATTGCTCTTCATCACAAAAAGCACCTATCTATCGCCATGCTGGTGCCCATTGCGCCATTTGTCTTCCGTATCGCATGCAATATAGTTCGTCAAATGTCTCAATAGACGAATGAGTCCGTGTACCGTACACTCAGCGTGTAAATGATAATTGCTGGGACCTGTATAACAGCATTTGATGGAGCCTTGTACCTATGATCGATAGAATGTCAAACTCAACTAGCAGGATTGTCATGAGTACCCAGCCTAAGAAGTGAGGCCGCTGCAATTATTATCTATCTGTGAACCTCAGCTCCGTCCGAAGTACGGGACGTATTGAGCGAGTAATGTCACTTGTCTGGAGCGAACAATGGAAATGGAGACGGCGCCTACATGTGACGACGCGGATGCTTAAAATAAAATCACCTATTGTGCTACGAGGAAAATACCAGCCCTGATAACCCGATCAGACGGCCGGCCTGGAGCTTACTGTTTAGCGATCATTATTTAACAGCGCAGTTTTGTCGTGCTAGGATGTTGATTCGTTACATACCAGTCGAAAATACGAGTCGAAAGGCTTGTATACCAATATGCTTTATAAATGGGATAAATATAGCGCGGAAAGTCTGAGTCAACTTGTCGCGATTGTGTGACGAGTTACTAGCATAGAAAGCAAGAAAATCTAGGTAGATTGGGATTTTCTGTGAAAACGTCTACTGTGGCAGTATCCAGGCCAAGTTCGTATGCATAAGAGCATTTAATCTTGGAAATTCCATTTACCGGTAGGTCAACAGTAAAATATCATCGACACCTCATGAATATATTGCGTAAGATCAGGGTGTAAGCTTAGAGCGACCTTTGAATCACCATCCCGTGAAATTTGCGCAAGGTTTCAAAGATGTTCCGATGAATTGAATCACACCGACCATGTGTGACCGACTTGTGCCGGTTTTCCCCCACCCTTCCCAAGGTCGGACGGTGGCTGACCCAAATTGTCACCGAGCACAGCCGGCTTTGTCAGATCCAATACAGTTGCACAACGCACGCGAGGCACATTGACCATATTCAGCTCGTCTGTCGCTGCAAACCTGGGTGATCAGCGTGCGACCTTGGCTACGGCCTTCACTCTCTTCTGATGCAATTACCGGCACGGGAATCGGCATTCGGCACTCAGTTACCGGAAAACAGTCGGTGACTCAGATGAATTAGGTGAGTCATGCCATAGTGAGTCAGATGCAGTTGTTATTGGTGTTATTCCATGAGGTTGTTGATTCGACTTGTTAATTTTCCATTCATTGAGCATTTTTGAATATTTGTCCTCTGACATCAAATCGTACATTCATCACAGCGTCGCTTTTTGAGACAAAATGCATTCCCTTAGCAAGAAGCGACTCGCTCGTATGACCCGTACATTCGTAACTTACACAATCCTCTGGCTACTGCACAATTTCTTCCTTGCGCGACCGTTTGGTGCGTTTTGTCGCTCTTTATGCTTACCTAGCGTCTAAAGTTGCCATGGCCGGTCAATTTCCACAATTACCCGGCAAGCATCAGCGGACATTCAGGGTCTTTCCTGGCGGATACATTCGACCAGCCAGCCGGAAGCGACCGCACTGGAAAGCCCACGTCATTCGGACGGCTTTGTGGAGACGATACGGCTATTATGTGGTCATTATGACGTCATAGGTACCATTACACAGGTGCAGTGGAGCGAACCAGTCCCGTTGGATGGGAGGATCTATGGGACGTTATACGCTATATATGGTGGCAGAGAGGGACCACCTGTTGTCGGTGACTAGAGAGGATCCACGGGGTGTCAATGGTCAAACAAGAGGCCGGGAGGATTTAGTCGTGAGGATCCACTGGACCTTACACAGATGACTGAGGAAACACGAGAAGAGGGGTTGAAAAGGTCACAAAGTTGTCTGACTGCACTCGTTATCAACCTATTTAAACAATGAAGACGATTTGATCGTAAATATCATTTCCTTTTTGAGTCCGCAGATTGTGCTTGGCCATCTGCTGCTGCAACGCATTCCACAGTGAGCTGTGATCGGAACCCCCGCCCTGCAGTGAGCTGTGACCGGCCGGCAGGCGGATCTTCGCCGGCAGAACAGATGTCACGGCCGCCGCCGCAGCCGCCCGGGCGTGATTTCCGTCCTTTGCATACCTACGGACACGTCCGTAGTTTCTGCGAACTGTGACGTGACTCCGTCATTGAGATTCCTGTCTGAGTAAGGCGGCCCACCCATTAGCGTCATAGAACCGTGCAGCAAAACAGCGAAGCGCCTGTCACTTTAAACACTTTGCATTCAAAGTATTCATACCTATTTGCTAATGAGGGTGCACGTAGATATATCAAATATGAAATAGCATTCGAATGGCGAACGATGCTCGTGAGATAGGTTGGCCACCAAGTCAATTGGACTCAATAAACAGGTCTTATTTTGTCGAGTCATTATACGATAAACGTTCTTCAAATTAAAACGGTAATTACATATACGAGTATGCGACTTCTCTCTTATTTCTTATTTCTCTTCTCCTAGATGGGTGATCTAAAATCACGATCCAGAACAGCCAATAGCTATGGAAAGGTACATACAACATAGCCTTCAAGTTGAGATCATCATTGTAATGATCCACCTACGAGCGTCCTTATTTGTTTCAAGCCCCGAATTAGAACGGTCGAGGATAAAGGTCGGATGACAACTCGGTGTATGGAATAAATTCACGTAAGGCTGCGGTCGAGGGCGCGGACGGGAACGCATCGGCCCTGGATTCATCACAGGCACCTAAGCCGCTTTGAGCAGCCCAGGCTTTGTGGTTTATGAATTGCAAGTTGATGAGCATGTGGTCACAATCCCTGTTCGAAACAACTATTATCCGCCCACACTCGAGACGTTGGTGAATGCTTGGGTGAATGCTATCAACCGAGGCGTCAAGAGGCGTTATATAAGTATGTACTTTATGCTCCGACACACGGCGCGTTTTCCATAGCTGGGATTAACTCAGCAACATAGATATCATTTAGCAATTTCTTGACGTTATAAGTAAAAACGTACGACTTAAATCACTAATGTGAATAGGGTTAAACGAATGAAAAATATGCATATATGGACTTCTTCATCTCGACGCTATTGTCTCTTTATTAGCGCTACAATTACCCCTAATGAGTAATGACACCTTAGCTTTAGTTTTTTTTAAACAAATTTATGTTAAAAAAACATCTTGATTCAAACACGCTTACCAACTAATCCTGTGAATTCTTCAGAGTATTGGAAGACACGCATCTCTACTCAAGAATCGTCAAATTACCAATGTTGCGGTGGATCAAATAATGTTTAAGACGTTAAGAACATATTTCTATAAAGTTTCACTTAAAAATTATCCAAGACTACTAGATGTAAGAATATCGCCAAAAATATGACTTATGGTTCGCTGGTCCGTCTTTGCCAATTGCCACCTACTCGCAGTGCCAGTGGGCTCCAATTACGTACTGCCAGTACACCCAGCACGTGACAAGTAGAAATAAAGTATCGATTATGCGACATAACTGCTCGTATGCCGATAGACGTGGCGGCAATCCTCCCAAACATACGTAACACTCTCCCTGCGAAAGAAAATGATATGTTTAACTAATTAGACAATCCAACGTGATTCGTGTTTTTTTCCATCTCGATGAATGCCTCACCTGCTCTTTTCTCGAGTGTCACCGTCCTGCCTCGTCGAAGCCGGTGACCGAGCTCCCAGTCCTACCTGGTCGAAGTCAGTGACCGAAACCCCATTTTCCCTGGTCCCAGCCATTGGCCGAGACCTCGGTCTTACCTGGTCACAGCCGGTGACCAAGACCCCAGCCCTACACCTGGTCAAAGCCAGTGACCGAGACCCCAGCCTCGCCTGATCTCTGGGAATGCCTGAGTCGAGCCCACCCTCCCTCGTCGAAGCTGCAGTGACCGAGATCCCAGCGCTACGGTCGTAGCCGGTGACCGATACCTCAGTCCTACATACCTCGTCTAAGCCGGTGACCGAGACCGTGGCCCTCCCCGGTCGCCCACGTAGCCGGCGCGCGGGTAGCCTTGAACCATGTGACGGCCGCGCGCTGTCCGGTGGATCCTCCGCCGGCGGCGCGGGGTGGCGCGCGCGCGGCGGGCGCCGGCCGGCCGGCCGCCAGTCGTCCCGGGAGGCCGCCGGTATGAAGACGACTGTGCTGTGTCTGATAGTGGCGCTGTGCGCGGCGCTGGTGGGCGCCGCGCCGAACCTACTGCCGGGAGACCCGCGACTGGCGGGCGGACATCACCATGGACTACACCACGGCGGTCACCACGGCGTGCATCACGACCAGCTCGGAGCCGGCAGTAACCCGGCTGGTTCCTTCGCCGGGGTCGACTTCGGCGCCGGGATCGAGCTGCTGCTGAAGAATGTGCTACCCGGCGAGCATTACAACCCGTTCCTGCCTAGCTACAGGCCACCGGCACACCTGGCCTCGATCCAGGGGCAGGGCCAGCCGCAGCGGCAGCAGCAGCAACAACAACAACAACAACAGCAGCAGCAGCAGATACAACAGCAGCAGCAGCAGCAGCAGCAGCAGCAGCAGCAGCAGATACAGCAGCAGCAGCAGCAGCAGCAGACGGGTTTCATCGACGCCGGTTTTGTGCCGGAACAGATGGAGCTGAACGTGAACCCAGGCCAGGGCAGCTCGGGCCCCAAGGGTCCGCTGGTGGCCACCTGCGCCTCTGGCCTGGTGTGTGCGCCCGAATCGCGCTGTGACCCGTACACGGGCTTTGTGATCGGCACTCTGAGCAACCGTCCTCCGGCCGACCCTCGCCAGCCGACGGTGGCCCTACAGCAGTGTCAGGGTGCCGCCGGGCCCGGAGTCTGCTGCCGGGATACTATCGGGGCGTTCCAGACGGGCCCCAGTCCTGTTCAGCCCGGTCCCATCCCAGTCCAGCCTGTCCAGCCCGTGCAGCCCGTGCAGCCCGTCCAACCCGTGCAGCCCGTGCAGCCTGTGCCCGCCGTCCCCTTACCGGTGCAACCGGTCACCGGTGGAACCTCTTCCGGAATCAAGACCGGTGGTGGCTCGAATCCGTTCACCGGCAATCCTTTCCTGAGCGGTGACCTCTTCGGAGGCTCTGGCAGCGGCAGCAGCGGCGGCGGCGCTGGAGGCGGCGGCGGCAGTGGCATTAGCAGTGGTGGTGGTAGCGGCAGTGGCATTAGCAGTGGTGGTGGTAGCGGAAGTAGCAGCACTGGAACTGGCGGCAGTGGCTCCGGTAGCAACAGTGGTAGCACCGGCTCCGGCAGTAGCAGCGGTGGTGGCGGTGACTTCGGAAGCCTCGGCGAGCTGGTGGCCTGTGACCAGGACCAGCGGTGTGTGGACAACAACCTGTGCGGCGATGACGGCTATGTCATCACGGACGGCAGCGACCTCATCAACATCCGACGACCGACCAACACGGTAAGGGGCAAGGGTGGGGGGGGGGATGTCTCGACATAGAAACGTCAGTCTGGCTAGACGTCCGTATGAATGGTGCCCAACTGGCATTACCGTGTAGGCTTAATAATATGTGGTAAACTTACTTACATTTTCCGTGATTTTCGAATTTAACTTTACCGCCTCTTGTGAAAAATCCTTGGTGTTGCCAGCGTAATCAAGCTACCTATTATTTTCTCTTTGGACTTTCCGGACATGATGCTTAGTGCTTACCCCTTCACATTATCTTCACCGTTAATATATGAGTCATCTAACGGACATCTAAAGCCTGCATTAAAGGGACACTCCCACCTTAACATAAGTTTTGAGTTGAGATAGCCAAATTGGTGGCCATGGCCTGCAAATACCGGTTTGGGCACTCACAACATCGAAAAATGCTTTAATTCGAAGATATGGAATTTCAAACTTGCAGTTTTCGGATTCTAAGGGGCTAATGCATTGGAATGCCCCCTTAGAATTTGTGACGTCAGCGGAGATCTAAAGATTTTTAAATCTTAGACTAAAACCATCGTTAACACGTGGTGGTATACGCTGCTTTGCGCGCAACGTCTGCCGCACTTAAAGGCTGCCAAATTATTGCTTCCAAATAAAGTCGCTAGTAACAGGGGAGATCCCAAAAAGTAAACAAAAGTAAAAGCCTAATATCTTGAAAACCAGTGAATATTTTTCGGTGAAATTTGGTAGATATTCGTTTTCTCTCTTTCTGAACCAAGGGACATCACTTTCATGCCAATTCATTAACTTTTTTGAAGGTGGGAGGGTCCCTTTAATGCGTCCAAGATTTGAACATTAGGGACATACGTATAGGTACTCGGATTATATACCTACCGGTCCGTAGCAAGTCTCCATAGCACTTCCCCAACTCAGACGCTTACACGTAAAAAAGCGCAGAACGTTGCGTGTTCCGTGTGATGCGCCGTTTGTTACCGGAATCAGTACGAGTGAATGCATCAAAAGTGCGATGTTAACCCTCGCCGGCCGAGGGCGGGTGCCGCTCCCCCCCCCCCCCATAGGGTTTTTTCGCGATAGCTCCGAACACGCTGGCGATAGAGAGCTGAAACATGGCATACCTGACCTTTGATTCATGCCGGATCTTTTGACACCAACCGCTTTTTTGGGTCAGGTCAGGTCACTGACCTATGACGTCATAAGTGAACCTCTGCACGGTCTTCAGATGTCGCAACTTCGCAACGCCCTCACTGCCAGAGGAGATGTCACAGGGAAATGAAACTTGCAGGATCTAGTATCCATTATGAGTCTCACAACTTGTATGTCTCTGATTTTTCCTAAAGGTCATATGAGGTCAGGTCATTTTCGTGACATCACCATTACCTACCTACCGATAAGTCAATGGGGGAAAAATGAAAACTGCTATTCAGGCGCCGGGAACGATCTCCAACTATCTCAAGCACACAGAATCGTGATTTGATGCACTCTTTGCAAGGTTAGATGCGTCACTTTTGCAATGTTGACCTTGCGTGACGTCATTTATGACGTCATCAAGATCATATTAGTTTTTCGTCAATAACTCCCGATCAAATTGAGCTAGCGAGTCGGGGAAGCCACCAATGGACTCAGGAAGACCTGCGAATCGAATGATATGCGACATGACCTCTTTCGACCAACTTCGTGACCTAGGGGTGCTGACCTGACCTTGACCTGAGGTCAACACCCCAGGTTGACCTGACCCGAACAAAAAGTATATCACTCGACGCGCCTGAGCAAGGCGAACACGATGCTGCCAAAATCGCGGCTCTGCGGCCGTTTTTTGCGAAGTTATTCACCAAAAACTGAACCGTACCTTGGGGCACTTGACTTGACCTCAGACGTCACCGGTTGACCTAGGACCTTAAAATCGGGTACCAATCTCTTGTGTCTCGTAACTCGTTTTTTCCGCGATGCGCTAGCTCTACCAGGGGCGAAACGGCGAGGGGGTCGTACCCGCCCCCCCCCCCTCGGCCGGCGCGTATGTAGAAAACCAATAGGTCCGGCGAGGGTTAAAGCCAGCTCCGACTGACTTCGAGTATTCATGATAAACGAATACCCCGAAATTCAGGTGACGTTAGGCTGAAGGCACGACTTCAACGTCGGCGAACTTACGCAGAATTGCCATTAGGTTCTGTTACTGCTTTTCTGCCGACCATGCGTCCCAGTTCCAATGGAAAATAGCGTCTTCTGGATCATTTTTGTTATGTCTTTATCTTTATATTATCCCCGCTCTCAGTTGCCCTCGACCTCCCTTGACCCCCCTTGTATCCGTCCCTTATCTGTGCATTCAAGTAAACGGAGTTTTTTACGGTACGCTTACATACCTACTGCAATTGCTGCGACTGTTTTATGTTACTGTACTGTGAGTTGTGAACTTTGAGATTGACCGCAACCACATCGGCCTAATCGTATATGTAACTCGTCGTACGGTGACCTTTGGGTGTTTGACCTCATCTGTAAGTACTCACAACCACCGGTCCGGTCCTCAGTTCTGTTTCACGCCGGTCGGTGACACAGGCTCGTGCTGTCGGGACCGGCCGGGCACGGGGCCCACCCGGCAGCAGACGGAGATTCGCTGCTCGGGCCGGCAGAGCTGTGTGGAACCGCCGCAGTGTGACGACGAGGGCTACATCATCACTGACGGATCCGGGCTGCTTGACATCAGAAACAATTTCCTCACCACGGTGGGTCACCGACACATCATCCAAACTCCAAGCCACTTTTCACATAAACATGTAGAGGCGCGTCTGTCTCTCTTACTTGCGCTTTTCATCGAGCAAATCGATGCATTTGTTGCATAATTTATTTGTTGACGTTTGTTTTATCTTATGATGTGGATCTTAGCGGCATGTTTGGATGGCAATTGCTGTTATCAGTAGGTGACAATTTGACGTAATTGTTTCGCAGTTCTGTCGGCTGCCAGCCGGCGGTAAGGGCAGCTGCTGCGAGTCCCGCCCCTCCACCTCCTCCACCTCTCGGGAGGTCACGTGTCAGGCCAGCCAGGAGTGCGTCCGGCCGGACCTCTGTGACGAAAACGGCCGGATCATCACGGACGGCTCCGGGCTGCTCAACGCCCGGTTCAACAACAGAGAGGTCAGAATGAACCCCTCACTGTCTCTGATTTCTTGGTGGCGTGTTGCTTGCGTGATATTTTATTCGGTTTGACGCTTTCGAAATCGAATTAATTAGCAATTAACGAATACTAACGCTTCCATATGATTCCGATATTTGTCATGAACATTAACAACCGTATTTTATTAACCGTAAAGCTTATCTCAAGAAGTCGTTGATCAACATGATGGTGAATTGTTAGAACATCCACAGCTGTTATTCCAAACTAAATCATGTTACCTAAACGTCCTCAATATATGCCGTTTTGTGTTCGCCAGTACTGTCTGCTGGCGTCGGGCGGCAAGGGACGTTGCTGCCTGTCCGACTCGTCACCCCAGCCGCCGCAGCGGCAGCAGATCATCTGTGACTCCAGCACGGAGGAGTGTGTGTCTCCCGGCCTGTGCGGCGACGACGGGTACATCATCACTGACGGAAGCGGCCTGATCGACCCGCGCATCACCAGCAGAACGGTGAGTCAAAGTCACCGCATCAACAGCAGAACGGTGAGTCAGTGACCCACGATCACCAGGAGAACCGTGAGTCAATACAGGGATCAACAACAGACGGTGATATGGATCACCGGCAGAAAGGTGGTTATGAAATATGGATCACCGGCGAACGTTGAGCTTGAGTCTCGAGATTGCCTGCGGAACGGTGAGATGATATAGTGATCGCTAGTAGAACAGTTAAAACCTATTGATCACTGCAGAACATTAAATCGGGTCACCAGCAGTCAATAGGGCCGTCAGTCCAGTTAGTCTGATTCCAGAGATCGCGTAGAACAGTGAACTACATAGTCCTGGGATCACCGGTGTTGGAAAGGTATAAGATAGACCACCTCCGTGTTCATCCGTAAGGCCCTTTATCACTGCAGCATGGAAAGGTAAGGCAAGGAGAAATAAGGTGGGCCCCTGCATTATTCCCGCGTTCACCCGTAATCGCGTTATCTCCAGCATGGAACGGTGAGGCAATACCGGGATCACCGGCGTGAACTGGCGAGCCATAGTCCTGGAATACCGGCTGAACGGTAAGACGAACAAATATCTCCAGCATGGAACGGTGAGGTAATATCGAGACCACCGTGGTGAAATGGCGAGTCATAGTCCTGGAATCACCAGCAGCTTGGAACGAGGAACTGTGATAGCCGGGATTCCCAACAGAGCAGCTAAGGACTAAATCCAAGGAACTCCGGGTAAAATCTTAGAAACGAAACACCGTTTTCTGACAAGTTTCATGTAATCTCTTGTGTGTGACTAGATGGGTTTTCCACATGAACTGTTTCGCAACCTCCGCTGTGATTACAGTGTCACGTAGAACACGTATCTAGACAACACGGAAATACACTGATACCTGACATTTTTGAGGCGGCATCGATAGATGTATCAAAATCGCTGGTTCTCCCTCGGCAGCAGTTCCTTGTCACGTACCACCGACACTCAGCGTCGCTGACTGTACGCCCCCGCTCTGTACCGGCAGTACTGTCTGGCCAGCTCTGGCCAGGAGGGTACTTGCTGCCTCCGCCGGCCGGAGCCGCCCTCCACCTCTCGGGAGGTCACGTGTCAGGCCAGCCAGGAGTGCGTCCGGCCGGACCTCTGTGACGAGAACGGCCGGATCATCACGGACGGCTCCGGGCTGCTCAACGCCCGGTTCAACAACAGAGAGGTTAGGCTCAAATCACCAGACTAGCCCACTAGACTGGTAGTCGTAAGGTGGCCGCACGGCCGGCGCGGCGGAACGTTGGCCTTGAACCGTGATACTGCCGGGCCTGGGCGGCTGTTGACGCAGTCTGGCCAATAGATTATGCATGCTCCGATGGTTTCCTGCATTGTGAAATAGACAGGCCCTTGAATTGAAAGACGTCTAGCTGAGTATGCTCTTACATTCCGTCTCTCCTGCTTCATATGACATAGTCGCCCCTTCACATAATGATGCCATTACGCCACGGGTACTTTTATCATGACTTCCGTGTGTACGTAAATCATATTGTGTCGTCAACAACTTATGCTTACATGTCAATCGATTGTACATGTAAATGTTGATGTTGCAGTTTTGCCGCACCCCGGGCGGTGGTAAGGGCCGCTGCTGTCTTCCCGCCGACCCGGAGCCCCAGCCGCTCGTCTGCGGCCAGAGCCTGGACATCAGGATTCTGGGGGTCACCCCCGACTCAACCGAGGCCAACTTCGGTACGGAACTCAAATGGAATCCCGAATCCGCTCCGGCCGGATTGCGGTAGTCATTAGCGGATTGCAAACGCCAGGGTCACGCATAATCCGCCATTAATCTGACCCCCGGGATTCACCAGAAATGCTAACCATCTCGCATTCGCATTATTAACACAGATTGCAAATAAGCCACGCTTTTCGGCAAAACTATTTGCTACATCAACATGGTTAGCATGAAGGTATGTAAGTAGGTACTCAACAATGACTTAGTTAGATAGGTATGTGAGAATTAAAAATGATATTACGACTAACGACGCCGTTATATTTATGTCAAATTCGGCTGCTTTAGCCCAACTCCAACTAAGGTTAGTGTTTTATCCTCCCCGCAGATAACCATATGTCTAGCAGTATGTAGTGGTACCGGTAATGAATCATCCTCCCCTCTACTGCGGTCGTTCGCTGTCCCACCTTCCGTCTCGGCTGAGGTTTTCTTTCGGCGGCTGTCGTGGCCGCCGTTAAAACGACCCAGCGATGTAAGGAATCCTTGTTTACCCGGCTCAGTGACTGACCTTGGATGTCTGATCGGCACGGAGACAACCGGTAATTTAATCCTACGCGTACATCCTGTTTGGAATGCCTGAAACGCACCCAAGGTGCTCAACCTTTTAGTCAGACAGGACGTGAAGAAAGCCCTATTAGCTTAGACTTTGGCATTTATGAATTATATCACCTACAAGAATTGCTTTGCTGACCATCGAATCATAAAGGGACGAGAAATGGGTGGATGAAGGTCTGCGACTATTTGAACATTTTCCACAAGTGCTGCCTTTTTGGCCAGCGTTGCAGTCTCATCTTCGTGTTACCTGCTTAGCCAGAGATGAAGTCTCCATGACTTAATGCATGAAACGGCTGACTGATCGCCAAACGATAACTTTGTATCGTCTTTTGATATTCTCATTTAGTGAAGCAAATTGAGATGATCGAGTAAATTTGCTCCTACTCAACAAATATAGGCTTTGCGCTGTAAAAACAGCTTAGATATCGTGTTTTTCCACGATATTTACATCACCCACCTTCACTGATAACAGCCATCGCCGCGGAAACTGTCGCGAGCTGAGCGACCCCGACGCACCCGGTGGTGTCTCTGACCCCTGCTCCCGCGTCGGTGTTTTGTTTTTCACCCCTCCCTCCCTCCCCGTCCCCGTCAGGTGAGCTGCCGTGGCAGGCCATCATCTCTTACACCAACTACACCTTCATATGCGGCGGATCGCTGGTCGGCCGGCAGCACGTGGTGACGGCCGCTCACTGCGTCCAAAGGTAAGATAGTGGCGATTCACTGCATCCAGAGGTGTGAGAATGACCGTTCACTGCGTCCAAATGTGAGATAATGCCGATTTACTGCGTCCAGAGGTGTGACAATGACGATTCACTGCATCCAGAGGTGAGAAAACCTCTTCACACTGTGCCCAAGTGTAGGAGGATGGTGACTTAGTGCATCGAGAGGTGAGAGAACCGCCTCTCACTGCATCCAGAGGTGAGGGAATCGCCGTACGGTCACCGACACCACCCGGACCCGCCGCCGGGACGGTGGGATTCTCAGGATGACGTCATCAATGGAAGGGTGTTTGCCCACGATACACAACAGCCCGGGCTCTCCGGTCATGAGTTTCCGAGCGGAGGAGATTCCAGCTTCGATTCTTCGCAAACTAAGCCTCCGTCTCTGGCGTGTTTGCCCTGTCTGTTGCTGTGTGTCTGTGACGTAATAGTGACGTAGGTCTGACGTCATGTCTGATGAGGGCTTACCTCGTGACAGAACAGTTAGCTATTCTGAAAGTATGTGTGTTTCCATGACATAAGTTGATCGTACATAGGTAAGCTGGCAATATAGTTCCGCTTATGTCTAGATACGGGAACGGAAATTCCATGGCTATTCAGATCATTCGATGGGATTTCAAAGTGCAGCTTCGGCCTCTTATTGCTTCCTGGACAAACCGTTAAGCGGTAACACTGTTAGCTGAAATGGCATGTTGTAAGTTGAACAAGCTGTGTACGACTTTTCTGTAGTATCACACGATTGAGTGTCGTTAATTGGTAACATTTCCACCCTCCCACCTGCCGGCTGAAATATGAACGGTATACGAACACTGTCAGTAGTCGTGAGTGAACCGTTAACCTTTTTACTGTGTTTTCAGCCTGCAGCCGGGGGCGATTCAGGTCCGTCTCGGAGAGTACCGGGTAAACGCGGAGGACGAGCCACTGCCGCACCAGGACCAGGGCGTCTCCGAGATCCACATCCATCCGCGTAAGTGCCGCCGTCTCGGAGATGCCGCTGTGCAACGGGCAATCCGCTGGTCTTTCTGTGGACGGATATGCGCTTTCCCGAATCACAGAAAAGCGTTAGCGCTTAGAATACGACCTTCATTCACTTTTCAGTATAAAAGATGCTTTTAAGTACCCACCGGCATGACACTTTGTTTCAGTTTGTCGGTTTTGCTCTCCTAATAAAAGCTGTTCACACAATGCTTACGAACACAACTGCTGTTCTATGATCTGACCTCCCTCTGACCCCACTCTGCCCCCCCCCCCCGCGCAGAGTACGAGCGCGGTCCTCTGTTCTACGACCTGGCCGTGCTGCGGCTGAGCTCACCGGTCCAACTGGACAGTCACATTCAGCCCATCTGCCTGCCCACTCCCGGACAGCGGTTCACCGGCCGCTGCGTGGCCTCCGGCTGGGGAAAGGACGCCTTCGAGGGTGAGGCTTGGGTTCTGTAGCGGACAAATTCTTAGTTTACTAGGGAAAGGAGACGAGTTTAACTCCTCTATCGTTTGTGAACAGGAATAATTTCATCAATCTCTTTTGGGCTGAATGTTAAGTTTAACGCTCAGTAGAGACAACTACTTCTTCTCTAGCGTTTATTTCTTCTATTAAGTTTTTCCTCAACCCATCAATTGGTTATATTAATTATTCATCGATAGTTTATGTCTTTACGCATCTCTAACCTCCTAAGCTTCCCACCATTCAGTTGCCTTTTACAAAAGATTATCGCCTTTGAGAGCACTGATGGACCAGCCTGGGCCTCCTAGTCCCGACTAACCTCTATCTATTCTTGGTCACCCGCAGAAGGCCGCTTTTCGACGATTCTGAAGAAGGTGCGCCTGCCCATGGTCAGCCATGAACAGTGTCAGGAGAACATGCGCAATACCCGGCTGGGCAGCTTCTTTGTGCTCAACAAGAGCTTCGTCTGCGCCGGCGGCGAGGAGGGCGTCGACGCTTGCAAGGTAATGTTTTATTCGGGTCGTAAAGCAAATGAACCCTACATGCCATTCTGATGCCTTTAATATGGTATTCGATTATAATTATCTTCAAATATCTATCGTGATTAATTTAGAAAGTCATTCATTTCTTACGTCTTCTTGTTATGTGACCTGACCTGACCCACCGTGCGCCGGCAGGGTGACGGCGGCGGCCCTCTGGCCTGTCCGTCCAACGGCCGCTACACGCTGGCCGGGGTCACCTCGTGGGGTATCGGCTGCGGAGCCAGGGACGTTCCGGGCATCTACGCCAGCGCCGAGGCCGGCCTGGACTTTATCCGGCAGCACGCCGACGGCAGCGCCGTCTGAGCGGGCGGGTCGTCCCCCGGGAGGGAGAGCCTCGGTAGAAAGGGTGGCAGAGGGCAGTAGGCAGAGAGGGCGAGTGAGAGCCGGCGGAGCCGGCTGATGAGGGGAGAAGAGCGCGGTCTTGAAGATTGGTGAGCGTTGTGCGATCGAGTTTGGCGCCTCGGCAGTTGGTGAACATAGATGACTGATAATGTAAGTGTGGTGGTAGGCCGTTCAATCAGTTCCCGATGAAAACGACTGATGGCCGATCGATTTCTATAACTTCCCCTTCTAATGCACACTTCGAAGTTATAATAGTAAAAAGCTATCAAAAGTTTGCGGTGCAGGCTATTATTTTTCCGCCCTCATGCAGAAGGGCGAGTCATTTTCATCTAGATAATTGCACTAAACAATTGCTCGCTGTTAACAGATGCCGACAAAAGTAAAGTCCACGTCCGGTTATTCGTGCGGTGAGTTTTATGCTCCGCTTTCCGTTGAGCAAAGCCCAAAGAGAACAGTATTATTTACTGTCACTCTCTCGTGCTGCTCCAGTGCTTTGTAAAAAATGTATGCTCTTTTACTCTCACACAAATCGTCTTAGACCAATATTGACCGTCAAAGCTGATGGTCGTGGACTCGTGAAGACATGTTTCACTTGTATAATGTATTGCTAGCGTAGCTATTTTACCTTTACAGGCGTGTTGTGGCATTTATGTTCGCTAAATACACCAATGTGTTACCTCGAACTGCTGTTGTTTTTTAATTCGTCTTGCTGAATGTATCATTGTGATGGCAAGCAGGTACAGGTCTCGCGAGATTAAGCGGTAGGTTTTGCACTTTTACATTTCCGGTTATATCTCAGAAACTAATCGATCTACGATGAAGCCATTTTACACGATCATGGCCGGCTTGTTACCCAACAAGTCGATCACATCTTCAACACTTAAAAGCTTAAAGGAAATAGTTCACTTTCACGAAATTATTTTTTTTTTGCAACGATTTATTATTTTTTATGTTCAAAATAATCAGCAAAGAAAATAAAACCTTTTTATAACAAAAGATTTTTTTCTCTATATTTTGATATAGGAAGAACTTTTCAGTTTCTGTAAGGCACACGCGATCCAGTATGAAAAGAGCATGGGTCCCGAAAATTCTTCAGAAACAGAGAAATTATCGCAGCCACCGGCATTTGGGCGATCTGCTCGATCTAATAATGTTCCCCTGAATGTCCTAATTGATCAGTACGAGAATTTCTCTAGAGTTCTCGTAGATAATTTCTCTAGTTTCTGAAGAATTTTCGGGACCCATGCTCTTTTCATACTGGATGGAAATATATGCAAGGCACACATCCTCAACGCAAGACACCTTTTTCGGGACGAGAAATAGAATATCTTTGCCTAGGGTGATCGTTGGGCTGTAAAAGCTCCTGATTTATGCTCGTCTCAGCCCAAGCTACGGAACTGCTATTCCAGTTCAAAACCCATGTTAAAAAGTGAACTATTTCCTTTAAAGGGACCCTCCCACCTTAACATTAGATTTGAGTTGAGATAGCCAAAATGGGGTCCCTGGCTCACAATTACCGGTTTCGGCACTCACAACATCGAGAAACGTCTTAAATCGGAAGTATTGAATTTCAAAATTGCAGCATTTTGATTCAGAGGGGCTAATGCTTAGGAATACCCCTCTGAATGTGTGACGTCAGCGCAAATATCTAACGATTTTATGTTTGACTAAAACGTTTTGTAGCACGCGGTGGTATACGCTATTTGCGCGCAACATCTGCCGCAAACGCCGCACTTCTAAAATAAGTCGCTAGAAACAGCGGAGATCCCCAAAAAGTAAACTTACTTACTTACTTACTTACGATGTACGAGAATTTTGAAGGCCCTTAGGCCTGTGGGACTCTGACTTATCGAGCTCCATGACGATATCACTGCCTCAGTCATTGGAGTGGATGGTGTAGAGGAGGTGAGACCAGTGGCGGTCGAGCCTGGACTTGAATTCGTTCAGGGATCGCGCTTCAACCACATAAGCAGGAAGAGCATTCCAGTCATTGACGACCCGGACGCTGTACGCGTTTCGCCTCGATCGGGAAGACGCTCTCGGCTTCAACAGCTTCCAGGGGTGTCCTCTTGTAGTAGAGTCAGCCAACTCAAAGAATGACTCAGGATCGAGGTCAACACCCCCATGAAAAAGTTGGTACGTCATAATCATGTCGCCGCGGCGCCTTCGATAATAGAGTGACGGGAGTTTCAGCGAGCGTAGTCGTTGGTCATATGGTAGGCTCCTAAGTGATGGGATCATCTTCGTTGCTCGTCTCTGGACACGCTCCACCTTTTGCTGGTCAGCGCGATTGAAGGGGCCCCATACGATGTTGCAGTACTCGAGGTGCGGTCGTACCAGGGTCTTATACAGAAGCGGTAGCGTGGTGGCGTCGATGCGTTCGAAGGACTTGTGAATCACCGCGAGCATCTGGGAGGCTCTGGATACCGCTGCAGCGGCTTGTTCACGAAACTTGAGGTCCTGATCGATTTGGACGCCTAGATCACGCTCAACTTCAACCTCAGCAAGCTGGTAGTCTCCAATGGCATATGACTCATATGGAATGCGCTTTCCAACGTGGATAACCTTGCACTTTTGGGAGTTGAAACTGAGGCACCACTTGCTGGACCAGTCGACAGCCGTGGAGATATCCGCCTGGAGCAGAGCCGCATCAGAGGGGTTCTGAACAGGGCGGTAAATCTTCGTGTCGTCCGCGAACATCTGTATCCCGCCTTGCATAAGGCCTGGAAGATCGTTGACGAATAGGACGAACAGAAGGGGTCCCAGGACCGAGCCCTGAGGAACGCCGCTACTGACTGTGGCCCAGTCAGAAGATGAACCGTTCAGGACAACTCGTTGTTTTCTATTGCACAGGAAACTTGTTATCCATCTGAGCAGGTGTCCACCGATCCCATATGCCCTGAGTTTGTGGAGGAGTCTCTGGTGGGGCACAGTGTCGAATGCCTTAGAAAAGTCCAAATAGATAGCGTCCACTGTCTCGCCCCTCTCGATCGCCCTGCTCCAGTCCTCTAGAGTAGCTAGCAGCTGAGTTGCGCACGATCTTTTTGGACGGAAACCATGCTGAGCGTTGTGGAGCTGGCCAGTAGAGACCATATGGTTCATAATGAGGTCCCGAATGATGGACTCCAGTATTTTGCATGGAACAGCAGTCAAACTGACGGGCCTGTAATTTGTCGGCAGCTGTTTGTTCCCCTTCTTGTATATCGGGACAACTTCGCCCAGCTTCCATTCGGATGGAACCTCACCTGACGCTAAGGACATGTTGAACAGCCGTGCCAGAGAAGGGGCAATAGACTCGGCAGTCTCAGAGAGGATTCGTGGGTGGATGCCGTCGGGGCCCGGGGAGCTGGCAGGCTTGAGACCCTGAAGCTTGTTGATGACTGCCTCTGGGGTGATACTTACAGGCTCGAGTTCGGGACCAGAGTACCTCGCATGGAATGGAGGCATAGTGGAGTCTTCGACAGAGAAAACGCTGGAAAAGTACTGGTTAAGAACAGCTGCTTTGTCCCTGTCTTCAGTGGCGAGGGAGCCGTCCGCATGCAGCAGGTGCTCAACCTTGGACCTGGTCTTGGTTCGAGAGTGGACGTATCTCCAAAAGTGCTTGGGGTTCATTTTTATGTCATGCGCCAGTCTGGTTTCAAAGTCAAATCTCAAGTTTCTGGTCATCCGTCTGAGGTCGTTTCTGACTCGAACAAAACGGGCATGATCTATGGGGTCTTTGGTGTGCAGATATTGAAGCCACAAAGATCTTTTCTTCTTCTTCAGCTTGAGTGCCTCTTTGGTCATGTAAATGTTTTTCTTCACTATTCTCCGTGAGACACGAGGGACACACTTGCTGATGAGGTTCATGAGCAGACTCTTCCAGTGGTTGTACTGCTCCTCAAGAGGCTTGTCCTGTCCAATGTCCCAGTTGGCATTTCTAATCTGGTGATTCAGAAGACTGAAGTCGATTTGGTGGAGGTTAAGACGATTTGATCCTGACACGATTCTAACAGCATAGCATTCAAGATCGAATGAGATCATGGCATGGTCGCTGCGGCCAAGGCCGTGGTGGTACGTGACATTTTGAACCATCCCTTCTTCGTTTGAAAAGATCAGATCAAGAGTGCTAGGCACCTCACCAATTCTAAAGCGGGTGGGTTCTGAGACGTGCTGATGAAGAAAACAGTCCTGAATAACTTCAACAAAAGCATGAGAGATGTGGTTGGGTGGTGCTGATGAGATACCCATTTCCCAGTTGATTTGAGGCAGGTTGAAATCGCCAGCAAGCAGTATGTGAGAGTAGTTCAGTGATGTCACATGGTGGATGAGGTGATCAAGCATTTGCACAGAAGCTGTTGCATCACCTGAGGGACTGCGGTACAAGCAGCCAATGAGCAACTTGTCTGGTGCGGACAGAGCCAGGTCAATCCACAACTGCTCGCTGAAGGGGATATGACCAAAATTTATCTCAGTTGCCTGAAGGCTTTTGTGGACATATATACATATCCCTCTCATGCCGCTGCTGCCCAGGCTGCTGTCTTGAGGGTTGAAGTTGCAGTACATAGAGTAATCACTGAGTGCCAAAAGTGCTTCAGGGATTGGTTTTGATTGTGCCTTAGGTATGACCTCTGTCAACAGAATCAGATCCGGGCTCTTGTCAGCAATGAACATACTTAGGTCATCTCTCTTGTTGAGAAATTGATCAGAGTTTGTGTATAAAACCTTCAAGCTTTGGCGGACTTTCCTTTTCTTTTGTCCATCTTGAGATAGTCACTTTTCATCTGTAGTTGTACCTACCCCGGCTCCAGGGGAGTGCGGGCGGTTCTGATTTCCTGGTTGGTTGGCTGATGCAGACTGGGCTGCGGCTCCTGGGTCTCTTGGTCTCAGGGCAGGAGCAGGGTCATCGTGCCTAGAGGGAAGCTGGATGATTTTGCCTCTTCGGATAGCTAAGTTGTTCTCACCAGCCTCTCGCCGTCGGAACAGCTCCTCACGAAGGCGCTTCCCTTCCTCCCTCTCTCTCCAAGTAAGGTCAGGGGTGATGTAGATGTTACTAAATGCAGATTGCCTCAGTTGGCGTGCCAGCTTGAGAATATCTACCTTGGCCTCCAGACTATCTAGGCTGACGATGAGAAGCCGGGGTTTGCTTTCAGACCTCTTTCCGACCCTGAATGCCTTTGTGACTTGGACATTGATCCTGAGTCCTGTTTTGATCATTTCCTGGAACTTCAGAATGTCCTGTCTGGCTACTTCACTGTGGTTCTCACCTTGGCTCTCATCCAGGTTATGCACAACTACATTCATTTTCCTCTTTTCCTTGTCAAGGAAATTGTCAAAGACACCGGATATTTCTTCTGCGGTGTTGACCCCCTGTTTGGGAAAAGACTGCTGGGGCAGGGCCTCTATCTTGGCTGTGACTTCCTTGATCATGTCATTGCAGGTGCCTTTGACTGCCTGGGCATATGAGACCTTTTGGTGCTCAACTGCTTGTTTGACCTGATCAAATTGTTTTGACTGGCCACTGACAACTTTGACTTGCTCAGACAGGGCCTGCTGAATTTTTTCCAGTTTAACATTCATCGCACTATCCAGTTGGATGATCTTTGTGTCTAGATCCGCAAGCTGTCTAGAAAACTGCTCGTCCTTATGTTTGTGGTTTGAACGGGATGCTTTGCATGTTGAGCAGATCCAGGACAAGATTTTG